TACGTCGTTTTGTTTTAAAAAGAGGTTGAAAGAGAAATTGCGACCCAACGTTTCTGCGTGAAGAGCAGAGGGTTGAACGAGTGAACGCGCAAGGCATGGCCTTAAGGAGATGATACAGGAACGATTCCGCGTCGGCTAGCTTTGCGGTGTTGCCGTGGAACGAGAGAATTGCTGATTGTTCTTCTTTCGTTGGAGTCTATTCTCGCAAACATCTCTAGTGTGTCTGGGTGGAAATCGTTGCCTTCCATTAATGATTTCATGACCTCGATCTGTTATGTTTGCGTGGAAATTGAGCATGATTGCTGTGTTCTGGGATTTACTCGGGTCGAGGATGAAGATCTGGGTCAGAGAGGTTGGTTTTGATTTTTTGTTATCACCACTATGGTCGGGAGATTTTTTCCCGACGGCGACGTAGCCAAAGAGAGCCTCCATTAGAGTCAAGTTCCTGAATTAAGCAACGACCTTCAGAAATTTACTGTCGAAACATTCAAGAAAGAAAAAGAGGAAATCTTAAATTGGAAATCGAAAAAGGTCGTTGCCTTGTTGGTCAATTCAGAGTAAATTGAATCTCTCGACTGAAGTTGCGAGCGATATTTCGTTGTGGGAGGGAAAGTTGCTAAGAAAGGGAAAAAAAAACAAATTCAAGAAACCTTGAAGTGGAAAAGACATGAAGATGATGGCGTTGAGTTGAAGACAAAGGCAGATGGCTCCGACCCAAAGTAAAGTGGCTGTCTTTGGTTTTCTTCTCTTTGGCAGGGGCTAATAATGGAGGCCTACAGGTTCGGAGCGGTTAAAAAACCAAATAGAACCAAAATTTATCATTCAAAACCAAGTTTTGAAAACTAAATATTGTCGTTGGCTGACACGTAGACTACAACTTGACGGCTTTTTAACACCGTTAGTCTTGTATAGGTTTTAGCACAAATCCAAAGTTTAAGTATGAAATTTGAATTAATAAGATATTAGCGAATGTTTTAGCACATAGACAACTTCAGGTATGAAATTAACATTTTTCGATAATTCAGGTCTGATAAAACCAATTTTCCTGTTCTTTCATTCTTTATTTTATGGTCTTCTTTGTCACGGTTTTTTCTGTACCAGAATTAAGTCGTTAGATATTGCATATATATGCCATATACCTAGCTTTTTTTTTTCTTATATTTACGCAGCTGTTTGAATGATTGGTAATTCATATTCTTTGTCACTATAAGTAGAATATGTTAGCTAAAATATCAAACTTTTTTGATACTCAACCAATTTCCATGTCTTATGAAAAAAGTTTGATATTTTAGCCAATTTCCAATTTCCATGTCTTATGCCATGTTTTAGCTAACATATTGTTTGTCATTATTAGTAGAATATGTTAGCTAAAAAAAAGACTCTTAAATCTTAGGAATCTTACTTAACAAAAGAATTGGACTTCGTCCAAAATAGCCCATTCAACCGAATTAGATCACTTGTTTAACTTATGTAGCAATTTGTGCTTTAATAAAAGCCTACTGTATATGATAGGTCTGACTGCTATGGACTTTTCAGAAAGCTCATCAAGCCCAACTAGTTTTCAGCTTCCTTCTCACAATTTGCCTAACTTATAGCCAGCCCACGTTGATATAACTCCTTATCCCATTAATATCCCACTATGGTTTGTTTTCAATTAGCTACTTAGCTACTAATCGGAAATTTCATGCCGAAATGTTGACTAATTACATGAATATATGAAACAGCATGTACTTTTGTCATTTAAAACGTCTAAACCATGATTAAAAATCAAAGTGAAAGGAGTCGAAAACTAGTTTGTCAACTAACATGTCATGTCCCTCAAACATTTAGACCACTCTACATAGGTTATAGGCCCGTATCTAAACTCAAACTAGTAAGAGAGTTTATGGCTGCCATGTAAATTTTACAGTGACCAACGATGTGATATGTTCAGCAAAATGGTGTTATTATGGCTTTGACCAACAAAGTTATGTCTTTTAGATTATTATTACTTTACCTACTGTTAACGACTTATGAATTTAGTTTATTTATGACAATTAACTTTTTTTTTAAAAAGCAATGCAGAAACGTAAAGGATGTTTTTCCGTAAGACTATTCTTTAGAATTAACTTTTGTTTGTTCATATCCTTTGCCCATCTCTCATATGATAACTAAGTTGTCTACGCCTTATCTGATTAATTAACACTCTAAAAATATTAATAAGATCCTATCCCATATCTGTGGAGGGATTACGCAGTTCAGCTTTTGTTTCTTTTGAGTGTTAAAGATATTAATTACCAAATCAGAACTAAAATATATGCCGTATAATTGGTTGATTCAGCTCTAAACCCAAATTGGTTGATTCAGCTCTAAACCCGATTACTAGCAATCTTTTTAAAATAGTACAAACGTCTTAAGAACTTTTGTCTACGTACGAGAACAAATGAACAAGATTTGTAGATGACGTGTAATAAATTCAAGGGTTAGAATGATGAGGATTACAGTCAGAGAGAGGAGGCCGTACATCTTCCGCATCATAAGGACAGAGAACCCAATGCTGTGATCTGTACGGTTTTAAAAATAGTATTAATAGATAAGTCAATTGAATTATCATTAACGTGAATAAGTAAGTCAATAATTAGCACCCTCACCTATCATAATTTTTTTATATGACCACGATAAGCATCAACTACTTTTCTGGTGAACAAGCTCCACGTTCATTGTTACGTGAAAATTGCCGTCATTCGAGCGACTATATTATACTAGTATTAATCTAAACTTTCCGTAAAATTACAAAAGGATCCCAATCTATTCACGCTGAACAAAAGTAAATACTATCTTTTTAACCTACAACTTTTGACTCTAATCTATTCACACCGTTTACTTTTTGAGCCACTTGGAGTGTAGACACCAAAAGCCTACGCAATCCAAAATTAATTGAAAAATCCAATCTAAAAAAGTATCTGGAATCTTTCAATTTGTCAGATTCATTGTTTTTTTTTTCTTTTTTTCTTCTATATTTCACAAACTGTAACCTGAACCAGATAAACCAAAAGAAAAAAAACAAAACGAGCTTTTTCAAAAACATAAAAATAAATCTTTTTTCTTAAAAGATATTGAATGTGACCTATTCGAACGCATTAAATAAAGAACCAACCCAAAGTCCCAAACGAGTTTAGGTTTTAGTTCATTTTGTATATATCTCAATTAAACCGAAACAGTAAAGACTGAATATATCTCATTTTGTATATAGCATGCTAACTTAAGAAATTATCAAAATACCTATTTTCATTCAACTTTAAAAGATTACTACTTTTAAACAACGATGGAGTTCCAAAAAAAAGTTTTAAGTTTTCGGATGAATCATTTAGTTGTTTTATGTTCGGTTATATACAAATGAAATTAACCATCTTGATTTGCCCAAGAAATAGACCCTAGGCTGTTTGCATTAATCTGTTTTACATATATATGATGCTTATAAGTCTACCAAGTTGTAACTAAAAGATAAGCAAGCCATGAATATTAAATAAAGATAAGAAGTCAATGAGCCATTACTCATGTTATGAAAGATTGTTTGAGAATTTTTTTTGTTTGACCTTCCCACAAAATTTGAATTTTATAACCTATAAACATTGGACTTTTATAGTTGCCTTCCCTACATGTGAAAACAATAAAACTAAAACATTACAAAACGAATGATTTAACCTTATTTAAATCGTATTTAAGACTATAACCACTTGAAATCTATAGCTGCCAAAACAAAATGTGACGAGTATAGAGGTTCGACATTGAGATTAAACCAAATTAAGAAAGATTCATGAAAGTCAACTTATCATTTCGTTTCATCGTGAGCAATAAGGATATGCGAATATCAAATAATATTCGCGGAAAGTTAATAATAACATATGAGCTAGACATTATATATAATGTTTTGAAACATTAGAGCATTTTTGTGGGAGCTTGTTTTAAGATAATAATATTTTCATTTGGTGAGCTGACCACATGGAAAACTCAAGAGACAAATTGAAAATTATTAAAGACATTTTGACGCTTTTTGCCATCATTGATGTGTACGGCCTCTTAGGCTTTTTAGCTATCGCCAATGGCATACCAACTGGCAACTGTCAACGTTCGTATCTCTATCGCCCCTTTTACAGAAATTCCACAGAAATAATAATCTCTATGTACCCACATAGATTTATACGTATTTTGGTAGATTTCTTCCATATTTTTAAACTATAACTTTATGCAAAACGAAACGTTTTTCTTATGTCTTTTACTCAAATCATTTTTTGTTAAAGCATTTTACTTAATTATGTATATAGAATATCACTGTATAGGAAACTTTGTCAGATAAAAGTGTAAATATTGATTTCTCACTATAAGATCTTCAACTTTGCGGGGGTTGCTTGAAATGAATTTATAAGGAATAAAAAACACTAAAACTTGAGAAAACCTCATGATTCCTAAAATATCCATATTTAAATACTTTATCTTTCTTTTTAAACTCAAAATACCTAAATCAATTCTTAACATCTTACCCAAAAAAAATACCTAAATCCAAAACCTAAAAAAATCGATTCGGAAATCAGAAGGGATAAATTTTTTTTCGGGTTAATCAATGTTCTTCAAAATTCTTGCATCGCGTATCATACGCAAATGTGTCAGGCAAAACTCAAAACGCAAATGTGGTACACGTATGAAACGTACGTTAGTAATAACCAAGCACGTATTAGCAGCAACACTATGCAGGAAGAATATGTTAGCTCTCAAATTATAAACTGATATGCCTTTTCTCCGTCATTAATAATTAATAATCAAAATTAAAAGTCATATATAAATAAATGCGGTTGTCAGTTACTAATCACAAATTGGTATTATTTTTGGACCCACCTAACCCTACCCACCATATGTTATTGGTAATGGTATATCCCTCTGGCTCTATATATAGTTTGCATCTCTCAATCCCCCAATTACACCAAACACACAACAAAGAGCAATAAACCTTCTCTCCAACTCAGAGTCTTTCATCTCCTACTCTCAAACTTAAAATGGCTTCCAAGGACGACGAAGGCTCCATTGGAACCTCCTTGCATGGAGTCACAGCAAGAGAACAGGTCTTCTCCTTCTCTGTCGATGTTTCATCCCAAACTATCATATCCGACGATCCAACGGCCAAGTTTGCCATGCCGGTTGATTCCGAACACCGGGCCAAAGTGTTCAACCCACTCTCATTTGCTAAACCTCACATGAGAGCCTTCCACTTAGGATGGGTTTCATTCTTCACTTGCTTCATCTCAACCTTTGCCGCGGCACCGTTAGTCCCCATCATCCGTGACAACCTCGACCTCACCAAAACCGACATCGGTAATGCCGGAGTTGCCTCCGTCTCCGGCGCCATTTTCTCAAGGTTAGCCATGGGAGCGGTTTGTGACCTCCTCGGTGCACGGTATGGAACTGCCTTCTCGCTCATGCTAACCGCTCCAATGGTCTTCTCAATGTCGTTTGTGACCGACGCGGGAGGATACTTAGCCGTCCGGTTCATGATCGGTTTCTGTCTCGCCACGTTCGTGTCGTGCCAGTATTGGACCAGCGTCATGTTCAACGGGAAGATCATAGGACTAGTCAACGGCTGCGCCGGAGGGTGGGGTGATATGGGCGGTGGAGTGACTCAGCTACTCATGCCAATGGTCTTCCACGTGATCAAGCTCGCCGGAGCCACTCCGTTCATGGCTTGGCGCATAGCATTCTTCGTCCCTGGCTTTCTTCAAGTCGTGATGGGCATTCTCGTCCTCACTCTCGGCCAAGATCTCCCTGATGGTAACCTTAGTACCCTTCAGAAGAGTGGTCAAGTTTCTAAAGACAAATTCTCCAAGGTACTTTTTCGTCTCATTTTTTTAATATATAATAAATCAAGAACAATATGGATCTATTTAAAAGAATCTTGCAAGCACTAAACGTAGTAATGAATTTTTGCGATGAATTTTAGTCGTAGCAAAATTTGCGAATCTTTCAAAATTATTGCCAGTTTAAAACAAATGACAGTAGCTATTTGGCAACAAATTTGATACGAAACATTATTAAGAGCATTTTTTAAAAATAAATCTCAAGTGGCTAACGGTTTTTTATTTTTATTATGCTACTTGTTTTAGGTTTTCTGGTTCGCTGTGAAGAACTACAGAACATGGATATTATTTTTGCTTTATGGATCTTCCATGGGAATTGAATTGACTATCAACAACGTTATCTCCGGATATTTCTACGACAGGTTTGATTTCTTCTTCCTTAAATCCAAAATGATGATCTTCTTTACTTACTTCTTGCACAGGTAATAAATAACAACTTTTTTTTTCTTGTTCTTTACGTATCAGGTTTAACCTTAAGCTTCAAACAGCCGGTATTGTAGCAGCCAGCTTCGGCATGGCAAACTTCTTCGCACGTCCCTTCGGTGGCTATGCTTCTGATGTAGCAGCACGACTCTTTGGCATGAGAGGCCGGTTATGGATCTTATGGATCTTTCAAACCATAGGAGCTCTCTTTTGCATCTGGCTAGGTCGTGCTAATACACTTCCCATAGCAATTTTGGCAATGATGCTCTTCTCAATCGGTACACAAGCAGCTTGCGGAGCACTCTTCGGGGTTGCACCTTTCGTCTCTCGCAGATCTCTAGGGCTCATATCGGGACTAACTGGCGCAGGAGGAAACTTTGGTTCCGGTGTGACTCAACTTCTTTTCTTCTCAACTTCGAGGTTTAGCACAGCGGAAGGACTCTCGTTGATGGGAGCTATGGCGGTTTTGTCCACGCTCCCCGTTGCGTTTATACATTTTCCGCAATGGGGAAGCATGTTTTTGAGACCGTCGAGAGATGGAGAAAGATCCAAGGAGGAATATTACTACGGCTCTGAGTGGACAGAGGACGAGAAACGACAAGGGTTGCACGAAGGAAGCATCAAGTTCGCTGAGAATAGTCGGTCTGAGAGGAGCCGGAAAGTAGCTTTGTCTGACATTCCATCACCGGAGAACAGAACTCCGACTCATGTTTGAAGACATTTTTCCTTATATATATATACATAAACCCTACCCTTTTATTAGTTTCATGTTCCTCTCATATGAGATATGTAACTGAGCAAGATCTTGCTCTAATAGGTAAGTTTCGATGAGCTCGGTACTTGCTTCGTATTAGTTATTGTAATGTCTATCAGTTCAATGAAAGTAAAAATGTTCAACAACTCTTTATTTTCTTGCGTCTATAATATTTTCTTCAAACAGTTTTATATGTCAAACGTATAGGAGCAAAGACAGATCTCTGTTGAAGATGCTTGAAATGCCAAGAAGAGTCCACATGAAGATAACTTTATGAACAAAGACTACGGAAGAAGCAATTGTATGAGTAATATTCACATCTAAGAAACAGAACACATTGAAAGAATCTGAGCAGAGCAACTAGTAAAAAAAAAACTATAAACATTTTCTAATCAGGTGTAAGATGATTGAGAGTATACCTGTGAAGTTTCCACTCACATTTAGTCCAATAGCTCCATTTCTTAGGAAGCCTGAAATTGTGTTTTTTTTTTTTCAAAACTCTATAGGATCAAAGAAATGTTTGGAAAAGGGTAAAGAGGCATTGCGTTTTCTCTGTGTAAGACTAAAAACAAGCTACATCGGTTTCTTCAGGTGTTTTGAGTCGCTGCAGCCACCAAGATGAACTATTGGCTCTCTTGATTCCAGGAAGAACATCAAATTCAGCATACCTAATACCTTCCACATAACCATTAGTTCCACAGCTCAGGAACCTCGGATAGAGCCCTCGCATATAAGACAGAGGCTACTAAAATCTTATTAACCTTGCAGTTGAATTGATTCACTTCAGATTTCAGAAGAGTTTGAAACAATTTCAAAATAATTGAATTGGGTCTTTTTTAACACCTCAGTAACTAAAATCCACTGACGAGAATAACAAGAATACTCAGCATTGTTTGATGCCTCACCAAACCCTGCTTTTGCATAGGAGAAAAGTTTCTCCGAGCAACATACCTAACAAAGTAACACCTATTGAATCATATAGAATATTCGGATGCTTTTCCAAAGAATATTCGAATCTACTATACGAAACTATTTTCGCTTTAATATTAAAATAATATCATAATCGTCAACATCTGTCTTTGAGAAAATTAAAGATTCTACAATACCACCAAAAATATTACTTTTTCCATGTCTCTCTTTCGCCTTCAAAAAAACGATCACAAACAAATAGTAAAAAAAAAAAAAAAAAGAGCAAAGTGCAGGCCTAAGAAATGAAGGGCGGTCGGTCGCCCTTCTTGCCATAGGTCCGAGCCGAGGCATGACCCAATAGAGTCTTTTCCTTTTCTTTCCTTAAAAGAGGAGAGAAACTTGACTCTACATTCAATCTTCAAGTCCAGCTTTAGCCTTGAGGTGCTTCTTAAAGTCCATAATGTCACCGTTCCATTTGGTTATGCATTGTTTCTCACACACCCATATCTCATGAGCCACTTGGTTAATCAGCCTGAAGTCGTGACTCACCAGAACCAAACCACCATCCCACTCGTTCAACGCCTCAGCGAGAGAGTCGATTGTCTCAATGTCCAAATGGTTAGTCGGCTCATCCAACAGAAGCATGTTAGGCTGCTTATAAGCCAACCATGCGAATATCACACGGCTCCTCTGTCCGTCAGATAGATTCTTCATCGGCATAACCTGGGCCTTTCCTGTTAGACCAAACCTACCAATCGCAGCTCTCATCTTCTCCTCCTCGTTACCAGGGAACTCCTGCATCATGTAGAGAAGTGCAGGCAATTCCAGGTCTAGCTTCTCAGCCAGATGCTGATGGTACTGAGCAATCTTCAAGTGGTTGTGACGCCGAACCATTCCTTCAGTAGGGTGCAAGTCACCAGTCATGAGCTTCAAAAGAGTACTCTTTCCAGCTCCATTGGGTCCAACAAGTGCAACCCTCGAGTCCAAGTCGACACCAAAGTCGAGGTTTTTGTATATGAGGTAGTCAGGTGTGTACCCGAAAGAGACTTCCACAAACTGAAGCACTGGCGGTGGAAGCTTCCCGACATCAGCGAAACGGAAAACGAGAACGCTATCCCTGGCGACCTTTTCTGTGAGCCCACCTCTCTCCATCTTTGCCAATGTTTTCTCCTTACTCTGTGCCTGACGAGCAAGTTTGGCTGATCCGTGACCAAACCGAGCAATGTACTCCTTCATGTGAGAAATCTGCTCCTGCTCCCATCTGTATTGTTTCATCTGGTTCTCTTCTAGTTCAGAACGGGTCTGGCAATACTGATCAAAGTTACCAGTGTAGTACTTGAGCTGTTTGCTTTGCATGTGGATGATGTTTGTACAGACTCCATTCAAGAAATCCTGTGAGTGGGATACCACAACAAGGATGCGGTCAAAATTCTTCAGACTCTCCTCTAACCAGACACAAGCTTCCAAATCTGTTTTCACGAGAGAACATAAGACTCAGGATAGAAGAAAAAAACACAATACAAAAGAACACACAGTAGAAAACCATCCGAAGCAAGTAGAGAAGAAGAAAGATCACCAACCTAAATGATTTGTCGGCTCATCAAGCAAAAGGATCGTTGGCATTATGAAGAGTGCTCTTGCTAATGCAATTCTCATCCTCCAGCCACCAGAGAAATCTTTAGTTTTCTTGGCCTGCATTTCCTTGTCGAAACCAAGACCAAACAGAATTTCAGCAGCACGCTTCTCTGCGGTTGAAGCATCCATGGCTTCTAACCGCTCATAGATAGTATCAAGACGCTCTCCCCCTCCATCATCCTGGAAAAAAAAAGCAACCCTATAATTAGCATCCAACACAAAACATCAAATTCAGCACTCAGTCAATTGTTTTTTTATACAAACCTGCTCAATCAGAGTTTCAACTTCCTTCTCCAGCTTCAACCTCTCCTCGTCACAGCTCATAACAGCCTCAAGGGAAGTCATGTCAGTAGCTTCAATCTCGTGGGAGAGATGATAGATATCCATGTGATCAGGAATCGGCAACTCCCTGAGTCCAATTGCAGTTAAAAGTGTGGACTTTCCACAACCATTCAACCCAAGCAGACCGTAACGTCTTCCATAGTTAAGCTCCAACATTGAATCCACAATGAGGTCGTAACCATGAAACGTGACAGACAGAGATTCTATCTGCAACAGATATATAAAAATTTGACAATCCATCAATCGAAAACTCTCAGATACGAAGTTTACATCATAAAACGCTGATTCATGAGAACAAATAAATATTCACAGATCATCACGAATCAAATTAGAAAACAACGAAATTCCAATGAAACCATAAAGCATCGAAATCGAATCACAGAAACGCTAAAGTAAGAGACTTACCCGAATATCCCTTGATTGAGGATGCGAGCAGAGAATTCCGGTGCACGTCCGATCAGAGATTTGAAGGGCTTCGACACCACTCGACAAGTTATCAGCTCCATTGGAAGAAGTACCGGCCGATTTAGAAGCGGCTGCAGCTTTACCGCCTCTTTTCGCGGCGGCAGCAGCTTTCTTCTGAGCAGCCTTCTTCTTGCTAGCGTCTGACACCATCTTCAAATCTCCCTGAATCAAATCCACCATAAGAACAAATACCAAAAATTTAAACCACGGAGAATACAGATCGAAGAATCAAAAATCCGTAAGAGAAGAAGAAATAACGAAATTACCTGTGGGATTGGGGGAGATCGTGAGCTCGAGAGATCTGTAGATCTAGTTTCAGAGTTTTGTACGACACCTGTTCGGCTAATTAGGGTTAATGGTGGTTTCTGTTGACGCGAGGCGGAAGAATCGGTATTTATAGGAGGCGATGCTTTTGGGAGTGCCACGTGTACGGCGAGACTGGGTTTAGCTTCACACTTCAGTTGCGTATCGGAATACAACAGCAACTCCCATCTGGTCGGTCCCGAATAAGGTGCGTTTAGATATGGGCTTATTGTATTAAAAGCCCAATATTTGTTAGTGAAGACCCAGAAGTGAAAAATGGAAGCCCAATATCTGTTAGTAGAGACCCAGAAGTGAAAAATGGAAGACCAAATTATTTAAACTCTTCTACCAGCCCCATTGTGTGTATTTGTTTGATATTTGACATTTTTAAGTTGTGAAGTTGAACCAAGATTATATTTTCAAGCCATGTTTCTGAGGATATAATTGTCTCCTGACTTCTGAGTTATACGTATTATGTACCAATGTTGTATCTTGAATTTGAACCCATATCTTGACTTATGGCCTTCTCATTGGTAGGAAGGATCAGCTTTGATAAACGTGGTTCTAAGTATATATGAGAAAGAGAGGTTAGGATTAACTAAAAAAAGGGGTTGCGTCACAGTTCACACAATCAAGCAAGGCCTTACTTGTGTGGATGTGTCGATTGTTTGTTATACGAACTAGGCATCGATTGTTTTGAGATGTAATTTATGTGTGTACGTCTGTGTTTATAAGAGAATCAAATGTATTTAAGTACTTTTGCAAATTGCAAACCAAAGATCTTTTCCGTTTGCGTTTAGCCTTTAGGTTTACAATCAACAAAGAAATATTGAGATGTTTGAGGATTGTTGGTTCATTCGAAAAACAAAATACAAATGTAAACGTAAACGTAAACGCAAACGCGCAACTACAAAAAGGCATATAAGATTCGAATAAGTATACATAGGAAACTGGGGCTATAGTTTAGTCTTTCTTGTTTATTGGATAGATTTTAGGAAGCATTTTGGGAACTGTAAACAAGGCAAAACCCTACGTTTCCTTAGTTTGCTTGATTAGTGGAATAAAGGAGAATTCGATTTGGTTCTGATACTTTCAGTTAAATCCTTTCTTCTCCCACTGGTCTTTAATGTGTTGACGGATTCGGCTTTGTGGTGTTACTTTGATTTTTTTTTTTTGTAGTTCAAATAACTTTTTACAGTTGTGCTTTACATGTTTGATGCAATCAAGTCTGTTCTATCTAGATGTAAATAAGAAACTCATTCTTGAAGATGATCATGATAGGTCCTATCAAAAAATTTCGTCAGCTTTTGTGTTCAATTATCATCTTGTAGATGGACTGTAGAATGTGGTCAGATTCACGATCACGAGTATACAAGTGGGAATAGTTATTCTTGTCAATAGATAAAAGCTGATTCTACTTGGAAGTCGAAGATGTTACAACTTACAAGTAGATGGATTGTTGTTCATTTGATTAGATGTATCATCAAGATCTTCATCATTCTTTTAACTTTGTAATTTTATATATATATATATATATTAAAAATGCCTATGCGATTTTCAATTATGTATCTAAAGTATGTGTATTTTAAATTTGCTTTGCTATGTGCAAAAAAAGAAATTTTGTTCTTAATGATAAATGTGTCACTATTCGCTCACCCTCGGAAATAGTCTGCATTAACTCGTAGCTTTAACTTCGAGAAATCTACGACCAAATATCTTATCGTAACTTAATTATGAAAAAGTAATACTAATGATTCATTGTAAACTTATTTGGTTAGAGGGACGAGTATGTAACCAAATCCAAACTGTGCATTTCTGTTGAGTCTAAGAAAGTTGATATGTCAAACAAATTTAAACATCTGGTTTGTTTTAATCTATTCTTATTTAACTATTTATTTAAACTGGTTTTACAAATCAAAAAATTTAATTTTGAATATTTGTATATTGAATTGTATGTGATACTTTTGTGAATGTGTTCGATGATAGATATCCACTCATGTTTCCACCACATATATACACGTTTGTTTTGACAGTAATTCTATGCAACGTAGACTAAAACTCATATGATCATATCAGTTATTGAATTATTGACCCATCCTCGTCAAGTCAACGAAATCGTCTGGTCTGGGAGGAAGATTCAACCAAACCGTCAATTGGGTTATGTCTCATTGTCTCCGTAAAATTTAATGTCTTCAAATTGGATTTGAAATGTTTTTCCACTGAAGAAGAAAGTTCCTCGTCCTTACAATCATTCACTCATTGCAAAAGAAGTTTGGAAATTAGTGTATACAAAGAAATCAAATAGAAATTTCACAAAGTACCAAAAGTAGAGAAAAATGTGAAGATGAAGAAAGAAAAAAGGGCAAAGCATTGACTCATAGAAAGGCTACATGTCTTTTTCTTTTCCTTCTTTAATTTGATTTTATTAGTATTATTATTATTTCCTCTTGTTGTGGGCCTCATTATTACCTCCTTGTTCAAGAAGGTGTAGTTGTGAATAGAGCCTATGTTGTGTGTTATGTCTATGCTATATCATCGGTCAATTTTTTTTTCTTTTTCTTGGAGAAATGATAAAGCCACAATTAGAATGTATCAAATCGATTGATATTTACTTCTTTTATTGATCACCACTGTATTGACATTATGATATGTCCTAAAATCGTAAATTTTCATGGGCTTATCATACCCAAAGATATAAACAGGTTAATTCGCACACACAAAAAAACGAATTAGGTTAGATAAAACAATGATTGTATAAAAATGGTTCAATTTATAAAGGTTGATTATGTTTTTTCAGCTTAGTTCAGTCGTTTTATTAAAATATGATGTGATCGATTGTGAATGCTTTTACTACTTATTAGGGATTCATATTAAAAAGAGAAAAAAAAAATCTATAATATTGTAATGTGTTGCTCATTTTATAACTGATTGGCTAAAAACATCATTTCGAGAGATATATTATAAGAAAACCTCACACTGTAAACAGTTGGAAATAATACAAGCCATGACTTTTTGTATTCTCAATTGGTGAAGTTTAAAAACAGTTTTATTGTATACATATCAAAGGCTTCTTTTTTGTTTGTTAAAAACATATCAAAAGACAACAATACTCGAACGGATATCCACTAAAAAGTTGCATTCGATCCAAAAGTGATCGACTTCACTTAGTCATGAACTTCAAAATGTATATGGAGAAAAATCTATGCTACATGAGACCTTATCGAAGCATATAGTTGTTGTCTATATTCCATAAGTTACTTTTTAAATCATGTTTTATGACATGAAACTCTTTAAATTTATAGCTTGATATATATTTAAGCAATAACTCATGTGTCAAAGACTTTAGTTCTTGAATAATCCAGCTTACTGATACCTCCGAAAATTATACAAAATCAATACTCTCTCTGTTTCACAAAGAATGTCGTTTTAAGATTTTATTTTTGTTTCACAAAGAGTGTCGTTTTATATTTTCAATGTAAAATTTTAAACAATATTCCAGTTTTAACCCTATTAATTTAATGTATTAATTAGATGAAAACAAATTATTTAATGTATTAATAAAGGACAAAATTGTACTTTTAATAATTTTCTTAATATGTGTGAAAAATATCAGAATGACATTTTTTGTAAAACGGAGAGAGTATAAGTTTTTGATCATATTTTGTAAGTACGTAGTTTGGGTTGCCATCCTCCAAAAATAAAATGGTACATGTAATAATCATGTAAATGATACTAGCTTGTAATGTTGGTAAAAATAAATGTAGTTATGATTTTCCCCACAGTTCTACATATTAATAAGAATGTATATACGAAGAAAGTGCATCATGGAAACAGCAAAATATTTGTGACAAAAAAATTTAAAATTATTATATGCATGATGCATCTTACAATGAATCCTCGAATATTCTGGTTGCAGTTTTGTTTTGCTTTTGTTTTATCCGGATAATGATGTGCATTATAATTTACAACATCTTCCAATGTATTTTTTCACTCTTTACTTACCTTTTTTCTTTATCTTTTTATCTTTTTCTTTTATGGTCTTTTGGTCCACTTTTCTTGGCATCCCCCCACGTGGTAAGAACCAAAGACAATCATCAAGATTCAAGCCTATGAAAAGAAAAGAAACAAAGGGATAAAAACCAAAGGGAATCATTTTGATCCCTTATTCAGTTATTTGGTTTCATATTAGCTTCACTAAATCATATGCTAACATTTTAATCACTTTTCTTTAATCAAATTGTATCAAGAACAATTTTCTTGCAACCAACTTTAATTATTAATGAAAAATTGTAATTGAGGGAAATCATGTGTCTTCTCCGTAATGTAATTGTAAATCTTTGTCGACCAAATCCTTTTTATATCAGGAAACAATAATTGATTTAGTTAGTTCGGTTACATTATAACACTCTTTCTTATTTTGCCATTGTCCCTTTAAACTAGTAAAGAGTTTTTCCCTTCCCAGGCCACCCCAGTCCATAAACTTTGTATAATAGGGTTAATCTTCCTCGATAGATTTTTGAGTTAATAAGATAAATAATAAAAAAAAGCAATGCACTTTGGGATACAAATAAAACTTCTCGACAAGTTTATCTTTTGGAAATCTATAGTTAAATTAACGGAATATGATAGAACTTTTAATTTTTGTAAAGTGGAAAAAATTATTCCAATTAAAGTTTATTTATAAGAAAAAGGTTAAAGGGAATGAAATTTATAAGCGTGTTGAAAGCTTTTATTAGTTACTTTTAGGTGATTTATTTTTAAATCCTTTAGTTTCCTCGAGCTCGAATGGAACTTTCCTAGAAAGGAAGTTGGAAACTTTGGAACTAACATGTAAGATCATGATGATGCATCATACATGAAGCACCCCGCATCATGATCCTAAGTTCTCAACACATGTTCATGCATGTATTATTATTTAATTGATATTGAATGAGATGTCGCATCAAACGCACATGCACAATAAAAACATGAATACGACGACTATATATTGACGTTAATTTTAATTACTTATTAATGAATATTTTTCTACAACAATAAATAAATTAATTTGGCTTTACGTTACCATAAAAAGAGTAAAAGGAAATAAATAGTAATGTGAGCATTGATGTAATGGGTTGGCATTCACTATCTATTGACTTACCTATTGAATTCGCTAACATATACTAACAAAATTTTGTTTTTGACCAAAACAATACTAATTTATTTCGCTTTTCACTTCATAACTAAAGTTTACCAAAGAAAACCCAAGCCGTAAATTTACAAAGAGCAAGAATATATACCAAAAATGACCACCCTGAACGTATATGCCTTAACATAAACAAATCGATTTTCAGTTCATTATAAACGATTTAATATAATTTTGATGTGTTAATAAGAACTGAACAAAATTAGATTTTGTTTCTTTTGGCAACAAGACACTCTTGAGATTTTATTAAAAAGAATATCATATCCATTATTTGGTAGTTGATAGTTTTATTAATTTGATTTTCGAGTAGGTAATGGTTGAATTCTCATTTCCCATGATTTCGTACGTATACAGTTTAAATATATGTTGAAAATTGTATAGTATTGTAAATGGACTGATGTATATATATATATATATATATAATATTTATATATATGGACTCAAATGTGTCCAAAAATTTAAGGAATAATATATACCAACAGTTACAACTTACAAGACGGGAGAGGGCATGAAGCAGAGGACAAGAGCATTCCCATCCAACTGGCTCTAATTTTAAGTAGAGACACCTAATACCGACAGGTCGGACACCATTTCTTCAAGCCCTAATTTTATCCCCAAGTTGAAAAAATATATCTTGAAAAATTATTATTATCGAGCTGCGACATTATATGTACTCAAACTCAAGGTTGACAAAAAAAAGAACAAAAAATAGAGGTCACATTGGTTATACTTATACAGATTTTCCATGAAAATGTGGTAAAGTTGTATATGGTTGTATATACACCAACAAAAACAAAAGTTGTATATACACATTAGTTTTGCATTAATATGCTATGTTGAACAACAAAAATGTGTAATGAGACGACAGAGATTTCCAATCAAGTGAGTGGTGGGAAAGACGAAACTACGTAAGCTAATTTAATACGATGGAAAAAGAAAGCGAATGGTAGTTATATAATTATGCATTTATTATGTACTTTTGACTCAGTATTTATGGACATTCACCACGCACTTTTAATATTAATAATATACTGTCATTATTATTTTTTGGCGTAACTCTTCTTACAGGCCAAAAAAACTGTGTAGAGAGTAGACAGACAACAAGACACAACTAATATTGTAAGTTACTCCATATTGTAAATTAAACTCTTGGTTATTTATAGTAAAATACATACATCTTCCCAACTTGTATTGGTGAATGGTGTTTAGCACTGGAAAAAAAAAGAATTGTTGGCTAATTGTGTGACGCTGTGTAAACCATTTTTTCTTCTAAATGATTTTTTTTTACTATGAAGTAAAGTACTTAGATATAAAATGTAATACAACCGTTTTTTAAAAAAAAAAAATGTAATACAACCGTTGGTAGCTTAGTTCGGTGAATTAGGCGAATTTGTTGAGATTTTATTCCCGAATTTCAGCTTTCACTTAGAGAGGACCGAGGCTCCTGAATTAGTAGGATTACAAAATCAATCATAGAAGGCCCCATGACCTCAATTATTTGTTAATCGAGATATAACAGTGTAAAATAGTTTTGGTTAGTATTGTCAACATGTCACCATACTCAACTGCTAAAACTTTATGTTTTGAATGCTATAATGCCATGCATGGAATAAGAACCTTTTTTCTCGAGTTTGTACAATAAAGGACTATCGTTTATGATTTATTTCCTACAAAGAAGATATGTGATAGCTATCACATTATAATCAAATACAAACTTGCCCATTTTCCTGCTGCCAATCTCGTCATTATTCATGTATTCCATTAGTAAACTGTTTTAGTTGAACATGTAATTTTTATTTGTTCGCTGTCATTTTTAGTTTTATCTTTTATCTTAAAATGACAACGATCCTTTTTAAAAATAAAATAAAATACAGCAAGATTCGTTCGATGAAATACAAGCAAGGACAATCATTTGAGCTAGTTATTTTATAATACTCAGAGCTGAAATTAGAACAAAAACAAAAAAAAACAATATGAAATCTCTTTTTCCATTCTTCATAGTAGAAAATATTTGCATGTTTAACTTAAGAATTTAATGCCTAAAAAAAAGTAAAGAGAAATTCAAAATTGCAATTGTACTAGAAAACCCAAAAAGAAAAAGTTTTTTTTTTTTTAAATACTAACATGCAAGAAAAAGGAAAAAAGTCGTCTTTCCCGAAAATACCCCAAGATTATAGCGTATTTACATCTCTACCACCACCACAGTCCAATTTTCCGCCGCCGTCTCACATAACGACGCAGGCATTCGGATTCTCATCGCTGAATATCTGAGGCGCATGGGTTTGAACCGGATATCCGTAAGGCCCACCCGGATAATACCCGAACCCGTAAGCAGGCTGAGCCGCCACGTACTCCATCATATTCACTCCCTCGCCGCCTTTATTACCGGATTTATCCTTTCCTCCGTCGTCTCCTTTCTTCTTATCGCCAGATTCGTTCTCTTTTCCGTCCTTATCTTTCTTCGCCGGCGGCACAATCTCCACCGGACGTTTCAGCTTCTCCTTCAAACTCTCGACGAGCTTTTTCACATCCATTGTTCCTTTCACCGTCACCAAATTCTTCTCCTTGTCCATTGTTATCCCGTTTACACCTGCGATTCCAAAAACAGAAAAACAGTATTTAGCGTTTAACCAAAAACGGCGTTTTAAAAAAACGCGATTAAATAAATTACTCTGTTTTTGTCGCTAACCTTTGGTTTTAGTGACAGTCTTCTGGATTTTCCCGATACAACCTTGACAGTGGAAGTTCAGCTTCAATACCGCCGTTGTTACCGGAGGCTGAAAATATAAAAAATCAAAATCATTATGAGCTGAAATCAGAATCCAAAAACATCCTGATTATATACGAACACTCAGAATCAGATTCTTGGCATTGTAATACGAACAGGTAAAACAATTTAGTAAAAAAGGAGAAGATTTTTACCTCTTTGGGTTTTTTCTCGTTGTCTGTCTTCTTCTCCGATTTATTTTCTTTGTTTTTGTCTTCATCGCTTTTGCTTTTGTCCTTGTTATTGTTCTCTTTCTCTTTCTCCTTTTTGGGCTGAGGAGAAATCAGCTCGACTTTCTTTTTTGTCTTCTCTTCAAGTCTTTCCCGGAGTTTACCCGGATCTACTGCCCCGGTAACCGTTAATTTCCCAGACGCCGACTCCGATTTCACCGTCTCAACGCCTGGGATACACATTATTGTTAATTTCTCAGTATCAACCCAACAGAATAGGGATTTTCGAAAACGACCCAGAAAAAATCCAGTACAGATTCCGGGAAAAAAGGACCCATAACGTTCGATTTTTTCATGCAATCACACGCACAGAGGAATCGAATATCTGTTTCAAAAATCAAACCTTGGAATGCACGAACGGTTTTAACGATTCGGGAAGCGCAGCCTTCGCAATGCATATCGACCTTCAAAACGACAGTGACAGACGCCGTTTTCTTCTCGGCGGCTGAGTCGTTGTTTTTCTTGCCTCCATCGTCTCCTTTATGCTCGTTGTTGTTGTTGTTGTTATTCTTCTTCTGCTCAGAAACAAAACAGAGAGTGCAAATAAAACCCATTAAATAATAATGCAGAGAGAAAAAAAAAAAGAAGTATGGGAGAAAAATCCGATTGAAAAAAAAAAACGAGAGAAGATTCGAGAATGATAGGGAAGCGGTTTGACTCAGTACCTTGGCCATGGTGACTCGGTTAGTGAGGGGAAAGTAGTGGGAGAAGGAAGTGGGTGGAGACAGAGTCGGAGGAGGGAGAGAAAGTAGAGACCTTTCCTTTGTATTTATAGTCAGTTATAGAATGATGATGATGAATTGGTGTGATGAATGATCGATTGATCATAATGATGCATGGTGTATGTGTATGTGTATGTGTATGTCTATGATGTTATGTGTCCAGCCACATACGTTTTCCGTTTTTTTTTTTTTTTTTTGCTTTTTGTATTCCTTTTTCTCGTTTTTTTTATATTATTATGATTTTTCTGTTAATGCCGATGTATGTTCGTTCTTTGGTAATTTCGGCGTATATGTTGTGATGGTCGCCTACTACATAATTGTATTTTTTCTGTTTCGACGTCGACTATTATACAATGGTAGTTGAAAATATATAGGGAAAAATCATACAACTGTCTACTGCACGAAAATAAAAATAGATCATGGGACTAATTTTGAACAATCGACTGTTCAAAAAAAAAACTCAATCATATGACTAGAAAGACATATACGTACGATATATTTGCCGACTATTTTCTCTTTCTCCAAAATCATAAAATTAAGAAAGTGTAAACTAACTACACTCTAACAAAAAATATAAACAATCAATGTACTTTTACGTTTTCATGAAAAGTTAAAACAATGCAAAAAAAGTGAAGGTTCCTTATGATTTTTGTATAAAAGTGAACTGGAGTATCTCAATTTAGGAAAGTATAAGTAAAACGATGACTTTATGTTTTCATAATTTTTATTTCCAAATTGCTTACAGATTGTTATTTTTGACAATTTTCCATTTTTTTTCTTCAATTTCCATAGCTACTTTTTGGTAGCTACTTTTTGGTTTTCTGGTATTTTAGACGAAACGGGTTTATTAACATAAAGTTTATGCGGAGGACATCGTAAATTTTACGAAACCGATTGTATGTGAACCCAATCATCGGTAAACCTGAATAGCCTAATTCAGTTGTATAGTAGATTATATGATGTTTAAATATTTAAAGAAGTAATTGTTATTTTGTTAGTATTTTTAATGACATAGTTAATTATAATAGCTACTTTTCATTTTCAAAAATTATTTCATATCTTCTATCTTGTTCTGTTGTTCATTATTTTGTTTTTTCCATTTTTTCCTGTTCTATAAAATTAAGAAATATCGAATTTGAACCCATATATAGCTTTTAGTTACTAGTCTGAGAATAGTGACTAGTCTTTAAAAATCCCTATGAAAGAATAAGTATTATTTACTAACGGAAACTCAAAGTTGGACACAAATACTTAATATCATCGAAAACGAATCCTTTCTCACCAAATAAGCTACATGCATGGGTACATTGTTTAGAGAAAGTTTCTTTACTTCTTAACATCAGTTTTCATTCATCATTAACATAATACAAGGTTAGTGCCATTGTTAATGTCGGGTTTACAATGATAGATTATAGATAGATATGTTGTAAAAATCTTGGCTCGCCATGGAAGCTAAATTTTCAGCAGCGTATATTCTCTTCCCTCTTCAGTCTTCCCTTGTCTTCAAGTATGAATAACTTGTTACCAAAAAAAAAAGTATGAATAACTCTCAGAATTGCTTTTTACATTTTGTTTTCTAAAACTTACATAATAGTTCTTGTATTATTCTATAAGAAATGAACTTTCGAGTTTATATGACAGTATTATGCTCTATGAAACATTTGGAAGTAATTTTAAGCTCGAATGCTAGTTACATGTTAAAGGGACTTCAATCAAACCAAATAACTTGAGGTTTCATCATTTCATGATACTACAAGGCCTGAATAAGGCCTAAATAAAGATGGTTTTAGTTGGGCCGCTATATATTGTTAATAGAGGAAGTGGCCATATGTATAATGACGCTCACGGTAGTAATTGACAACGGGCTTCTTTCTTTCCGATAAAAAAATTGCTTATGCCACTCTAACAAACGTAACATATGTAATGAGGTTTCTCAGGACTTAAATTATTCCAGGCATGTATGGATCGGCAATTTCCATCAAAACTAGTTTGATGGCTACATTTTTTCGAACATGCTAAAGAAGAAACACTTGGAAATTTCATTATGTTGATTGTTGATACATTTATCAAATAGTTTCATTGGTAATCCAATTTGGAGTGGTTAGAAGCTGAACCGCTTATTTAAATATCAATCGGTCGGATGTAATGGACGGTACGTTGAAACATAAGTTAATAATAAACGTTTGTGACATATGAATTTAAGGTAAAACCAACATTTAGACCAACAAAATTTTTTTTTAAGGTAAAACCAGTTTGACCTGTTTAATTATACAAGACCGTTTACAACCGTATGATTACCAAACAATACTCTTTAAATTACTATTATTCATTTGTGGCCCATCACAATCATTTCAGGAATTGTAGGAACTCTTGTGGTTTAAAAGAAAACGAAACTTAATGGAAAAACAGAAACGATCGTTACATTGTAACTCTGAAACTAAGATTTTGAATATTGAAGATAAATTAAATGAGAGTAAATACTAGTAAATACTAGTAATAGTAACACTACTAGTAACGTTTCTGTTAGGCCGGCGTGTTACATTTCTGTCCCTATAATTTTTCATTTTCTTCTTCCATAGGAAAGAAAGAAAATAATTTATGTTCGAAGGAGGAGATAAAACCAAAACCATCTGGCAGGGATATGTATGTCATTGTGAACAGATGAATAGTGTCTGTAATTTCCATCAATCAATTTCTCCTGGCCGCTTGAGTCAGTGACCAAAGGTGATGACTTTTATACACAATCCTTTTCTTTCTCTTTGTCTCTACACTATGTAACTCAACATATACTACCAATAATAAGGTCTCTCAATTTCTTAAAAATATATACTACTTAACTACATATTACTATTTTTACCTATGGAAAACAATGAGAAAACAGTTTTATATCTTATAAAATTTATTACTATAATAAATTCTAAAACATCTATCAAAAATTAAATAATAAGAATGATATTGACCAGATATGTCAATTAGAATCAAAATTTTAAATCGGAATTATGTGTATGATCGAACAAGAAAAAACAGTTACTTTTTTGTTTGGATCTATTGGAGAGTATAGTTTATTTTTATTTTTTTTGTTATCAGGTAGCGAAAACTTTTTCTATTTAGTATTTAAAAACAATTTTTTGGTAATAGATGTTGAGAAAATGAAGCGGAATAAGTGTTTCTATCCCTAATTTTTTAGTTGATTCAAAAACACCGCTACTATTACTGTACATAAATCATATATAATGTAGGAAAAGATTACAAACAAATGAGCAATAGATTTTTAAATATTTCTATAGGCCTATATATATTGTAGTATGTACTCTTTATAATGAACAGATAGTCTAGTGAAAATATTATTTCTTACAAGTGGTCCCATATCAAAATTTATTTTTCACAACCAGAACAACAATATCCCCATGAACAAATTATGAATCACCCTTGTTACAACAAAAAAATGAATCAGTAATATCAGTGAAATTTGTTTATTAAGTGAAATCAGTAACTCCACACAACTTTTTTTTATTAAGAATTCAGTTTTATATTTTTGGAATATCAGTGAAATTTGTGCGTGTCATCCTTGCGCAGGGGCCATGCAAATAAAAAAAATATCAGTGAAATTATTTGTCCAGTACAGCAGTACTACAATTTAGAACTGATGACTATTTTTTATACCCCGGTCTGGAGTTTTCATCATCATATACAAAATACAAATAAAATTCGTTACAAATTATTTATTTATGGGACACTTCGTTTTGCAAAAGTTTGAATCTTTAACATATTCTATACTATTTATAGCATATACTTAAAATAGCAACTCTCATCTAACTTTAAAAATAATCAGCAATGCTATATAATAAGATATTTATTACATACACTTTTGTTATACGTTCTTACTAAAAGCTCATATGATCTTACTCGCCACAAAAAAGAAGATCTACTCTTCAACCATTGACACATCCGTTTAGGTTTCATCAAATCAAATCTCCCATTGTCTCTTCTTAACTAGCAATATCTTCAAGATCGATAGAATAATAAAAACAAAAACACAAAATCCCATAAAAACTGATCATAGTCTCTCTCTCTCTCTCTCTCTCTCTCTCTCTCTCTCTCTCTCTATCTCTCTCTCTCCTCCCATACCTCATCAAATCTTTGATTTTACTAACAGTCAGTCCAAAATATATTTATATAAGAAGACAAGAGAGCCTAGAAGAACTAGGAGTAGAAATAGGGCAAGCACTTGGGTTGTAGGAGGCTAGTACTGCTTTTGTTCTCAGCTAGGTTGCTTATGGAACTAGAAGATGAAGCTGAGCCTGAACCTGAACCACCGATGTTTATGTTAGAATTAGTGCCTGTTCCACTAATCATTTGCTTCAAATCCCCATGCCCATTGCAGTTATTGTAATACCCTTGTATGAAATCCCCATTGTACCCTTTTACCCTCTGGTCAATGTGGTGGTCTATCATCATCATCATCATCATCTCTTCTTGCTTCGGCATAATCTCTGATCTCTTTCCATGGACGTCTGAGGAGAAACTTGTGTGGTGGTTGTAGTGATCACACATATTGTGATTGAGCAAGAAACCACTTGTGCTCGTAATGTAGTTTTTGTTGCTGTCCGAAAGAGAGAGATCTTGAGGGTAATTCGGGTAAATGAAGGGAAAGATCTGTTGATCATGAGCTTCAAAGGAATTAGTGTTGGAGATGAGAGATTTTATTGGGTTCTGATCAAGGTTTTCAACATATGGGTTATAAACGGAAGGTGGGATTGTAGTTGATGGGGTTAATGGCCTTTTCACATCCTGAGAATTAGGGTTTTGAAAAGGAGAAGCCATGGCCGATGATGAATGAGAGGAGGAGGAAGAAGACAAAAGTTTCTTCCTTAGCTTTGTGTTCCAATAGTTCTTGATGTCGTTGTCTGTTCTTCCCGGTAGATGAGCTGCTATTATTGACCACCTAGATGAATAAATGTTGCTCGTAATTTTGATAAAGTATAAAGCTCGTTCTAGAAAATATCCAGGTTCAGAGTTATTTTGATCATTAGTTCTAAATGATACATAGATTCATTAGTTCTAAATAATATTTTTTAAAAAATATTAAGGAGAGGGAAATAATTACTCCTTTTAACCTATATCAGTATAGATACTATTCAAGGGACCTTCATATGCAAGTGGACAACAAATTAAAACCAATTATATATTTTTAAGTGTAGAGCTTAATAAACCTATTATATTAAAAAGATCATGGGAGAATTTTAATATGGAACCTGCTTCCGATGGCAGCGAATAGACTGAAAATGATCCTGTCTTCTTCCTCAGAAAAGTCACCATGTTTTATGTTTGGTCTCAAATAGTTTAGCCACCTCAATCTACAACTCTTCCCACATCTCCTCAAACCTTAAACAACAACAAACAACAACAAAGAAGAGGCTCTAATTTGGGCTTTAAAGTTAAAAAAATGTGAAACAGAGTTTAGTTAGGAACATATATACTTACCTGCTTTGAGAGGAAGAGAGATCCAATTTCCACCATTACCATACTTCTCAATGTAATCTCTAAGCTTAGAGTCTTCCTCAGGAGACCAAGGCCCTCTCTTCACCTTTGCCTTGTCGCAACATGGAGCTCTTCCCATTGTCTCGCGGTAGTCGGCTAGTGTGTTGAAGATTAGAAGAAAAGAAAAAGAGAGAAACTGTTATCTCTTTCTTCCTTTTTCGAAGATGGACCTTTTGAGTTTATGGAGTGGTTGAATTTGTGCCCTTTTAATAAGAGACTTGGATTTGGACTCACCCTATCAATAATTATTATTTTTATTATTACTGAATTATATAAAGGAACATTAATTTATATTTCATTTGTCTCAAAAGCTACGGGTGTGAGAAGTCAACATGATTGACATGCATGCATATTCATTGTGCGTGTTTGAAAAATTTAGATATCCAATTATTCAATTATTTATTCGCGCTTCGTTTTGATGAAATTACACTAATAAAATCACTATTCAAATTTAAATAAAATCATGTGGCTGCTCTTGCTTTTGTTTTTGTTTTGGTAAACCCTCTCTGTCAATTATTTCTGAGGATCTCACTATCTTTTCTCTGCACTATAATTATATTTGTAAATACATTAATATTCTTTTGATTTTATCAACGGATACATATATCATATATGTAATCTACAATATTAAACATGTGATTTAGATTTTTTTTTTTGGTCAACGTGATTTAGATATTAACAAACAAGATATGGTACATGAATGTCTTCCAATTTTTTGATTTCAGATGAATAGAGTTATAAAAATGAATCAAATTTGTAAGTAGACGAAAAGTCTGAAAAAAACAAAGTTGAAACAAAAAAACAAAGTTGAACCTATTGAAAATGCAAAAAAAACTTACATAATATATCAAAATCAAAATCCAGAACTTTGTGCTGAGTTTGAAAAAAAAAAAGACAATCATTAACTGAAATTTTCTGCTGATATCTTTGGTTGCTTGATTTTATCATTCGTCAAAAATTATATGCATTATATTATGCATATCAACTGTTTAGTACATCATCATGAATTTCAAAAATAAAAGGAAAAGAAAAAGTTCCCAAGCGGTGGTGATATTACACGGGTAAAAGGAGGAGAACATGCAACAAGCGGAGACAGCATTGGTCGGACCAGTGAACAATATGTAACTGTCTGATAATAAAGTGACAACAAAACAAAAATCCATTTTTGTGAAATCTCATTAACCAAAGATTTATCATCACGAGTTGACTTGCCAATGTTGTTTTCATTATTACATTTAGTAAAGTGCCAAAAGAACCCTTCATGATTATTCATATCGTACTACTTTGATGGAAACTTGCATGCATGAATAAACATTTAATTAATTTTACACAAACATATACAATACATATATGTAATTATGTATATATGAGTTTCATGATGATCAGGTGTATATTTGGACCGACTAATCAACTTCAGAGCTAATGACCCATCAATGGGTACATATCCATATATGTAAAACTGATAGATCTACTGTTTACATCATTTAAGGTACATTTGTTCGATGAAATTGTTTCACGCAGATACAGTCACACACTCATTACCTCATTTGTGTAAATAATATGTATCAATGTATGCATGTATATATGTGTACAAATGGCCAAACAAAAGTTTCCATATCCATGATGTACATGTACTTCCTAGATTTTCCAACAAATGTTTTTGCTTACATTTACATGTGTTACAAAAAGAACGTAAATGCATGTGTTAGTTACAGTTATATTATTGGTAAGATGTTTGTTTTTCGATCATCTTCCCTAAATCCAAACAATCAGTTTTAAAAGTCATCGATAAGATTTGTTTTTTACTTTTTTTTTAATTAAGGCATGACATGCGCACTTCTGAAACTCTTTTGGATTACATTACCTCGTAATAGAAAACAGAGAAAGGCTTTAGATGAATTCTAACCAGTGAGATACCGAGTCAGACAAAGCGCCACAGCTTCGACACGGACTGGAATCGGCTGATGGATTTCGCCGGAAGTCGTGCGTTTAAGATGAAAGGGTTGTCGCGCGAGTATCTGATTTACATCTGTTGGAAAAAAATAATTAATTTAAATTCGTTAAGTCAAACTATGATTGGAGGATATATGAATATTAAAAAGACAAGAGTCTTTTTCTCGTTTGACTCTCGGTATAGCTAAGGTCTTTTCCTCAACGGTTGGCAAACTAAAGTGGACAAATTACTAGAATTTTTTCCAGGCTGTTAAACCATTTTTCAACATATCAATTTCTAAAAAAAAATTAAAAATTAAATAAATACTTCAAGTTAATAGTTAAATACTATTGAGTAATGACCTTCAAAATATTATAAAATATAATAAACACCTAAGTAAAGTATTATTAAATTTGATTCAAACAAATAATTCAGTTTATCAACCAGCAACTTTTGTTTTTGGTGGTACCTAAACTTTTTTATGATCTTATTTTTACCACCTTATATGACATTTTCTGCACATCCAAAAGTAAGATTTATCTCATGTAACGATAAGATATATGTTAAGTTATTTATTGATTGATGTTATGGTTTGTGTGCGATGAAACTTAAGTTCCTATGAGTATATTTAAAGAGAACTACGATCCTAAAGGTTATTGGTTTCTGTCTGAAAAAAAATTTCTTCATTCAAGTGTCGAGCTATGGTTCTGTAGGGGGGAAAATGGTTCAAGAAAAAAAAATCAAGCTTATTTACAGTGAATACACGTGAAGCTCTTTATTAATTTCTGGGAAAAAGCACGACATATACTGTATTCTCTTTGCTGTAAAAAATGAGGATAAAAGTGTTTTGAACTACAGTAATTATGATTGGAAAACTCTCATACTGATTTGCAAGAGTAATTAACAATTCTTTAGAAGTTTCCAGAATAACGAATAAAGGAGTGCGGAGCCCACAAGTAACGAGTGGCACAAAGAGACACTGGGGACCGCATGAGGATGACCACAATGTAATACAGTAATACGTATAAATAAATGGAAATTTCAGATTTTTTAACTTTTATCTAAATATATTACCAAAAAGTCGAACTTTTTTTCTTTAGAAGTTAAAACTGAATAACTGAGGATCTATATATACCTAAAATAATAAATTTAAAGTAGATTTGTTTCCTTCGTTGCCTATTATTTTTTATCTTTTATCAATTTATAAGTCTTTTTTTTTAAGATATGTACCAATATAAAAGAACACAAAACAATCAAAAATGTACACACACTCTCTCGACCTCCAAAATGTCTCCAATCCCAAATGGTTTAAATTCTTATGGTGATAGTACTATGAATCTTCATGGTTCTAATCCCATCCAAATGAGCTCCAGCTTTCCGGATCACGATACTAGAATGGTTCGGTCAGTGTTCATTACTTCTGGCCACACGAACCATCATGGTTTGTTTTCTTCCTCTCGTCATGCTATCAATTGTTATCAAGATTTACAACATATCTCTTCATCTTCTTCTTCTGGTTTCAATAATTCACATGTGGCTTATCAGATGAGAGAAAACATGGTCTCTAATGTCGTTGATTACTTTCCTCTTAACAATAACCCTCATCTTTCTCAAGTTACTATCACTGAAACTATCACAAATGGGTACTCTGCTATTGTTCCTACTAGTAATTTGGTCACTATCCAAAATGAATACGAACGTGCCATGAATCCCAACATTTTAAGTCCTTCCTTTTACCCTCCAACTTTTGTTGACAAACAGTGCGAGATCTTAAACCCTACACCTCTCAATACCATACCTCCTCATGAAAATTCCGTATTCCCTAGGCATTTAGACCTATTTTCTTTTTCACCAAGGCACCAACATGACCAACATGTTCCCCATCGTCGACCAGTGAAGAAACGTTGTAAACCAACCAAGTATTTTGAAGAAAGCTTTGATGGATCTGATTCTGAGAAAGATGGTGAGTATGATGGTAAGACACACAGCCTACCGTATGAGAAATACGGTCCATATACGTGTCCCAAGTGCAACAATGTGTTTGACACTTCACAAAAGTTTGCTGCACATATATCGTCAATTCACTACAAGAATGAGACCGTCGAGGAAAGAGCTAAGAGATATAACGCGAGGAACAAAAAAAGATTTCGCAAGACAAACCAAATGATCCATGGGGAATCTCAGATGATTCAAACGGAAGACAGAGTTGTAGAGGAAAGTAGAGGCTATAACAACATTGTAAGTGACATTGAAGCTTTCCAACATCATCCGATTGTCAAGGAAGAGCCTGTTCATGATTTTGTTTGATTAAATCTGTTTTTGGTTGTTTTTTTTCTTAAGTTTATAATAAATTAAACAATAATGTATTTTTTCCTTGTTTTTAGCATTTCCTCATCTTTGTTGACAAGTGATTTAGTCATCGCTTGGATCGAATCCCCTCATGAGCGCAAGAAATTTTAAATGATTTTGTATGTTTTTTGCGTTTTAATGTATAATGTATGCATGCTTAAGGTTCAAAAAAAATGTATAATGTATGATTCAATTGTGTTTTTGGTTTAGTTTATTCCAAAACTTTGAATAAGTTTTACTCCATGCGCTATGTTGCAAAGTCAAATCCATGCAAGGATAAAATGTTGTCTTCCATATTTCAAACTAAACAAGCCTTTCTGATTTCAGCGAGACCTTTTTATTTACGAACGAGCATAGAGAATTATAAAAGAACGATATCGATGTATAATCGAACTGGAATCACTTCTGATCAATTAGTTATTAATTTATTTTCTAAATAAAACATATAAATCTTCGGCTCGACAATATAATCATTGACGAACTGTTTCACCATTCGGAGTAGCGAGCTTTCCTTGCATCCAATTCTGAAGCATTTGCAAAGAAGCCTTGGGCTGATCCATCGGGACCATGTGTCCAGCGTCATGAACCTTTTCATTAAAAAAGATTGTAAGTCTGAAAATTGAAATTACAAAAAAAAAAAAAAAAGAGAGAGAAAAGGGAGTCTATTTTCAGTCGTAGTTATTACATTAATAATTGGTTGGTTCATCGGTTTTATTCGTTTTACCTTAAGAAAAGTGAGAGAACCGTGATTCTTCATCAAACCCGCTTCTTTGCCATCTACCAGGAACGGTACTGTCTTGGCTGATCCAAATTCCTTTTGGCCTGACCAATTCATCTGCTCAACCCACCTAGAGTTTCCTGTATATACAAAATAACTTAATCAATTAGACTCAGCTAGAACCAGATGTCTAAACCGAGATTAAACCATTTTCCTACTTCACTAACAAAACACTAGCTAGCAAATGAAACTCTTTAATTCCTGAAATTATGATGGAAACCAGCGAAAACCACAAACGAAACTACACTCTTGACCTTTTGTTTCAGTTCTCTCGGTTCATAACCTTCACCATAATCGAATAAGAAACATTACAAGATACCTATTTTGGCAATTCTGATAACAATATCTTACCAAGCCAATTGCAAATGAGATCATATTCTCCGGCGTAAACAAGGAGATTGATTCCATCTTCGACAAGAGCCGGAATCTTGACCTCAAGATTAAGCATCCAATCCTCCATCATTGCATTATAAACTGTGGTACTACACGACACAAATTTGATATCTCCAACTCCTAAAGCTTTTCTTACGTTTTCTTGGTTCAAGAATGTTTCCATCTTCGAAAAGTCATAGCAATGGCTTCCCACACATTTCTTTCTCACGTCATAGTACTTAAGACAAATAAACCAAGAAAATCTTTGTAAGCGAAAAAACCCAAGAAAAATGGTTCAATATTTAATGCATGTTCTCAATGCTTACATTTGTGCCTTCTATTTTATTCATAATCAGGTTGAAGATGGTGTTGCAAACATCATAAGCAGAACCACACGCTTCACCACCATTATTGTCTGAATTTCACAAAACAAAAGTTTTCTTTAAAATTCAAAACTTTTAGTTGAACCCGGATCCGAAAACACTCATAAAAAAGTTTTTTTTTTTAAAAAAAAAATATAAATTACTGCATTGTTTGGTGGAACTTTGACAGTCAATGTAATCTTGCTTGAGGCTCTCGTGATCGGACTGTGAGATCAACTTCATTTCCAGTGCATAATCTCCATATGCACCATATTGGATCTCCGGGTTGGTTAAACCATTACCAATCGCAATACCCTGATTTAAAAGGGGATTAAACGACCAAACATAAACCATTGAAAAAAAGAGTGAAAGACTTACCTTAAGGTTTATTGGAATTCCTTCATTATTCTTGTTTCCACTGTGAACTCGTGAAGCCAAAGCTGGAATGTAGTGACCGGCGTAGGACTCACCAGTAATATAGAAATCGTTTTTTGCAAATTTCGGATGTTCTTTGAAAAAAGCCTACCAAGATTCAAAGATAGAACCCCAAACCATTAAAATCATTAAAATTCCAAAGAACATTCTTTTCTTAGATTTTTGAACAACAATCAAACCTGTAAGAAATCGTAGAGGTCATTGCTGACACCAGTTTCGTCCTGTCGGAGATCGTTGCTGTCTGATGTGTAACTGAAACCAGTCCCAACTGGTTGGTCCACATAGATTAAATTGGATACCTATTGAAACAAAAGTAGTTGAGTTATAGATATCTTCTAGATAAATATGTTTCTTGTGTAACAAGAAATACATTTTTTTAATATCTAAACCAAACCAACCTTGTCCCAACCAAAATCGTTCCAAGAAAGAGAGAGATCCTCTGATATCGTGAACGGACCGTTCTCATAGAACAGAGCCACACTGCTACTACAACCCGGTCCACCGGATAACCATATCACAACCGGGTCGCTACTGTTGTTCCGTGACTCAAAGAAGAAATAGAACATCCTGTAAGAAAAATACACACACACACACCACATTGAATTGGTCTAGTGCGTTCATGTCTATACAAACTACTAAACCGAATTCTATTAAACACACATCCTGATTAAATTGGACTAAATTGAATCGGTTGAAAATGTTACTTGGCTGATTTCGAATGAGGGAGGGCGTAGTAACCGGCATAGTGGCCAAACTCTTGGACTGAAGGACCACCGGAAGCGTTTCCAGCAAGGATGGACGCTGAAAAATCGAATTGGCTCTCAACAAGTCTCGGAGCATCAGAGCTTCCCTTTGGAATGAGATTGACGTTATGTTGAGGCATTAGATTGAAGGACTTGATAAGCCTCTCTGCATTCTGGATCGACAAACTCGCTGGCGATGAGAAAACGGAGGAGTTTTTGAGGAACCTTTTAGAAGTTGAAAGCGAAATTTGAGATAAGAAAAAAATAAAGAGGAAGAAACAGAGAGAAAATGTTTTGGCCTCCATTTTGTTTTCTTTTTTGTAGTTTGTACGAGAATGGTTATACGGTATGAGAGTGGAAAGAGATGTATATATATATATATGGAGGTTGCTTGCGGTTGTACTTAGCCACGAAATTTGGATTGATAGGAAGATATCTTTCCAAAAGTTTTTTTATTTCCCAACAATCATTCCAAAAGTTTGTTCAACGTACTTGTATTTATTAGTGCTATGTCAACTATATATTTTTCTTGAAATCTAGAAAGAGAATATTCAAATTGATTTGTTTTCTTTTTATCAGAATTAAGATTTGTAAAGATTTTTTTCCAATTAGGACTTATAGTTTTTTTTATGTTTACCACCTCAGCTGACCCAAAAAAAAAAAAAGAGAGGATCAAATTAAGTGAATTGGGATCAAATTATGTTACTGATTCAGTTTCAATACATTGTTTTTAATTTGAAATCGATCAATTAATTTATGTAGAGATTCAATCCACCAAAATTAAATTAAGATGGATGCATGTACCTAACCAGTAGAATCTCTCATTTGTTAAGATGGATGCATGGAATGATAATTAATCATTTCGTTAATAAATTATAGTAGCTTAAACGTTAGATCCTTTTCTTTGAAGAGAAAGTGACTAAGGAAACAACATTTATTTTCATAATAGAACATATAAATTCTCGGCTAGGCATTAAAAATAAGAATCATTGACCGCTCGGAGTAGCGAGCTTTCCTTGCATCCAATTCTGAAGCATTTGCAAAGAAGCTTTGGGCTGATCCATCGGAACCATGTGTCCAGCGTCATGAACCTTTCCCCCAAAAACAAAAAAAAATAAGTCCAATTTCAATCGTATTAGATAATAATACCTATAATTTTTAACCAAAAAAAAATAAAATAATAATACCTATAATTATCAGTTTGGTTTTATTCGGTTTACCTTAAGGAAAGTGAGAGAACCGTGATTCTTCATTAAACCGGCTTCTTTACCATCTACCAGGAAGGGTACTGTCTTCGCTGATCCAAAATCCTTCTGGCCTGACCAATTCATCTGCTCGACCCACCTGGAGTTTCCTGTATATAACAAATAAAATCAATCAAATGGACTCAACAGAACCATAATCAAACCGGAAAAGACAAAAGATATGCAAACTTTTGTATGTCATTTCCATATTCTATACCGGATGTGAGGGTAAAATCAAAGCCTTCTGAGTTCTAAACCGAGAATAAACCATTTCCCTACTTCACTAAGACGACTAGCAATTAATTGAAACTCTTAAACTACTGAAATTTTGATCGAAAACCAGTTAAACCGAAAACTGCAAATGAAACTACATCCTTGACCTTTAATTTGTTTCAGTTCTCTCGGTTCATAACCTAAACCAGAATCGAATAAGAAGCATAACAAGATACATTATTTAACGGCACATAACAAGATACGTATTGTGGCAATTTTGATAACATTATCTTACCAAGCCAATTGCAAACGAGATCATATTCTCCGGCATAAACAAGGAGATTGATTCCATCTTCGACAAGAGCCGGAATCTTGACCTCAAGATTAAGCATCCAATCCTCCGTCATTGCATCATAAACTGTGGTACTACACGACACAAATTTGATATCTCCAACTCCTAAAGCTTTTCTTACGTTTTCTTGGTTCAAAAATGTTTCCATCTTCGAAAAGTCATAGCACTGGCTTCCCACACATTTCTTCCTCAAGTCATAGTACTTAAGAAAAGAAAAAAAACGGAGAAAATATTTGTAAACCCTGGAAATTTAGAAAAAAAAACAACTAAACAAAAGGATTATTATCTTGTAGTTAATACTTACATTTGTGCCTTCTGTTTTAGATGCTATCTGGTAAAATATGTCGTTGCAAACTTCGAAAGCAGAAGCACAAGCTAACCCACCATCAAGGTCTTAAGTTCACAAAATAAGTGTTTTTCTTTAAAGATCAAAACTTTTTGCTCAAATGAACCTAACAAATTCAAAACAAAGCCTTGTTTAACTTACTGCATTTTTTAGTGAAACCTTGACACTCAACGTAATCTTGCTTTAGACTCTCGTGATCAGACTCTGAAATCAACTTCATTTCAAGTGCATAATCCCCATATGCACCATATTGGATCTCCGAGTTGGTTAAACCATTACCAATCGCAAAGCCCTGATTTAAACAGAGACTAAACCAAATTTTTAAAATTCAAATCCACGTCCTCCTTTCCCCATACTCTCCTAGTCTCCCCTCTTTGGTATGTGGAACAAACCACATACGTTATTAATTAGGACTACTATATATATATATATATATTTTATGCGTTTTTTGTATTGCTACATTTGTTTTATTTAGCATAGTTGGTAATTAATAATTTTCTATTTTGCATTAATGTCTCAAAATTGTACCTAAGATAAAAAAATTATTTATTTTTATTTTTGCTTATATTTTGCTCAAATTGTACTTATGTTTTTCTTATATTTTGCTCAAATGTTACTTATGTTTTTTTTTACTTTTTCTTAAGTTTTATCAACTTGTTTTTTGTTCTTATTTGAAATTTTCAATAGTTATAACATACCAGTAGCGAAAGTAAAAACAATTTATCATTACATGCTTTATAAGAAAAAAAATTTGATGTTGGAAAAATATTTAATATAAATATATTGATTCTATGAAACGAATATCATTGAATTTTTGAAGTGAAAATCTAGAAAGACAACAAATTTTAAATTTAGTTTGGATTATTTTTGGATGGGTCTTGTTCTCCCCAAAACAAAAGTAAGACAATCATTTTACCTTTAGATTGATTGGAATTCCTTCATTCTTTTTGTTTCCACTATGAACTCGTGAAGCTAGTGCTGGAATGTAGTGACCAGCATAAGATTCACCGGTAATGTAGAAATCGTTCTTTGCGAATTTTGGATGTTCTTTAAAAAAGGCCTAGTACAGTTTAAATCATTACAATTCGTAAAGCATTTCTATTTGAGAGTTTCTTGAAAATAATTAAAAACCGAACCTGTAAAAAATCGTAGAGGTCATTGCTGACACCAACCTCATCATGCCGCAGATCGCTACTATCCGAGGTATAACTGAAACCAGTTCCAATTGGTTGGTCCACATAAATTAGATTGGATACCTATTAATATAAAATTAACTAAGTTATAGGCATGTTGTAGATAGGTATGGTAACACACAAAAAACGTTTTATAACTAAGTCAGCCCAACCTTATCCCAACCGAAATCATTCCAAGTAAGAGAAAGATTGCCCGAGATTGTAAATGGACCATTCTCATAGAACAAAGCCACACTGCTACTGCAACCCGGTCCACCGGATAACCATATCACAACTGGATCGGTACTGTTGTTCCGTGACTCAAAGAAAAAATAAAACATCCTATGAAAACAAAGAAAACCATATCATTTCTAAACGTCCATAGATAATTACATACTAGTAAATCAAACTTGTTTAGCACAAATCCTAATTGATTATTATGAATTGATTTCTCAAATTTTACTTTGCTGATTTTGAATGAGGGAGGCTGTAGTAACCGGCGTAGTGGCCAAATTCTTGGACAGAAGGACCACTAGAGGTGTTAACCGCGCCAATTGTTGCAGAAAAATTACGTTGGCTCTCAACGAGTCTCAAAGCACCATGGCTTCCTTTTGGTATCACATTGATGTCACGCTTAGGCATTAGATTAAAGGATTTGATAAGCCTCTCCGCATTACGACTCCACAAACTTGCCGATGATGAGATATCAGAAGGGTCGTCTAGGATCCTTCTAGAAGTTGAAAGCAAAATTTGGGAAAATATGACAATAAAGAAAAGGAAAGGGAGAGAAAGTGTTTTGGCCTCCATTTCTTTTAGTAAATTTTTGTAAATGGTGGAAATGGAAGTATTTATGGAGTTGTTTTATGTTGTACTCAACCAGTAAAGTATAGGTAAAGGAAGCTAAATGGAAGATATCTTTTTTAAGTGTTTTCTACTACATAACATATTTTCCAAAAGTGGTTTTGATATATTTATATATAATTATGTATATTATGCCAACAATATGTTTACTTAAATTAGAAAAGGTAAAATTATGAATAAAAAATAGTGTAAATTTTAATTTCCATTAAGAAAATAGTCCATAGTTTTAAAAACTAATAAAATAGTCTAGAACAGTAGAACTAAACCTAAATTACAAATGCTAAACCTTATAGGATAAGTGGACAACCAACAAAAAGGTTAAAAAAAATCCTAACTAAAAAATAGACTAGCTTTTTCAAACATAAGGAAAAACACTAGTTTAGGTTGATTTAGTTTTTTAAAATTTGGAGTTAGAGTCGATTCAGTTTCGATACATTCTATATATAAAAATTAGATTTAAATTACTTGACGGAAAGATTCACTCCACCGAAATTACATTAAGATGGATGCATGTACCTACCAAAGCAGTAGTATCTCTCATTAGTTATGATACATAGATTTTGTTGTCTAGTGTTTGAATTAAGCAGTTGTGTAAACGCGCTGGCTATGTTGTTTTACTCCACTGACTTAATGGTTGAGACAATTCTCATAAATAGCACAAAAACAAGCTTTGGTTTCAAATAATAGATTTCAGTAATAGCAACCGTTTTAAAATATACTACTATTAGCATTAATTAATTCAAGATTGCAATGACTAAAAATCCCTTATTAATTAGGGAAATCTAACCCAATATATAAAAACCCAATATAATGTTTTAATTGTTTGTAACTATATTGGAAATTAAAAACCAATATTAAAATGACTATTATTTTTTTTCCCAAGCTAGCACAACAATTTAAAATTACACCAGTAGCACAAATTATTGGGTGAAATTAATTATGGTGGTCTTGTTTTGTTATTTTTGTTTGACTATGTAAACGGAAATGCTATATATAGTTTTTGGGTTTGCTTTTGCTTAGTCTCAGTCAAAAGATTAATATTAATTATTATGATCTACATATATTTGTGAGCAGATATGGTTATGGAATATGGACTTATGGTACGGTTATGGTCCTTATGGACATGGATAATGAATGGTTATGGTATGGTTTGTAAGCAAGATGAAATAGAAGACTCTGTCACAGACAAAAAATTGAAGAGTTTGTCTCAGGAAGAAGCGCGCGGCCTCCTTTAAAAAACGATGACGGATTATGGTTTGGGCTTATGGCTAGCCGGATTATGGTTTTGTACGGATTGATAAAGGACGTTCACTTGACACACTTTGTTTTTAATTTTTTACTAAGGATTTGGACTTGAACCTCTGTTTCGTATTTCCTGATTCGGTTCAAAACTAGTAAAATTATAACCGAAAACTCTAACTCAAGTCACTTTTTGTTGGGTTCAGTTAAAATCAGTTTCAAGTTGTCTCGGTTAATATTACTACGCCTTCTTGAGGGTTCTTAATTAAAACCTAAAACTAAAAGATAGCAAATTGAGAGTTCTAACTCCTAACACTAAGAAAACCTACATCTTATTGCTTATATAGTTGATTTTACACACGTTAGTAAAAAGTGTAAAACAAAGGGGAATATGTGATATGTGCCTTATTCTCATATAGCCGGTTCACTGTTCTTCTCGAACTCACGATTTCCTTAGCAAGCGCCTGGAACACATTGAAAAGAGCTCAAGGTTCCACAAAATCAAAAGCTAATTATTTCGATAACCAAGTATCACATTTAATGGATCCAAGCTTACAAAGGCAAAGACTTTTCCAAGATTGCTATCAAAATTTTATGTGTTCTTGGTTTCTACCTTGGCTGAGACCATATCATTCCTCTTTGCAGCCTCTTTAATAGCTTTCTGTACGTTTCTCTCTTCTTTCTGTATATCTGACAAAGGAAGACTCTCAAACTCAGAAATTTTGAATCCATCAGAGATTCAAAACACAAACCAGACGACTCAAATCGATAACTTTTGCATCAGCAGAAATCAAAATTCACTTGTAAGGACACTCGTGTGATTCGTGATCATCATCCGATCCCAACCCGATTTTATTTCTCACACTTTTGGGTGCGATCAACCGAACCCATCAATCGGATTTCAGCAAGATTCAGATTAATTTCTCACAAATTTCGTTGAAATCGGTTACTGTTTAAAGAACATGATAACCTTTTTTTAAAAGCTCAAACATACCATTTATATGTCATTAACTAAGTACAAAGATTATTTTATTCCATCTCAACAATCGGGCTTGGCCAATTGGAATACTTTTAAGAAGTGATAAAGCAAATAGTTTTTATTTTCATTTCAAATTTTCGAGCTTAGACGTTATAAAATCATTAACCAACTGTTGGACCACTCGCAGTACTGAGCTTTCCTTGCATCCATTTCTGAAGCATTTGCAACGAAGCTTTTGGCTGATCCATCGGAACCATGTGTCCAGCGTCATGAACCTGTCCCAATATTGAAATTTTTTAAAGAAACATATTCTTTTTAAATGTAATACGTTAAGTTCACGGTTTTATTTGGTTTACCTTAAGAAAAGTGAGAGAACCGTGATTCTTCATTAAACCAGCTTCTTTACCATCTACCAGGAACGGTACTGTCTTGGCTGATCCAAAATCCTTCTGGCCTGACCAATTCATCTGCTCAACCCACCTGGAGTTTCCTGTATATATACCAAGTAGAATCAATCATTTAGATTCAGCTGAACAAGAATCAAACCGGAAAAGACCAAAAAATATGCAAAGTATGTCCAATGTCGATCGGGTCCACATTCAAAGTGGGAGTAGAACACAAAGCCCTCTAAAGTCTAAAACCGAGACTAAACCATTTTCCTACTTTACTAACAGAACACTGCTAAAAGTTGAAACTCTTAATTCCTTAAAATTTGATCAAAACCGGCTTAACCGAAAACTGCTAACGAAACTGCACTCTTGACCTTTTGTGTCAACTCCCCGTTCATAACCTAAACCAGAATCAAATTAAGAAACATAACATGCGACATACTGTGGCGATTATGATCAATCTTACCAAGCCAATTACAGAGGATATCATATTCTCCAGCATAAACAAGGAGATTGATTCCATCTTCGACAAGAGCCGGAATCTTGACCTCAGGATTAATCATAAAATCCTCCATCATTGCATCATAAACTTTGCGACTAAACGAAACAAATGTGATATCTCCAACTCCTAAAGCTTTTCTTATGTTTTCTTGGTTCAAGAATACATCCACTTTGGAAAAGTTATAGCACATACGTCCAACACATTTCTTTCTCAAGTCATAGACCTTCAAAAAATAAAATAAACCGAGAAATCTTTGTTAGCGAAAAAACCAAGAAAAATGGTTCATTTAATGTGTGTTCTCGATGCTTACGTTTGTGCCTTTAATTTTATTCATTATCTGGTCCGAAATGTTGTTGCAAACTTTGTAAGCAGAATCACACGCTTCACCACCATTAAGGTCTGAAATTTATAAAACAAAAGTTTTTGTTAAAAGTAAAAAAAAATTTACTCGACCCCGAATCCGAAATACGTAAAAGAAATAAAGCTGTTATATGAACTAATTACTGCATTGTGAAACTTACTGCAATTTTTAATGAGACCTTGACAGTCAACATAATTTTGCTTTAAACTATCGTGATCGGATTCTGAGATCAACCTCATTTCCCGCGCATAATCCCCATACGCACCATACTGGATCTCCGGGTTAACCAAGCCGTTTCCAATCGCAAAACCCTGAAATTAAACCGAGATTAAACCATAACTTGGTTACAAAATAAAAATCAATGAAAGACTTACCTTGAGGTTTATGGGAATTCCTTCTTTTTTCTTGTTTCCATTGTGAATTAGTGAAGCCAAAGCCGGAATGTAGTGACCGGCATAGGATTCACCAGTAATATAGAAACTGTTTTTGGCAAATTGTAGATGTTCCTTGAAGAAAGCCTACAAAGATTCAAAGATAGAACCCCAAACCAAAAAAAAAAAAAAAAAACATTTATTTATTTAAGTTTTCTGAACAACAATCTAACCTGTAAAAATTCATAAAGATCATCGCTGACACCAGCCTCGTCGTGCCGGAGATCGCTAATGTCAGATGTGTAACTAAAACCGGTCCCGACTGGCTGGTCTACGTAGAGTATATTGGATATCTATTGAAACAAAAGTAGTGGAGTTATAGATTTATTGTAGACAAATATGTTTCTTGTGTAACAAGAAACACATATTTTTCCCCCATCTAAACCAGACTAACCTTGTCCCAACCAAAATCGTTCCAAGAAAGAGAGAGATCCTCCGATATCTTGAACGGGCCATTCTCATAAAAGAGAGCCAAACTGCTACTAACACCCGGTCCACCAGACAACCATAGCACAACCGGATCAGAATTATTGCTCCGAGACTCAAAGAAGAAATAAAACATCCTGTAAGAAGAAAAACGTTGATAGTCACACACAAAAGGGAATTGGTCTAGTTCGTTCATGTCAATATACCAACTACTAAATCAAATTTGACTAAAACGCGTCCCCATTAAACTGGAATAAACTGAATCGGTTGAAAATGTTACTTGGCTGCCTTCGAATGTGGGAGGGGGTAATAGCCGGCATAGTGGCCAAACTCCGTGACTGAAGGACCACCGGGAGCGTTTCCAGCGTCGATGCTCGCTGAAAAATCGAATTGGCTCTCCACAAGTCTCGGAGCGTCAGGGCTTCCCTTTGGGATAACATTGACGTTATGTTGAGGCTTTAGATTGAAAAATTGGATACGCCTGTCTGCGTTCTGGCTCGACAAACTCTCGGATGATGAGAAAACGGTTGAGTTTTCGAGGATTATTTTAGAAGTTGAAAGTGAACATTGTGAGAAGAAGGATAGAGAGAGGAACAAATAGAGAGAAACTATTTTGATCTCCATTTTTTGTACGTACGAAGAATTGGGTTTGTGCTGTAACTCAGTGTCATATCTCTCTATTTATAGAGTGAGTGAAGGTCAATAATAATATGTCCACTTTTTCTGAATTTTATTTATTTTTATTGATTATAAGATTTTTATTTAATTTTTATCTACGACCATCATGGTTTAGTGTCAATAAATATGGTCGGTAAGTTCTATTCTAGATTATTATTAACTCAAACCTCTGAAACTTCTATTCTTAGAGCACCCGCATTGAGGTCTCTCACAACAGTCTTTCATTTTAAAAGAAATAATATGATGATAAATATTAATATTTAATTAGAAGAGTCTTTTTTTAAAGTTGAAAAAGCCTTTCATGTAAGAGATTTTCATTGAGTTTTTCAATGTTTTGAGAGACTCTTATGATTAAATAATCTTCTTTATACTTTTATTATTATTTTTATGGATAAGAGACTTTTGTGATTTATTCTCCAATGCAGATGTTTTTAACCCTAAAATCTAAATAAAATAGTTTGTTTCCTTAATTTTACAATGTTTAGAATACCAAATCCTTACAAAATTAAAATGTATAAACTCTCATAAATTCCATTAGAAAAAGACAAGTTATATGTGTTCGAGTATCCTTTTTCGTGTTATTTTTTGTTTGCCTACTTTTTTTTTGGGTTTTTGCTACTGCGCCTCTGAGATACATACGTTTGGTGTAACTCAAGTTCAACTTTTTTTTTGGTTTGTTTTTAGCTCCCTATCAAACCATAAGAAAATCTACCAAACTGATATTTTCTATAATTAATTCTAATTTCTAATGGTAACCGTATTCACCAATTAATCACCTTTGAATTCCTAAACATAGTGATTATTAATGCTCCAAATTTGAGAAACTGAAGCGAGATAATATATAAAGAGACACATGAATGTCCAATAGTTCACAGGAAAAAAAAAGATAGATATATTTCCAATTCCAAACCACAGTATTTCCACCGAATCAAAATGGACACCCTTATAATGTTATCGATCATGACCCTAGTGCTCGTTTCTGGGTCCGGAACCTCACGTGGTGCCACTCTTATCGTGTCCAACCAGATGCAGACACGTGATAATGTTTCGGTCTTCGTCACGTGTGATAGCTTATTAAATCCTAAACTATCCAAATCCGTACCATTGGGTCAAGTCTCGTTGACAGAGATCCCAACCACTGCCGGACATAATGCGACCGATGATAAATCGACTCATGTGGCGTTACAGCAGACGAGTTGCGTAGGAACGTTTTACAATGGGATGATCTACCCTTTGTACGATTCAGACAAAGATTCTACGGTGTATAAAAATGTGTGTGTCGTCGTTGCCAAAGACAATAGGTTTTACCGGTGGAACAATGACAAGAATACTTGGGACGTGATTCAGCCGATCATCATTTTCAATTAATTTTTATTACATTTTTCTTATATTTATATTATTATTCGCACTTGAATAAATTAACCCAATAAAAAAAAATTACTGTGGAACCGAAATGTGGTTGCTGAACTCCTTTTTCTTTTTGTGCGAAAAGATTCCATCAGACTAAAAAACATTATTCATTGAAATCAGTTTCTGTTTAAACAACATGATAAAATTTTAAAAAAAGCTCAAACATACCATTTATATATCATTAACTAATTAAGTACACAGATTATTTTATTCCATCTCAACAATCGGGCTTGGCCAATTGGAATACTATTAAGAAACTAAGTGATAACTAAGCGAATATTTTTTATTTTCTTTTCAAATTTTCGAGCTTAGAAATTATAATATCATTGACCAACTGTTGGACCACTCTCGCAGTACTGAGCTTTCCTTGCATCCATTTCTGAAGCATTTGCAAAGAAGCTTTTGGCTGATCCATCGGAACCATGTGTCCAGCCTCATGAACCTGTCCCAATATTGAAAATTTTTTAAGAAAGAAACTCTTTTTAATGCAATACGTTAAGTTCACGGTTTTATTTAATTTTTTTTTTTATTTTAAAAAGATGGTTTTATTTGGTTTAACTTAAGAAAAGTGAGAGAACCGTGATTCTTTATTAAACCAGCTTCTTTACCATCTACTAGGAACGGTAAGGTCAATATATATATATATATATAATATATCTAGGATTTTCACCATTAGTTCCGTTTTCTTAAAACATGTTGCATGCATGCAACATGTACATTCGGATTATCGGATAAGGACCCAATTCTAAATTGTGGCACTTGAAATTTATAAAGAAATGGAAAGGGAGGCATTTATGGAGTTGGCCTGCTGTACTTTTAACCAAAATATCGGGTTAAGAAAGATAAATGGATGACGTCTTTCCAAAAGTATATATTTTTTATACATTTTATGTAATTCCAAATTAAATCTCTTTTGCATGATCAAACTAGTCTAATGATAAACCCTATGAATTGTAATTATAAAAACCTAAAAATTATACTCTAAAGTTTGAAACCAAATCCTAACTTCCAATACCTACATTTAAATTCTTAAGCCTAAATTTTAAACAGACTGCTTTATTCATTATCATTAAATTTTAAAATATCTCATAATTTAGAAAAACTTTAATATATATATATATATATATCTTATTATATATTTACCAGTACCTGTGAATTGTGATAAAAACAAAAATGTTATTGATCTAATTTTAATATTATGTTTATCAGAAATATCGATCTATTAGTGTGTGTAAAGATTCAATCCATAAAAGTTAAATTAAGATGGATGCTACTAGGAACACCCCATATGTAATTCTGTTCTTGAAGAAATCACTATTAACATTTCATTTAACATATCGACGAGATTTTGAGATATGTTCAACGATATAGGTTCTTAACATGGTAAATATATATGTATATATATATATATGTATGTTAATACGATATTTTTGACAATATACATCCCGAAAACACTTGTATTATATATTCATTTTGGAGAAATAATTTCACATTGACTGAAAAAACATGACATGTGTTCCATTTCCATGAACAAAGCAATCTTTAACAATATAATCCCACTTCCCAGAAAAAACAATTAAACAAAACATGTGTCTTACGTACGATCATGCAATTGGTTTGTTCTTAAACATCGAGTCTTGACGTTCTGGTAAATCCATGAAGTCAACTATGCTTGTTGATTGTAACTACGAGTTGCTTTCGACGTTATGATATGCAGAAGCTACGAAAATAAAAAGAGAATTATTTCAGATGTATATTAATACCATAGCTTTTTTGGAATTATTACGTCGCCTACCATACCACCTACCATACCACTACAAAGTATAAACTCTCATAAATTTTGATTTTGTAATACTTTCTTTCGTCGTGTTGCATAAATCATTTGATATAAATAAAGACGTAGAATGTGTATATCCAGATGTATATATGTTTTTGTTGGACTATGTAAATGGAAAAGACTATAGCTAGTTTTTGGGTTTGCTTTTGACTCGTTCTAGCTTCTAGCCAACAAGTTTCGTGACGAGACCATAATTAAAACCTAAAAGATAGCAAAATGAGTGTCCTAACTGCTAATGCTAAGAAAAAACGTCTACATCTTATTGGTCATACAAATGATTTCATACATGATTTAAAAGTTGTAAAGATTCCGACATGTAAGAAGTAAACAAATTATTGTATGTAATATAACATAATTTAACTCGCCTCGTGATATTGACTTACTATATAATTTGAATTTTCGTTTTGTAAGTATGATCTAGTAATTTACCGATAGTTATCTCATGATGTATCAATATCGACTAAACATGTACGGAATCACAATTACGATTGACTCTTAATACTGGAATATGGCTGGAAACTTGGTAACGGGCAGTAAATAAACCGAAAAACAAAAACCGAAAAAGGATTTCCAACCACTAACATTTTATTTAAGGAGAGTTTTAGATGAGATACCTTCACAAGAAACGAAACTTTGTTAGCAAAAAGGTAGCTTATGATTACATCGGGTATATATGCTATTTCAATTATATTAGTCTCAGTCTAAAGATTAATATTAGATATTATGATCCTACATATATTTGTGTACAAATATGGTTATGGACTTATGGTACGGTCATGGTGCTTATGGACATGGATAATGAATGGTTAAGGTATGGTTAGTAAGCAAGATGAAAGAGAAGACTCTGTCACAGACAAAATTGAAGAGTTTGTCCCAGGAAGAAGCTCCTATTAAAAACGATAACGGATTATGGTTTGGGCTTATGGCTAGCCGGATTATGGTACGGGATCACAATTACGACTAACTCTTACACTGGAATATGGTTGGAAGTGGGAAAGTAACTAAAACCGAAAAACAAAAACAAAAACAAAAACCTAAACCCTAAACCCTAAACCATATTATTTGATTTAAAGAAAACTTTTAGATGAGATACCTTCACAAGAAACGAAACTTTGTTAACAAAAGGTAACTTATGATTACATCGTGTATGGTATTTCAATTATATTATACAATAGATTTCAATCTCCTTATGTTCTCATCACCTTCAAGAGTTGATCGGATGAGTAAAAAAAATCGCGTTTAAAGAGATATTGGCATCAGTTAGGATCTAACTTTAGCGAGCCGAGCTCGAATCTCCTCCAGTTCTTCCTCATCATCAACACCTTCTGCAACTGCCTCTTCCTGCAAAAAAAAAAAAGTATTTCTTTCAGAATCTAATCTCCCAGGAGTTTTTTTTTTCTTTTCTTTCTCTTGCAATGCATTTTGCTAAATGGGCTTACCTCGCGGGAAGTGCTCGCCTTCTGTGCAGGTACCTTTATCCTTTCCTTTCTGACAGCTTCTGGGAGCTCCGCAGCGGTTTCTCCAGCAATAGCTGTCAATACTTTATCAACCTCTTCATCGATCTCTTCCTCCATATCCTCTGAATCTAAGGCATTGTCAATAGCATCATTCACAAACTCCTCAATAACTCCCGCCTACATATCCCCAAGTAGCAAAAGATCCATAAGGGTTTATATACAACGATATTGATTGTAAAGCAGTGAACACAACAGGTTTAGATGAAAAACTAATATCAGCTCGAAATACGTAATATGACGCTTAAAGGTGTGATTTTGGTTTGTATCTCAACATGCATATATGGTGAGAGAAGGAAACCGAAAAGGTACCTTAGTCATCTCTTTACTGAATTCCTGCATTGTTGCAGCCATTTGTGGAGCCTTCATGAGATTATTGACTAGCTTCATAACCTCTGCACTCTTGGACAGATGCCCAACTGTTCGAGCAACAGCTGAAGATTCAACGAAAAATGAAAGAATATGAGTGTAAGACAAAGGGGAATCTGTGATAACAATCACATTGCAAACAAAGTATGACAAAATTTGAAAACTCTAGAAATCATGGCAATGAAAAGCTCTATATACCAACACTCTCCCCAAGGTGCATTGATATCGAGTTCATCTGCGCTTTATTCTCATACAGCCGGTTCACTGTTCTTCTCGAACTCACGATTTCCTTAGCAAGCGCCTGGAACACATTGAAAAGAGCTCAAGGTTCCACAAAATCAAAAGCTAATTATTTCGATTACCAAGTATCACATTTAATGGATCCAAGCTTACAAAGGCAAAGACTTTTCCAAGATTGCTATCAAAATTCATGTGTTCTTGGTTTCTACCTTGGCTGAGACCATATCATTCCTCTTTGCAGCCTCTTTAATAGCTTTCTGTACGTTTCTCTCTTCTTTCTGTATATCTGAAAAAGGGAAGAACCTCAAACTCAGAAATTCTGAATCCATCATAGTTTCACAACACAAACCAGACTACTCAAATCGATAATTTCGGCATCAGCAGAAATCAAAATCCACTTGTAAGGACACTCGTGCGATCCGTGATCATCATCCGATCCCAACCCGATTCAGATTAATTTCTCGCACTTTTGGGTGCGATTAACCAAACCCATCAATCTAATTTCAGCTAAAGATTCAAACTTTCCTGAATCTAAAAGAACCCTAATTCAATAACGAGAAAAACGCGATGAGAGGATGTAAATAAGAACCTCGGATTTGGCGTTCAATGTTACGGCACTCCTGACGAAGCTTGCGTTGCCAATCACGCAAGAGCTGCTTCGGATCAGGCTTCGGCTTTATGATGTTCATCACTCTCTCCATTCTTTTGCGACTTATTGTTTTACCTTCAGGCTCTGTTCGATTATGTAAGAATGTTTACAAGAATATTTTGGGTTGATTTAGGAGGACTGCATAAGTCAATTTTCTGGAAAAGAAACTTTTTTTTTTTAATTTAGGCCTGTGGAGTATGGTACTTGGCCCAACATAATATAGAGCCTACGATAAACCAAAAAAAAATGATTTGGGCCTTTTAGTAAAGCAAATTCTATATGAATTTTGTTTTTTAAAATAGATATAGGTCCAAGATCCAGACCCCCCTTAAAGCTATAGCCAATCCTCAGAGCACGAGAATGGTAGTTGACCAGTGACCATACCATTATAAATGAGATATTGTGTCACTTTCATTCAAAAACAAACTTATGTGAATGATTATTCTTTTTGTTTCGTTTAGAACAGCATAACTGTGGGAGAACAAAGGGACGACAATATTACAAACGTAGGAAGACAAAAACCAAAATTTTGTAAGAAGAATATGTATATGTTTTGGCTATATCCTCTCCTCTAGCTCTAAAGTTCTAAACATTCAGCTCCACAATAATAATAACATTTGATGGGATCAATGTACTGTTTAGTGATATCAACAAGACATTAGATAAGAAAGTAAGGTGGGCCTACAAACAAATTGTGTGTATATATATATATATATGTATATTACATTTATTGATATATGCATCTTCTGACACACTAGCTGTCTCTTGCTCACATTTCTCTGTCTTTCATCTTTCCCCATACAACACCACCCTTTTTTCAATCTTTATTCATTACTTTCCCAAGTGTGTAAGTATATTAATTCTTTTATCGGCATTAATATTTAACGATTGGTCAACTAAAATTTAGACCCGAGCGTTTACGTTTTGAGTTGAGGTACGATCATTTGAGTTAAAGAGAACTTACATCAGAACGAACTAAACATTGTCAATGAACTATTATGTAGATTTTATGTTTGGATTTTGAAAAATGTAGCATCAAACTTGATTGAAAATATTTAAAAAAGGGTTTTCTATGTTGCCAGAACTTTTTTGAACTGAAGTTGAGATTTGATCAATCTAACCTTTCATTTCCATCTACAAGTCTTTTATATTCAAAGAATTATATGCCTAATCATCCAAAGAATTACACGTCAGCATACTTTACACTTTCACTTCCCTGAGTCACGTGTCGATCCACTCAGTGAAAGCCAGGTCAGCAGCAGACATCTCACGTGTTCGAGTTAACCCTCTCACGTTGTGGACCCTACACGAGACATTCCGGTTTTTCCAATTCCGAAAAAGTCCGAAAATTCCAGCCTAGCATCCATTTACCGCACAGCATCTTACGTGTCGAATATTCATTCGCTCAAAACCCTTGACCTCCTGTACGACCGATCGAGCTTCCTCCACAACGCCTCGAGAATATGCCACGTGGCGTCTCCTTCCTTCATGGGCACATTGTACAAGAGGGCCCGCTTAAACGCCGGCTCTCGTAAGTTTCTCTGTATCACAGACAAATTAGTCACCGCCACGTGCTCTAATATCTTCCGTAGATTTTTCACGTCTTTCTCCGCCACCGTGAGAGAGATCTCCGGCCACCGCACCGTCTCCGAGAACGGTAGCTTAATCCCATCGGCGATCACCACGGGTACGCACCCTAACACAGCGGATTCCACTAGCCGAGGACTCCATGGAGCCCACCCAAGAGGACAGAGACAAAACACCGATCGCACGATTTCAGAACGGTATCCAGCAAACCGGTGCCGGTTAAGATAAAACCGTCTTCTCCCGCCGTATTTCTTCAGAATCGCCGTCCTCACTCCCCTGCACGCCGGGAAGTGGCGTTTTAGTAATTAGCAACAACAAAAAAAACATAAAAGACAAACAAGAGAAGAAAAAAAAAACGTGAAAGGTTTTCGCTACGCACGCACTTGCTGTAAAAGCGTCCGCTTATATTCTTAGGGTTGACTTCCATCTTTCCCCGGAAAAACGCCCAAATGTCTCGCCGTCCGTTCGCCGGAGCTCTGTCCATTGCTCTCTGTACACTCTCCGGCGGAATATAAGGCGGGATCACCACATGCTCAGCTTCTTGACATGGATGCTTGTAATTAACTCCAAATGTCTGTAAAATTATCGATTTCTTCATAAATTCCGGAATCCCTTCCTCAATCGCCATATCCTCCTTCACAAAACACAAACCAAAATCAAATAAATAAATCAAATAATTGTTTTTGTCCAATTCAAGCTAAGGAAAAAAAACAGAGCTTACCATAGCGTGGAAGCACGCGCCGAAGTCATGGGAAGCGACGAAGACGTGGTCGGAGCCTTGAGTCCGGTTCCAAAACGGGTATTGGTCGGAGAGGAAATCGACGGCGGAGCCGAGGAGGGAGCGAGCGTGGCTAAGAGAAGGGAAGCCGTTGGAGGTGGAGAAGTTGCAGGAGACGTAGACGGGGACGAAGAAGAAATCGGCTTCTTCTGGGTCTAACGTACGCACGGAGGAATCGGAGAGGAGCGCTCGGTGGATCGCTACCTCCGCCGCGAAGAGGTGAGTGGCGCACCGGTCTGATTTCGTTACCCAATCGACGTTGAATCTCGCCGGTAAATCGTAAATGTATATCTTCATTCCGCTGAATATACCTTTAAAATTAAAAGACGAAGCTTTAGGGAGAAAAGTGATGATTGAAACAGAGGAGAAATAAAAATCGATGCTTTACCTGGTGTGACAATGGCGGAAGATTCGATGAGAGCGCGAGATGGGAGAGACGAAGATGGATTATGGTTAGACAAGAGACGGGTTGTGGTGGTCGACGACGGAGAGGATTGGTCTCCGGCGAAGTAAGATGTGAAGAAATAGAGGGAGAGGAAAAACCAGAGGATCCATCTGTAATAGCTTCTGAAGAAGACGAAGAAGAGATTTCTTTTGTTGCTTCCTCCTCTGTTGTTGTTGTTATGAAGCTGCATTTTGACGATGAAACCCATTTTCTTCTTCGTCTTGTTGCTGTTAGGTCTCTTAATGTCAAGCGACATTGCTTGATTTTTTAACAAGAAGGGAAGATGAAACGAAGCTTTCTTCTTGTGTTTTCTGGTTGGTGATGATGATGATTGAGAAGTAGAAATCAAGGGATAGAGATTGGGAGAAATGTAGAGAAAGAGTCGTTAGGGGAAGACAGGAAAAAAAAAATCTCAAGAATGAATCGTTACAGAATAGTTTATTACATTAGGCTCAAGATTGGTGATCTGGTTCTCATCATTCTCTCATGTCATGGGTTTGGTTCGAACCCAATGGATTCATAAAGAAAAGAAATGAAAAGAAAGAAAAAAAAAAAAAAGGATTTGCAGAGTAGACAGAGAGAGAAAGTCACATGGCGATATACAATGGAGCAGAATGGAGCTCGGCAATGGTCTCGGGCTCATCGCTGGTCAAGTCTCGTAACCGTACCAGATAATGTGAAATGACAATAGTATCCCTCCCTTGGAGGCTCCCGAAATAATTACTTTGCATATTTTGGTAAGTTGGTGCTGTTTAAATCCCGTGAGGCGTGAGGGGCATGTGCTTCATAAATGTCTCTCTTGATAAGCTAATGACAGTGTTTGTTTTGGATAATTTCGCTAATTATTAAAAGGTGTTTTGGTTTCTTTGTTTATTATTGGGTGATAATTAGAAGTTAGCTGCGAGTTTTAGTTTATCTGTTAAATAAACTTACTTTACAACTCGCATGTGGTTCTATTAAGTTAACTTATCATATCTCTATCATCCAAATCAAACTTGACAAATTAAGGAAATTAATTTATCTTCAAAAGGTTATTCAATAATGGATGAATAGAAATAAGAAAAATACTAACCAAATAAATGTGCTTGCTCCATACGGAAAAATTGGCCTGAGATTTATTTTCTGGGCTATTAGAAAGTGAGCGGCCAAAAATACATCGTACTTTATCCCAAACGAGTCGTTTTTCTCGATCAAGTATTTAAGCTCGGATATAAAATTAAAATAATAAATTATATGATCAAATATGTCCTCGAATAAATACCATTATACATTATAGTGTGGGGGCTTGAAAAGAAGCGCAAAGGGTATCCAAAAAGCTTACAAGGGCACTAGCCATTGGGTGTGGGGAGAAAAGAGTGCAACACATACAGAATTTTTTTTTCTTTAATTATAAATCCGTTTGTCTTTGTAAGGTTATTCGTTAGTTTTTGTTTTGGATAGTGTTTGGTTGTTATCAGAATGTGTCATTGTGCCATACATGCATGAAGTTTTTTTTACATACTTTGGTTGGCTGATTTTTTTGTTTTGTTTTTGTATACTATATATTAGTTTTGTTTTCAAAGTATAATACTACTCCCTTTGTTTACTTAGATTGTTGTCGCTTTCAAGAATAACAAATGACTATAGTATCTGGCTATATGGGAGGGTGAAACGAAGGGATTACTGATTAATTGTTTTGCAGTTAGAAATCATTCCTAAAATAGTTCCATTATTGGTCAATTAATCACGACACCATTGACACCAATCAATCTATAACGAAGTAGACAAGTGGTTAAGACTTCAGAAAAGTGTTAATGAGCACGGGCGTCGCCTGAGACGATAAAAGCTCGACATCTTCTCTCTTTAGGTATAGATAAGGCCCACTTGTTAGGGTAACCAGAAATTTGTGTTTTTTTTTTTCTTCTCGTATTAGTAGCAATTTTGGCTGTGTGGTAACCCGCGCAATAATTGAGTTTAAAAACGCGATTTCGTAAGTATTTTTCCAATCAACTAAAATCTGCAAAGTAAAAAATAAACTGAAAACCTATTAAGCAGAAAAGTGAATTTTAAATCGTTTATTTTATTTTACAAGTTTTTTTCCGCCATTCCGCAATTATGCATTCCGCAAAACTGTTATCAATCAAAGCTTTTGTACAAAAGAACACATGCGTTTAGCAACCATCTAGGGGAAAAAACATTTACGTGAATAACGTGATTGGTTGAGTACGTGACTTTACCGAACACAATTTTGAATGTTGTAATTGTAACGGCGGAAACAAAATTAACCGTCAAAGCCACATGGATGAAAATTCGGCTTTATTTGTGGATACCATAGTAGTTGGACTAATGATAAAAAATGGTTAATTAATAACTTATTTTGGTTATTTGTTATTTTATACAAATTCAGCTACTGATTGGCTGCACTTTCTAATCACCTACTCCAGCTAGTATGAGTAAGCCATAGTAAATGAATCATTTAATACTGTAACCAACTCAATTCACATATTTACTCATCTAGCCATAAAAGGCTACGTGCATATATACATAGAGACAGAAAATGGCATGCTATATACATCATGGAAGAAAATATTTATAAAAATGGATTTTTTACCTGGTTTAAGACTTTTGGTTGATGGATCATCTTTCCAGCGACTGTATCACATCTTGTTCCAGCAGCTAGGTTCTGATATTTTCTCAAATCAGTTAAAACTTAGAACATAATTTTAATTAAAAGAGCAGTTCTATATGAATGTTGTTTTTAAAACGAACTACAGTATGCTCTAATGAGTTAGAATTGTTAAAATTTTCAAGGAATAATTACTAGAATGACTTTACAAATAGGTCTGTTTGCAAAAGTAACCTAGGTCTCTTACATTTTTACTAGATTAACCTTACCAGCGTGGAAAAAACGGTGTAACCCCTCACACATGAAATTTTTTTTTTTTTTTAATAATTTCGTAATTTAATTATTTTTTTAAAAAAATAATAAAATAATTTTTTTTTAATATCTTTGAGATTTCGTTTTCAACCTAATTTCTATTTCATTTCCGAGAAAAAAAAACCTAGAGGTGGAGGAGAAACCGACGATGATGGTGATTTTCCAGATTTTGCCAGTTTCCGGCGTCTGCATCGTTTCTGGTCACCTTCTGAGCTTCTTATCGGCCTGTTCTGCATCTCCGATAAGTTTTTGTCCATTTGTCGTTTTATTTTTCTTCATCATTTCGTTTCATTCACTTTTTCATTTTCGCGTTCTTCACCGTTGTCGGCTTGTCGGCTACAGCAAGCACCGGAGAAGACGAAAGACAAAAAAGCTGATTTCAGACCTCTCGTCTTCTCTCGGCGACGAACACGTTAGTTTTCCGTGTATGATAGATTTATGCATCATATATAATTTATTGTTCCATGTATGGTAGACTTGTTTAATCATGTATGATAGAGTTATTATACTGAATTTTTTTGTGTTTCCGGCGAATCTGTGATTCTGGCGATTTCGTGTTTGAGTCCTTGAAGTCGTTTCATCTTCTTCAGAGAATCAATGTGAGGACCCGGCGAGCATATTAGGGAACTTCCGGTGTTTTTTGGGCGAAATACACCAGTCACCTATGGCGGCAGGGGCTGAAAAGGAACTTTCGGCGTCGATTGTGCGAAAGATAGAGTTACAGTTGCAACGGCGGCTGAAAGTGAGCTTTCGAAAGTAAAGCTAACCCTAATTTGTGTGTGTTGCAGGAATCAGACATCCGTGTATAGTAGACTTGTTAGACTGTGTATTGTAAAGTTATTGTTTGGTGTATGTATGATAGAGTTGTTGAATCAGGTATGATAGAGTTATTGTTCTCTATATGTATGATAAAGTTGTTGAATCATATACGATAAAGTTATTGTTCTTTGTATGTTATAGTTGATTTATGTATGATAGACTTATTTAATCATATATGGTATTGTATAGTTATTGAATCATGTATGATTTACTTGCTTAATCATCACTTTATACAATTGAAGTTTTGACATATTTTTCGATATCTTTGGACTCCGCTTTGTCTATAATCTAGACGCATAAATGGACGGACCATTTTGTTTTCAAATTATCGCAAAAAACCACCAAGTTGTCGAGTACTTGCTAAAAACCCAGAAATGTATCTCGCGGTAGCTTTTGCAAGTATGTCTTCAACAACATATAACTCAATCGAACCTCATAATAGCATTGATCCATGTCAAAATTTTCATAAACCATACCTACGAAATCACTATAGTCGATTTCCCAATCAATAACTAAAACTTTTTCCTCCAAGGTACAAATAGTACTCCAAAAGAGGTAAAGAGAAGAAATCATAAGAGCTACTAGATGCAGTGGTTGGAACAGAAAAATTCGATAATAACTACTTGATAAAAACGTCATTTCATATCATTAAGTCTACCGTTCAGTGAAGTAAATATGTCTATCAACTTTCAATATGTCTACCAATTTCAAATAGGTCTACCAATTTTCAAATAAGTCTACCAACATTGAAGCTCCAAAATGAGTTATATGTCTACTATATTATCAAATAAATCTACTTTTTTAAAAATAAGTCTACCACCGCCAAATATATCTATTACATACTCTCATATGTCTATCACATATCTATACTCTCTAACGGAACTTTTAAGTCTACCACACAGAAAACAAGTCTATTATTTCAAAACAAATCTATTATCGACATTTATATCTACCATGCGTACAACAAAACTATCACGAATAAATTTTTTTATATTGTAGTAGATTTATATTTATTAGAAATAAGTCTATTTTCGTGTCTAACAAATCTACTGTGAAAGATAATAAGTCTACCGATTTTGGTCAACCACATCTCACAAAGTCAACTCAACAACATTATGTCTACCATCTTGAAAATAAATCTACTTTAAGAACCAACAAGTCTACCAACACATTCAAATATCTATCAACAATTTTAAATCTACCTTTCGATGAAAATAAATCTATCATTATAAGTCTATCAACATCTAAACAAATCTATTTTTTGAATATTAAGTATACCAAAAATTATTATGTCTACCGATATATTTTTAAATCTATCAAAACTTATATATCTACCATTAAGCTTGGTAGACTTATTTCTGGGTGCCCGATTTTAACAGCTGACGTGGAAATAATTTAATAATGGCATTTTTGTAAATACATTTTTTCTCATCAAAGCTTCCCAAAGGTAAAATCGGGTTTTTTTAAAATGGAAGGTTATTCTACTAATTTCAAAAATGTAAGGTTGTTCTACTAATTACAGCTATTTTTAAGGACACAATAGCAATCCTCCCAATTTTCAATTCGATACAGTATACGATAAGAAAGCCCAATATTCCACAGTAAGCAAAATTTAGTTCATAGCAACAAAAAAAACGAACTTTAGTTTGGGATCGTGGCCTCTAACATAATTACTGAACATGCATTATCATTTATTATAAGAATATATGTATATAGCCAATAAACAGAACAGAAAAGAAAGTAGTTTCCACCTTGTATTATTTCACCTTATGATCATTAGTTTTAATTTCATGCATTATAAAGTTTCATTTAGCATTTTAAGCTCATCATCTTATAGAATCCAATTCTCGTTCTCTCTCTTATATATATAGTAGGAAAATTAAAATCGAAGCAATACTTTTTGGTAATGGTGGTAATGGTGTTGCTTATCCTTGAATCAGAAGGAAGAAGGATATAGATAAAATAAATCTGCCACTCCAACATCTTTTACTAACTATTCTTTTGTGTTTTCTAATAGTGTTTCTACTGGTTTAACCGTGACTTGAAACTGAAAGATGTCAAATTCGGGTTGTCGTGAAAAAACGTACAAGTGATAACAAAACACACACAGAAAAATAATTTAAATAACAGAATTTAGCCTTTTTAGAAAATGTTACAGTAAATTATTGCTAAAAAGGATAATTTTGTCCCTAAATTTCATTCATTTATTAAAAAAAATCATTACCAGTTTTATAAAAACAAATAACAATTGTTTCACACTGATTTTGTAACATATCAACGCCTGATAAAGTCATATTCTGGAAACCCTTTGACAAAAAAAATGAAAGTCATATTCCGTTGACGGGGGTTGAGCCCGGGCTTTCATAATTTGAAAGTTAACTAGTGTGCAACAATGGATCTGATTACTAGGAGCCCAACAAATATTTTACTTAATGGTATGATCATTAGTTCAACTGCAACCCATTGTAAACGTATAGACTCAAAATGGGCCCTATATGTGAATGAGGATTATGATTAGTTATATTTATTTATTTTTGGTAACCGAGATTAGTTGTATTTCACGTTACAAATAAATTATTGATCAATGCAATTTCATTACATTTTCCCATTTTTTTTTTTAAAAACAACCATTTTCGATCGACGTCGCGAAAAGTAAAACCTTTTATTTTAGTAAGACAGAAAAAAAAAAGTTTTTCAAATCTCGTTTTTTTCATGTTTTCAACCACCGAGACGGCTAAAATGGTTGCACAATGTGAGATGGGCTAATTGGTCAACAAAATTCCATAAATATATAACACGCAAGAAAGAAAAAACCAACTCGACATAGTTTGGTCGAATAGTTCTTCGTGCTTACTGGATAAATAATTGACTGTTGGACGAGTTCACATCAAAAAGAAACATGAGAATTCGACATCCACGTACTAGAAATATCAAAGTAATATTCATGGACTTTATGAAACACACACAAAAAAAAAAATCAGCATACATAATTATACATGGCTCATTGAAGCACTCATATTATTCAATGCAGTATTCTATAATATTAAGAAACTTAAATCTTAAGTATAAAGATACATAAATGTACTCATTATCAATTGATTTTGAGTTGAAAACATATAAGATTTAATATAATACATAACACGACATTGTCAGCTAAAGCAATATTATCGATCTATAATATCAAATAATTTTGCAAAACATCTGTTGTAGACCTTAATTTGGTTTTGAATGTTGTATTCTGAATCTGCTATTAGGTACACAATTATAATTTGTAAAAACACTATAATATATAGATGAAAGGAAAACAATTAAAGATGTATGTAATTTTTCTTAAAGGCATGTACAAAAAAATCAAATTGAATACTTTTTTTAACTGTTTTTTAAACTGCCACACCGGTAAATTAGTTTTGCTTGATTCTTAAATTCTCAAACTAGTTTATGCATCTATTCATTTAGAAGTTTAGAACTATCATGAGGAATTGAATTATTGGCCGACAAAATAAGCAAGCTGGTTTCCCTTCCTATCGAATTTAAGGATCTTAGTAAATTGTAGTATTAAACTAAAACGCACACAAACTTGTTTCATTGATAATGATATAGTGAAGAATGAAAGCAAAGCATGTCCCGTGCATTTATGGATAGCTCCCATGTTTGTGGCTTCGTATAATTAGCTCTTATCCGTATATTATATTTGTTGTGAAATTGCCAACACGATCATATTCATAATTAGGCATTATTAGATATTGGATATTGTGGGTCATCGTATCATATGATAAGAGATCTATGAAGTCATGACATTCATATCAATAACTGTCAATGTTTAAAGCCTTATATAGTTAAAAAATAACTGTCAATGTTTATTTGCTTTCAACTTACAATTAATTATCCGATTAGTCCATATCTAATACCATGATAAATTAAAGACAAGTGATAAAATCGCGGGTGAATATAACGAATACACAATAGATATCTTTGTACCAAGTCACATAGTTGACCGAAGTAGAGGAAAGATAGAAGAAGTTCTTAACATATTCTCACAATGAAAAATTGAAAGAAGAATTAAAGTTTGCCTGATCACATGCTCTTAGATTAATGTTGGTAAAAGAGACCATGAAATGATAACTCTTGTCTCCTTACTTTTACTAATGGAAATACTTTTCCTTTTCATATCTTTATATATATATAAATATATTGATCTGCATATTGTTAAAGGAGAGAATCATCTACAGTCTACACTCTTTTAGTGGATCCACTATCACGATTACTACGAAAATATCGTGCAATATTATAGACTTATAGTTATATAATATTAATCATTATGACCATCGATTATGATCATCACTTGACAGTACATGCCGAGCGAACCAAATATGGAGATATTACTTTCCTTGCTTTACATCAACAAGTAAATCAATGATAAAATATTAATAAATATTTATTTAGGTTCGTATTTTAGGTTCTTACCTTAATTACATACTATATTATCTCACGTTATTTATTTAATATTTTTCGTGATATTACACTGACATATAATGCTTGATCATATCCAGATGTATTATCACATAAAGAGAGTAAAATTTTGAAAATATTATTATATCATTTTGAAAATTGATGCAAAAAAATAATAAAAAATAACTCTTTCAACTCTGCTTAAGGTTTCTAGATTATCTTTGACCGACTATTATGTTCAAATATTAACGATAAGCATTTCTGTTTCTGGCTATATTTTTTTTTCTTGTTTTTGAGAAAAGACTTATTCTGGCTATAATATTGCGATGTTGATATCAAATAAGAAAAGAGAAGAGCTGTTTTATTCTGTAATATTCACGTGAAATTTAGGAACGAAGATGGGAGGTTTTTTTTTTTTTTTTAACGCGAGTTGTGATAGGTTTAATAATTGAAAAGGGAATTCCGTCAAAACTTTGTCAATATATATTGGCGGAAAAAGTTTGGTTACCTGCCTTGCCTCTTTTGCTGACCATGGACCTCCACTTCTCATTGACTCCATGCTTCTTTGTTTATACACATATACACTAAACGTACTTTATCTACGCAAAATTGGAAAAATATGGTTCAAAAGAAACATTCGTTCCCGCTCTTTTCGGTGCACTTGACTTTCTTGGAAAAAGACAAGAAATCATGTTGTATCCCAAGAAAAACCGAAGAAGAAAACAAAAGACTTTTAAAGAGCGGAGACTATAATGTGAGTGAGTGAGACCAAGTCAGTAAACTACGATATTGGTCTTCCACCAAATACTTACGGTAAAAGAAGAAAAAGAAAAACGAAATGTAAAAATCATTTGAACCTCGTTTCGTGTAAACAGATATAAGAATGATTTGCAATAGAAAAAGGGTGGGGAGTCTGGTAGTTTAGTGGTTAGTGGAAGAAGTTAAGTTGGTTTTTTTATGTCTCATATTCTTTTTTTTTTTGTATGGAAGGATAGTTACTTTTGTCAATAGCTCAATTTTGGCTTAGAATTTTGGTTCCGAATTTCGAAGTATATACAAAAAAAGAATTTGCGAAAAGACATGAACTAGAGTGGTTATTAACCACATATTTAACTGACCACAATATAATGTTTCGAAGATTATGAGCTGAAAAACTAAAATTTTTACGCTATAATGCTATATTACTACTGAAAAACTCCACATATTTAACTGACCACAACAAGTAAATTAATGATAATAATGTAGCTATATTACTACTGATAAAGAATTTCTTATAGTTTGCGCGGTAAAATATAAAGTGGAGTTAGTTGCGATAATGTTGCAAGATATGATACAATCATGTGCTATTAATCTATTTATTTATTTATTTTTTTCCTTCTAGCTATTTGGTTAATTATTGAAATCTCGGAAGAAAGCTACATACCTGAAAAAGCTCGATCTGCTTTAACCAGTCCAATAAGTTTTTACTTATTTATTTGTCCTTCCCTCCCTAAGTTGTATCTCCATTCTCTGTCTCTCCTCTTTCACACAATTTTTATAGAGAATCAAAATATTTTTTAAGCTCAAATTTAGTAGAATTTATGGATAACCAAAGCAATGCTCTTCTTGGCTGGGCTTACTATTCTCATGGAAAGGTAATTTTGTCATTTTTTTCTTCTTCTAAATTTGAAGTTCCTCTGTTTTCTAAACAAAGGCAATGCTATTCTTCAGCTTTTGCTTTCTCTTTCTTTCATTTTTGGTTTTGCTTAAATTGGCGTATAATGTATGTCCAAAACAAGAAATTTCTTGAGGGTTTTCTTTATTCTTCTTCTTGCTCTCTCAGCAAATGAATGCTCAATTCAATGTTTCCCAGTATTTCTCTCTCGTTATGTCCCATCTAGCATTTTAAGAGGTTATATACTTTTTCTTTTTTTCTTTTTTCTTTTATGTGTCTGACTGTTTCTTACTTTTGTGAAATTCTACAGACAACAGATGACTTAAGACAGTCTCTACTGTACACAACACTAGAGCTCGAACAAACAAAGATGTTTGCTCATGAGGAAATTAGGAAAAAAGATGAACAACTGAACCATCTTAAAGACATCTTAAACAAAACCATCAAAGAAAGAGACGAAGCTCTCGAGAAATGTCAGCGTCACATGTTTGATAATATCTCGCTTCAACAACAACAACAACAACAGCAGCAAAAGCATATGACTCCTCCTTTATCAGGAGCTTCCAGCATTGAAGACGAAACATTGCAGCCACAACAACTAGCATCCAACAAGAGTTTCTCATCCTCTGATTGCGAAGAGAGCTTTATGTCACCCACTGATCATGTCATGACCCCACCACCATCTCAGCTTGAAGAAGTCATTATGGATCCATTGTTTCCAGACAAGCCATTGCCTGAAAAGGGTAAGCTTTTACAAGCTGTTATGAAAGCAGGGCCTTTGCTTCAAACACTCCTCTTAGCTGGTCCATTACCTCAATGGCGCCACCCACCACCGCCTCTCAAGACTTTCGAGATCCCTCCTGTCACTGTCCAATGCCCAATTGTCAACAATGGGTGTGGGAAATTCAACAGGAAAAGAGTTTTCTCAGATGGGTCATATTCGGAAACTAAGTATCAGAAAGTTCTTTTCCACTGACCAAAAGTTCTGGCTGCTGATCTATATTCTTAGTCAAGTTATTAGTACTAATAGTCATCTAATATACCATTACATATGTCAATTTTCAGGATTAATCCCACTTAGTAGGGTTCAAGTGGGAGTGATCTTTTGTACGTTAGTCATGCTCCATTGTGGGAGACTCAGTCTGATCCATTTAGGGTTTAGATTTAGACTGGTGGGAAAGAAAGACAAATTAAAAAAAAAAACTCCCCTGGTTTAACCTCCAACTCAATGGAGAGTGATACTATGTGAGAGAGTTTGCTATTTTACTTCTTTCTCTAGGGATGCTTGCTGTGTTTTTATTTGTGGGCGGGTCTTAAACCCATTTTCACATTCATGTTTTGGCTCCATGATGTGGGGTTTTTTTTATTTCTTCTCATGTTTATGTTTTTTCCCTCTACCACACAAGTTGAGGATGATATATTATGTTAAATTTCTAAAGCTGAAGACTTTAGCTTCATTTTGTTCTTAATTGTGATGTTATGTTAGTAACCTTTGAGATATTTTATTTAATATTTTGTTTGAGGAGGAGATGGGTGAAAAATCGTTAGTAAAGCCCAATAACCAAAAGGTCCAAAAGGTACAAAAGCCATTTTTTTGTCGGTTGGGTGGGTCCCGAAGATCTGGAACCGGATCTTTTTGTTCATCTATTGTATAAAGACTCAGTTGAGTCTCACAAGTTTGACACATCAGCATTTATTTTTTTCACACATCAGATTAAAAAAAATTATGAGAAAATTAAATAATTAAATTATACTAATTTCGTTTTTAATTGAACACAAAAACCGAAAGAAAAGTACATATCAATTTATGGTTCATAATAAACTGCAAATTAATTTTATGTTGGAAGAAAGATATAATCTCAAACAATCTCCAATTGCTTTCTAATATCAACTCAAAATTCCACAAGTCAATATGTAAAAAAATTTATTCTTCGTCTCCTCTTTGATTTATGGGTTTTGAAAACTGTATTATATTTCTTGTATTGAATTCATTCTAGTTTTGTTTACATAGACATTGATCAATTTTCTTTGTATAAAGGTATATCCACCAATGACAACCCTACCACCGGGACAAAGGGTTGAGACTTGAAGTCTCGGGCAGAAATTTGGCAAAAATATTAAATTTGTCTTACAAAATACATATTTTTATCATTAAAAATTAACTAACAAACAAAAAAACAGGTTGAGAAAAATAATAATGAAGATATATTTGGTTAGGTGCAAAAATAAAAAGTATTACATCTAAAAAAAATAATGACTACATTTTTACGAGTTCATATGATATTCATATTACCAAATACAAAAAATTAGATTAAACTTATAAAAAAATGTCTATTAATAAATTATATTAAAACAAAAAATTACATTTAATGACTATATTTTTACAAATTTGGATGATATTTTATATTATCAAAAATAAAAATAGATTAATTTTCTAGAAAAATAGAATTTTATAATGTATATTAAAACAAACAAAACACCTACATATACACGCGTGTATTCATCTAGTGTAACATAATGTTTAGGAGTGTCAAACTAGACAGTCAACTCTTATGGATTAATTCACCCTATTAGAATCAATATATAATTTCTAGCTAAATAATAGACAAATCACCTAAATCACTTTTGTAAGGGTAAACGAATAATCTCTCAAGTTTTATGTTCTTTAGCCAAAAAAAATTTTGTTTTCTTTTGTCGGCAGAATAGATTTATGTTAATTGGATACTTGTTTAGACAATTTTCATTTTTAGATGATAGTTTTCCAACATAATTTTTATTTCATTTTTTGTAACATAATGACTAAATATGAAATATCAAATTATATACTAAATATAGAACCGACATACAAATTGAAAACTCGTTTATTTTATATACATATATTGAAATATGAGTCATGGCCCGGAAAAGAAAACAGTGAGATAGGACACAACCCAACAATCGACATAACAAAAGCCAACAAGAAACGAGGGACAAAGACAGACGAAAGAGTTGACAAAAAAAACAAGACACGCGAAAGATAAAACCAAGTTGCAATAAGATTTGTATACTTTGTAATAGTTTTCAATAAAAGGTGGCGACGCTTGTAACGAACCATCACATTTCCTTAAGGACCAACCAAATATGCTAAATATTCCCACGTATCCGACCATTATTTCATGTGGACTTTGATGTATCGTGGTATAGTGCCAATGTCTAGGTCCATAAGAACTCTATAAGAGTTTTAAGAAATTAGAACTTTTTCATTAAAAAAAAAATTCTACGATAATTATAATATGAGCTCGTAAACAAAAACATAAATAAATGCCTACCAGTTTATGAGTTTTATGATATTTATTTTCAATTTGTTCGTCTTATTTGGTTGTTTAGACTATGTTTAGTGGCCATAATATCTCATATCTAATTTTATTTTTGGATCTTCTATATTCGGGAGTCGAATTGTACATGAAATAGCATTCGCAATATGCATGTTAATTTGTGCTGATATAAACCAGAATTGATTGATACTTCTAGTACAAATAACCTCCCTTGTGGAAATTCAGACACAAAACCAGCTCTGGTTAGCGTAAAAACCAGATCTGGTTAGTAAATAAGCAGCTCCGGTTTAAAAAAATAACAATTAACCGGTCGAACCAATAAACTGAGGCACCCCAGAGGAGCAAGAGTGACTATCCGAGCCTCTCTGCGTCTGTCTAGTGTTGTAGGAACCGCAGCAACTGCATTTATGCGCGATCAAATGAAACCGAACGTTCGTGTTTGAGCTGCAGTCATTGCAAAGAATCCATACCTGACTCAACACACCACATTTTAAATCCAAATCAGAATGTGTACATACACAAACAAATGACACACACGAAATACAATTACAGAATTCCATCTCGTTTACCATCTTATTTTCGTACAATTTTGGCATTGGGTATGCAGCAACCTGCAATATTTTTTAAATGTTAAAACTTAATGAAACATAAGGGACCAATACAAAAGATACCATTAGATTATGAAGCGTTACCTCTTCATCAAGTTTCTTCCACAAATTGGACATGTCACATATGGATTTGGAGCAAACAGGGCATGTGTATCTACACAAATCAACAAGAAAAGTTTTAATCTTTGTTTATTAAAGTGTTAATCTTGCTTTCATCGGTTGCACAAAGACTTGAGAGTCATTTTACCTGTTATGTAGCCCCATATCTTTTGTGCATTCTAAATGCATAGTGTGACCACATCGCAGGACTGTTATATCTCTTGTGGAATCAAACAGATACTGAGAACAAATAAACCCCAAATCAGGACTCCCTTACGTTGCATTGAGAAATTGGTGGGTTTGATTCTTTTTTACCTCAAAACAAACCGGGCAATTGTGATGCATTGCGCCTTCAACACATTGGTGTTTATCCTCCATAACTTTGGAGTAGCAGCATCCTGTTCCAAGAAAACAAAATAAGATCTCTAAACAAAGACAATCGCGAGCATTTTGTGGAAACAAGGACATAAGGTACTGTTCTTACGACATCTTTTGCAATGGAAGAAGTTTTCTTCTCCTCCGGTCCTAGTAAACCAACATCATGAGATTACAAATCAACAAATTAGTCACCAGATCACAATATTTTGTTTCTTGAATTGGTAAGCACAAATCACAAAGTCAGTGTAAAAGTGAATATATACCGGCAAATCCCACACTCATCGCAGTGATATTGCTTCTTGGAAAGCTGAAACAATCAATTTGAGTCTCATTGGTACAATTTCAGGTGATAATAAAAGGATGATGAATCGATTAAAAAAGCTTACATCATCGTCGAAGAATTTGCATTTCGAGCAAAAGTACTTCCCCATACATACACCACAACTGGAGCAGTTTTGCTGGACCTGAAGAAAACAATCAGAAGTCAGTATCAAGAAACTTGCTTACAGAAATAAAATCAGTATCAAAAATGTTGATACTCACATCTTGTTCTGTCTCACAAAGCGAGCATACGACCTGAAAAACCGAATGACGACCAAACAAGTGTTATCAGTGAACAAACAGAATCAAAATGTTCAAAATATAGCAGACATTCGTTCCCAATCTGATGCTAAAACCTTTGAAACTTCATGTCGAGGAAGCTCATGTCTATGAAGCTGTTCAGTTCGAAGAGAATCCTGTGAAATAAACATTACACATTAGTTCTACTATAATCGATAACTCAAACTTGTTCTTTCACATCTCTACAATATTCTCCTTTTGACGATATCCAAAGCCAGGGAACTAATCAATAGATGTTGCTATCTAAGTTTGAGATTAGATAGTATATCGTTGGCCATAAAAGTAAAAAGATAAAAGATCATTATTAGTTTCATACCTTAGCTTCGTTGTGGCAATGTCTGCAATCGAAAATTTCATCACAACATGGTGCTCTAATCTTGCATCGTCTTCTATAATGTGAGCAACTAAACACACAGATGGATAAATTTGAGGGGGGAAACAATAATATTAAGATTGAATTCAACAAAAGATGGGAAATTTAAGCTTTAATACCCATAAAAAGATTCAAAAAGAAATAGATGGATGATCTTTACCCGTAATGCCCAGATCCAATCTCCATTAGACCCGCAACCTGAGAGGCAAATTCTTGATTTTGTTCATTTTCCTGGAAACCCATCTCCATAATTACTTCAAGTTTTGATCTTTCCTGCTTCGAATCGACCCCAATCCGTAACAGACACAGAACTGCAGAAGGTTTTTTTTTTTAATATAAAATCTGAAGAAATGCAGTGGCGTTTGTTAATCAGATTCAGGGGGAGTTGCAGAGAAGAAAATAAATTCGGTGGATTTATATGGTTGAGATGAGCGAGAGATGACTCGACAACACGCCAGATTTTTTTCTTCGCCTAACAACAAATCTAAACGCAATTAGAATAAAGGAAAATAAATATGGTAGTAATTTGCAAACTATACAAATTTGGTTTTTCTTTCTATTTTGGTTTATTTTATATGCGAATGATTGAAGTCTCAGATATTCTTGGTTGGACTTTTGTTAAAATATCTTATCCTTTGCATTATGAGCTGAAACCAAGCCCCATTCATATTTTTATATTATTTTCGGAAAATTCATTCATATTTCGGAAAATGCGAGAAGAAAGTAATAAAAATAAGATGTTGACCCCAAAAAATATACTTATTAAAATTACCCACAAATTACAATTATATTATTAATAAACGAAAATAAAGAGCTTTTTATAATGTTAAGCACTCGGTTTAGATTTGATTTCAGTTGGCGCGTCATTTAAGAACCAGGTTTTGTGGTGTGTCAACGTGTCATGTCCAGTCTTTTTAAGAGCATCTCCATCAGGGTTTGTTTAGGAGAAATTGGCTCAATTTCATAGGCATATCTATTAAAAATAAATGGAAAAAGCCCAATATACTGAGGAGCGCTCCTTATATAAGAGTTGGAAAAGATGGTCTCTTATACCACGTGGAAGTTTGTGAGTGGGTGATTTTATTTTTAATTTTTAATTTTTTATTTCATTTTTCTTTTGGTGAAAACTCATTTTCTTCTTCCACCGTCGCTGGATGACGAGTCGACGACTTTCTTCTTCCACCATCGTTGTACAGAAAAATCAAAACAAAAGCCCACAACACGATGGTCTTTCTTTTTCTTCCCTCTCGTTTCCTCTCGATTAATTGCCCACATCATTCATTATCCGATTTGATTTGATATTTTCTGTATAGTTTTGACTTGTCACCAGTTTCAGGGTTTTGCAAATTTCCCCTCCCACTACAATTGAATGAGTGAAAATCGTGGTGAAGCTAAAAAGGACCCAACACGGTGAGTCAGCGACCGAGCCAGAGCATTATAGTTTAGCTTTTGACACAACGACGGAGGAAAATCTCGACGTCGACGACAATGACGTCGACAAAAACAATGAAGTCAACGAAAACAGAACAAGAGACAAATTAAATTATAAAAATATGGATTACACTAATGGATGAGAGAAATACAAGAATCTCTTAACTATTCTTATCTTCAAAAAAATATAATAATTTAATCCTAAGAGACCCAGCATCAGTTATGATTGGTCTCTAAAAGCTGAACAAGATATGATTGGATAAGATCCTCCTTCTTGCAGAATGCTGACTCCACCTTATCGTGAGAATACAAACAAGTTTAAATCTATCGGTCCTTATTTGTAATTAATTGCGCCACACAATATAAAAATGGATTAATCATGAATACATCAGTTTTATTGATATATTTATTATTAATGAATAAAACCACTACAGTTCCCATTTTGTTCATCTCCACAATGGACCGCAGCTCTAGAAAATTAAAAAGGTGATGTAGCCCATCATAATTATCATGTCGATAAGATTGCAAATGCAGACTATATCAACGATTCTTTAAAACATTTGATGATTAACCAAATCTCTATATCGAAGCGTTTCCACTAAATTTAATCCTCTAAATTTATATTAATATATCAAATTTTACAAATATAAATCCCGCCATTGCAGAATCCCTAGAGAGGTTTACAGATGTAAAATTCCACTAAATTTAATCCTGCTAAATTTAAACCTTTCGGGAGATTTTTGTTCTCTCAAATTGGATAAGCTCCTAAAAAATAAGGACCGATACATAATCGGTCTATAAAGAACCAGCTCTCTGACAAAACCGGTTCGGACAAATCTTTATATTATTATTTGAGTAGATATTTCATAAATGAACCTTTATTTGTAAGATATTACATAATATTTTACATAAATAAACATTTATTTATAAAATATTACATAAATAAACATTTACTTAAAAGATATTACTTAAACAAACTTTACAAATATAGAAAGCTCAATTAAATATATGGATATAAATCAAAAGTATATTTAGTTTCTTTACTTATTAAAATATTAAAATATATTCTATTATTTTAAATAATAATCAATCCATATATATGAAAAAATCAATTTAAACTTTTGCAATATTTTTCATTTGTATTTTCATTATTATTTAGTATCATTTTTTAAAATTAGTTCAATTATTTATATAAAAAATAAATTTATGTTTTCAAAATTTAAATTATTTTTTTTAACGGGTTGGTCAAAAATAGTTTAGTAAATTGTGAAATATATTAAGTAGACGGGTTTTTCCATTTTGACAATCTTATATATAATCATTGTTAACACATATTATATAATTTATTAACTAAAAATGATAGTTTGATCTCTAATAAAATATTCACAATTAAATTTTTATTTTATGAATATATATATATATTAGATTTTAATCCATATTAGTATGTATATAAGTATATATATATATATATATTAATATCATATCCCTTTCATATTTAAAAAAGCTACTAATAATTAAACCGCATAATAATATATATACAAGTAAATATCAGTTGTGTGATATTTATATAGATATTGTTATCTAATTGTTACCAATTTTATTTATTTATATTTTTTGGTAAAGAACTTTTGTCACCAATTTAATTTAACAAAAAAATAATTAAAAAAATATTACCCCGCATAATATGCAGGTTAATTCTTAGTCCATTACAATTCCGATGTATTCTGAGGTTCACTGCATATTGATCTATAGGAACCACAAGACCTCTCAATCGCATCACTCTGCGCCGTTGGATCTACTAACAATATTTGGCCTATATATATATATATATATATATATATATCTCAATCAAAATGCGTTTTCTTAATTCAGTATATTTCACGTACCATATTGGTGTGCGTGGTTTATATACTAGTATATATCTTTGTATATATGCATATACGTATGTGTATAATATTTGTTGATAAGCATATGTACAACTCAAACGTAACAAAAACAGGTCACAATGGAGGCGCCAACTATTGAGAGACAACTTTTCAAACAGACAGTTTCGATGTTGACCATGATTTTTTTTGTTAAGACGAAACAAAAGACAAACAGAGAAACAAATTTTACAGCCAGCAAAAAAAAACAAAAACAAAATCGACCTGAAAAAATTTGACGGAATTAAACATAATTCTGTCATTACATCATGGCTGATTCTCCAGCAGCGGCGCCTTGGCCGCCGCATAGCAACGCCGAAGTTTGTTACGGAGCCGCTTTTTTCAACATCTCCTCCTATGGAATCCTGGAAAACTATAAATCTCCGAGTGTCATCTTCGGATACGCATTGCCTCTTCTTGAGATGCAAATGATTCTCATCTTCGTTTTAATCGTCTTATGTCATATGTTTCTTAGATATATTGGCATGCCACAGTTGGTCTCTTACATGCTCGTAAGTTTAAAACCAACCAAATCTCGCTTTCTTGAGCCAAAAACAATAAGCTCTTGATTTCTTGTATCGTAAGTAACGAGTCTCTCTTCTTTTTCTTTTTTCCTTCTAAATTAGGGCGGTTGGCTTTTGGGACCTCACGGCCTTATTGATTTGCCGGAGTTTTCTTCGGACCGGTTATCGTTAGACGCAGCGTTGGACGGAAACGTAGCGTTGGAAAGTATGGCCAAGTTCGGGCTAATAATGTTCACGTTCTTGATGGGCGTCAAGACCAACAAAAGAGCGGCGTTTCAAATCGGTAAAAAGCCCGTTTTGATCGCGGTTTCGTCCTATGTCATGACTTGGATATTTGGATTAGCTTTCAGAAGCTTCGGTCTCGCAAAAGCCGACCCTCTCTATATGCCTCTGAAGCGGGCACCAGCAGAACGCACCGTGATTGTAGCGGTTCAAGCGGTTACGATGTTACCGACCGTAACGCAGTTCGTTTATGAGCTCCAGATTCCAAACTCCGAGCTCGGCCGCGTCGTCATATCTATCGCCGCTTTCAACGATCTCCTCGGCTTTTTGAATCTTATTATCGTCTCTTACATAGGAACATTCAGGTATGCAAGGCGTCAATTTAGATATCAACATTATTATTTATAAGATCATTTTTTTTTCGTTTTCAATAACATTGGAATTATGTGCACACCAACAAAAATATTGGAATTCATATACTTTCTATTCTATTGTTATAAACCTTATCAAAGAATAAAATAATTTATACAATCGGAGTTTTAGGCTGTAAATTAGTCTAAATGTTGGTCACCAAAAAGTTAACCATTTTTATTGCTTACATTTATCTACAGATAAAGATCAATGCATATTTATATATTGAAACAAATACACTTTTAATTTTATAATAAGAATTCTACATGTATTTAGACAATTTTATGAACATTAGTTATAACAATTTGAAACGGTCATGCATGCATGCAGGTTCAAATCGCCGGGGATAGCGAACCGGGACGCAGTGGCAATGATAATCTTAGTTCTAGTGATCATATTCATCATCAAGCCTGCGGCTCAACGCATAGCCGACATGAACCCTGAAGGCAAGCCGGTACGGAAACTCTACTTATACGGAACAATCATGACCGCAATCGCTGCGAGCATTTACACAACGTTTTTCAACCACATCCACATTCTAGGAGCTTTATTGGTTGGCATGGCGATCCCAGACGGTCCTCCTCTTGGATCGGCGTTAGAGGCCAAGTTCGAAAGCTTGACTACAAACATCTTATTCCCTATTTCAGTCGCGGCCATGACCATGAAAGGTGACATTTTGAGGCTGTTTTATGCATTCGATGACATATCCGTTAACATGTTCCTGGTGGGTTTTACGTTGTTCGTGAAATGGATTGCCACTTTCGTACCTTGCTTGATCTGCAAGTTACCTACTAGAGAATCCATCATCGTCGCCACTATCATGAACTATAAGGGTTTTATCGACTTATACCTCTTTGAAACCGCCAAAAATAGAGGGGTAATAAATTCTTGATTCTCCTGCTACATGTATCTTCATTGATTAGCATCATGGTTTTTGAATTAACGAGTTGGATTATTTCTCTTAACACAGAATTTGTCACAAGCGACGAACACGTTTCTGATGATTTACGTGCTATTAAATGCGGGGATTTTGCTTACGATCGTGAAAGCACTAATTGATCCAAAGAGGAAGTATATTGGATACGTCAAGAGAAACATCATGCATCTGAAACCAAACTCAGACCTCAAGATCCTAACTTGTTTGCACAAACCTGACAACATCTCAGGCGCCATCTCGCTGCTTCAATTACTTTCTTCGCCGTTACACAACGATAACAAAGACAGAGGAGTCATCTCGGTCACTGTGTTACACCTCGTGAAACTCACGGGACGTGCGTTTCCAATCTTGGTACAGCACGACAAGCGTTCTAAACCGCGGTTGCCTCAAAACTCCTACATCCAAACGATGATGCTCGCGTTCAACGAGTTTCAACAAGAGAACTTGGCAACTACGACTGTTACTTCCTTCACAGCTTATTCTCATGAGAATCTAATGGACCAAGACATTTGCAACCTCGCATTAGACCACCTCACATCGATGATCATCACACCTTCTGGACGAAAATGGTCACCGGATGGTTTATATGAATCAGACGATATTATGATCAGAAACGTGAACGCTTGTCTCTTAGATCGGGCTCCATGTTCGATAGGAGTGCTCAACGACCGAGGCTACCGCAAGAACAAGAAGAGGAGTAATGGTATCGTAAACGTTGGTGTGATATTCATTGGTGGCAAAGATGATCGTGAGGCGCTCTCGCTTGCGAAATGGATGAGACAGAACCCTAGAGTGCGTCTCACGGTGATAAGGTTTTTGTCTGCTTATGGACCAGAAAAGTGCAAGAACTGGGATTACCTTATTGATGATCAGGCCTTGAGTGATTTGAAAGAAACGTATTCGGACGCAGAAACTTTTGCTTATATGGAGAAGACAGTCAACGGTGGTCCTGCGGTGGCTACCACCGTTAGATTGACGGCGGAAGACTATGATTTGATGATTGTAGGGAGAGATCACGACGAAGATATTCTGAATTTCTCTGGATTGGCGGAGTGGATGGAGCTTCCGGAGCTAGGAGTCATTGGAGATTTGCTTGCGTCTAAAGATTTAACAACTAGGGTTTCTGTTTTAGTAGTTCAACAACAACAACAACATGAATGATTGTAACATGTCAAAGATCTCTGCAAAAACGAAAAAACAAAAACATAAGTTCACATTGTGGGTAATATTAGAATATCCACATTGTAGATGATAAATGACATGGAGCAATCATTTTATTTTGTCAATTGGTTTTGAGTTACAAAATTCATGATTCTTAAAAATTCATTGATGAAGGTTGTTTTCTCTCTAGTATAGTGTATTACTAGCAACAACACATTGTAGTTTTCACCTGAGTTGTATAGTAATATAGAAAGAATAAACGATTTATTTTTTCCATCAAAATCCTAAATTTCAAACACCATAAAATTTAGGTTTTAGGAACTAGGACAGCTTCTAAATTTTGAGGTATTTTAAAAACTATTCCAAATATATGGTATTTGGAAGTTAAACTTATTTTTCAAAATTATATTGCTCTTCTAGTGAATTCAACTGTATCCTAATTATGAGAAACAGAGTTAACAAAAAGTAAATTTGAATGAGCTACGTGGAATTTACAAAAGTATACTATTGTTACAATTAAATTTCTAAGTCTACAACATATAATGAAACAAAAAAATGGTAAAGTTACAAAAGAATTGTGTAGGCAAGAAGAAGAAAATAAAACTGACCTAAATCATAAGTTGTTGTTGTTGTATAACCAAAACTGAAGCCTGGCAATTAAAATCCTGTGAAGTCAATAGATCTCCGATAATACCAAGCTCCTTAAACTCACTCCATTCCTCAAGCCCATCAGTGAACACACTCTTCCTCCCTTTCCCTCTTCCCACTATGAACATATCGAAATCGTTGGCCATCGATTTCAGCAAAGCCGATGTCTCAGACGCGTCTTCCACCGCTTTCTCCGTGTAGAAAACATCTACCAATGCCTTGCTCTTCACGTCTCTAAGCAGTTCATCGTCAAGCATTTTATCCCACTCCGAGTTTTCTTTTGCTTTCACATCGGCGTTGATCATTCGTAACACTGTAATCTTAATCCTGGGGTCACGGGCCATTCTTGTTGCAAGTGTCACTGCTTCTCTATCGTCTTTGCCGCCTAGAAAGATCATACAGACTTGGTAAGATGACATATTTAAAACCGTGTCACTGATGTTTCTCCTTCCGGAGCTGCTTCTGTAGACAAAGATTCCGACAGAACATGGCGCCACTTGGAGAACGCTCTTGTTAAGGTCCCGGATCATGTTGCTGTCTGAGATGATGGAAGTTCCGTCCGCAGACCATGTCTGGTGAAAAGGAAGAAGTATGAGAGAAGTAGTGTTGTTGAGTGCAAGCATACAGATGTCTCCGTGCATCGTATCGGGCATGGATACGGCCGTGTAGGTGCTTACAAAGACTGATCCGTAGAAATCTTTGCGGAATTTTGCAAAGGAGAGAACTACATTGTTTGAAAAAGACGTCTCCTCTGTTTTGCGAGTCTGCAGTGTGTGGGAAATGAAGATGGGATTGGCTTGTCCCACGAGTTCCATCAAGTGGAGGACGTAGGCTGCTACAGGTGATTCCCGGGACGGGCAAGTAGCTTCGAGAAGATTGATCATTGGGCTTATATCATCGGTTCTGTAGATGCAGGACAGAATCCTCAGCTCCGAGTTTGGTTTCAAGTGCTGCATATTCCGCTTCTCGTACCCTGCATACATCCTCGATGGGTCGTATAAGTACCTCAAAATCGGAGGTATGACTGCAGAATTCAACATTATATAAAGACACGCGACAGTGAAGGTCTCGGGACGGACAGACTGCAAAAGGTTTCAAAGTATAGAAGAAATGAGACATATAGTTTTGTATAAACATGATTATGATTATGGAGGCATATGTGTGTATACATACCCCTCTTTGGAAGGCAAAAGCGTAGGCACCAAGCTCGAAGATGCCTTTAAAAGACATGATAAGAGAGATAGCGAAGCTGTCTTCCATTGGCATACCGTAGAACAAAGCAGGAAGAGCGGTCAAGATGAATTTGACGACGAAAGATGTTACCATGATGTACAAAACGGCATTGAGATCTCTCCAACCAACTAAAGAAAACATGTCGAGCTCCGTGGAAGATGAAGCAACAAAAAACGGAAGAAAAGTGCCGAATATAGCCGACTCGAACTTCTGAACAATAGCAGAGCCTAGAGGCGGGCCATGAGGAACAGCGAGACCTAATATGAAAGGTCCCATGAAAATAGATTGCTTGCACCAATCCGCAAGGATGGCTGATCCAGAGACCATAACGATGATTGTAGACAGATAGATTGACTTGACAGGACGACCAGAAGGCGTTCTTTTAACAATGTAGAACATCAACGGCCTGAAAACATAGATGGCAATACAAACAAAGAGAACCACTACCCCTGCTCGCTTCAAAGGACGATCACCGGCAATGACGTCTCCTATGAAGACGCTCCCAAGCCGTGTTTGCTCGTCCTTGAGCTCCTTCATGAAGATGAGAACGGAAGCGAGAACAGAGGTGCTGAAATCACTGATGACAGCAGAAGATATGGCTAGACGACCGAGCTCTGAGTTCTGTAGCCTGAGCTCAAAGAGAAGGTTTCCAACAACAGGGAAAGAAGAAAGGCACTGGATTGAGTAAACCACAACGGATTCCAAGGAACTGAGAGTGTTGTCCGAGTTCTTGGTTCCTACGTCCTTGAGGTTTCCGAAAAAGATAACGGAACAGACCAAAGTGGAGAGTAACACGGAGGAGATGCCAATGGTAATAGCTTTTCTACCCGTGGTGCGGATCAAACCCATGTCCATTTTAACTCCCATCAAGAACCAGAACATCATGTAGGAGCAAGCAGAGGTAAGACTAAACACAATCTCTTTGTAATCCTCTGTAGTGAAGAACCTCCTCACCGCTGAATTCTCCTTAAGAAACGACTTGCTTAAGAGAACACCAGTCTGCAAAAAACAAACACAACCTCGAATTAGAATCCACAGATTATAATTAAAGATCCTTAAAAAAACATTTCTTTTGAATAACTCACAAGCATATGGGAAGTGAAACGGATCATGCCGAGACGCTGGAGGAAGAAATGCAAGAATTGCCAGAGGAAAGAGATGATGAGGAATATCAACTGCAAGTGTGGGAACGTGTAATTCCAGAAACTGAGGTTGACATGAGGATCTGGGAATTTCTGAGCAGGCCAAACGCCATTGGAGCTAGGGTTGAGAGGCAAGACGTCGCAGATCATGTTTGATTCTCTCCATGTGTCTCTCATGTAAAGCATCTTATCATCTCCAAACTCCATTTTGATGAAGATTAGAAAAAAAGGGATTGCAGGAGGAATATGATGGTAGAGAACGATTACAAAAGATTTTGTTTTGTTTTTCATACAAATTAGATATATGAATTTCTCGATTTATTACAGTTAAGCTACCAGAATCAAGGGAACAAAGTGGAAACTGTGATGGTTTTTCATATGGGTTTTAAAAACACTAAGAATAGTAAATAGTGATGGGCAAAGAACTAACCAGAAACAAGATTCATGAGATTCTGCTTACTGTTAGGTTTTTTTTTCTTACAGTTTACAACTAATTTACTGGTTACCTACCAGAACAGAATGCCAAAAGGTGAAGAAGAAATCGTACCGATAACCACGCGCCGCCGCTATTTTTCTCCGGCAGATAACACGCGCTGCCTACGCCGTTTTCTCTGGCGTCTCCGATGGAATTTAAGATTACGGCGACGAGTAATCATCTCTGTTATCTGCTTCTTGCTCCCGTCCCGTTGAATTGATTGGGAGAATCTGGAATCGACGTTTCTTCAGATTCTTCTTCGTTTCCTGGTTTGCCAGCGAATATGCCGGGAACAAACAAAACCCAAAAAAAAATTAAAATGGTTTAGGTTATGGGATTATTTATCACATTATCCTTAATTAAGCAATTAAAAGGCCCCTATTCGTCCTACCTAGAAGCATTATTTTCCCAAATTAAATTTGCCTTTTTGCCAACTAATTTTGCTTTTAATTTATGTTTTTCTTTTTCTTCTTCTCTCAGAATAACGAGACCACTATAGTTTAGTCCATCAGATCTTTCTTACATGTTGAAATCTAGAGTAGTTAAGTTTAAAAAAAAAAAAAAAAATCAGAGTCGATTCTCTAGGAAAGACAAAAAAATCAGAGTCGATTTTCAGACTCCAAGCTCATAACACAGATGATTTATAAGATTTAAATAAAAACTAAGGATGATTTATGACATTTGGAATATGAACATCCTACACGAGATACTCCGGTTCGGTTAAATTATTATAGAAGTTTACACTTCGATCCTGATTTAGTATATGTTTCGCAGAAAAATGAGATATATAGGTTTGTTTTTGTGGGTTTCTATGATCAACTCTGATTTTTCCAACAAAATACAACAACGTACTTGGTCGCATAATTTTGCTTCACTTCAGCTTTCTTGTAAAGACGAATCACTAGATTTAACTAAAATCATTCAAACACAAAGATTCTTTGGCACGTGAACTGTGAAATACATTATGGTAGCAGTTTTGTTAAACACGCAATTGCGTTAATTAACGTGACATTCTTCCATAAATAATTCACTAACGCTAACCAATTCAGCATTAATCATTCATGCACTCGATATCAATCCTGACTATTCATAAATAAATATAATCAAGTTACTTCTTCGAAATATAAAAAGAGTACGCTAATTAGGCCAGATTATTTAACTAGAATTGCAACTCATGCCGATTGCCACATTATTAATTTTCCCTGCAAGATCCAATAACAATAGCACGCGTTTACATGTGTGCATGTAAGCAGATAAGAGAGTATTGATTGTAGAAGCAGTATTTTTTAAAGGATTGGACATAGATGTGTGACATAAGATATTATGTGAGCTTAACAGTCATATGATTGTATCTTCAAATAATACATGAAGAAAATGTCATGATAGAACACTTAAACTTGACTTAGGTTAATCATTATTTAATGAAATTGGGATTGACATTCATCGTTTAAATTAAGGTACAGCTAACAAACCCTTGGTAAGGTTTTATGCGAGGGAGGTCTTACGTCGGGATGGCCCTTTTTGCTCTCTAGTTGACTTCTGAGTTAATCCTATTCACATCACCTATGTTTTTTTTATTAATCCTGTTGACCTAATAATTTGAAGGAGAAAAACATCATTCATGACTTTCATTCATGCATTGTATGATGTAATATAGACTAATGCCCATAAATCTGACAAAAATGTATCGAATAAGCCATTAAGGGACTAAATTCTATGAAAGTTTCTAGAGGACTATCTAAAAACAAAATTTCTAGAAAAGATATGATAAACTAGTTTCAAAAATTATTTGCAAGTCCATGCGTTTTAAAGTCAACTAATTAGTCAAAATTAACTTTGTATGAGAAATTATAAACTTCCAACTTAAAAACAATCAATGGGCAATGACTTAATTGACACATGAATCTTATATATAGTTGAAAAATGTTCAAATTTATGATTTGTAATATTTAACATTCTAATTATAATGGATTTTTTGAGAGGAGGACACAAAATTATTTGACAATAGGTGTATCAGTTCATGAATCATATATATAGTAGTTTAGACAAGTTGTAGCTTCTAATGTAGAGCATTTTAATTTTAATTTTTCTTTCATTTCCAACTTTTAACCCGATAAAGTATAAGTTTGGCCGATTTTTTGGAATCTGATAAAATGATACAAAAATAATATTTGTCTATGACGTACTTGTGTTGTGTGGCTGTTTTTTTTTTTTTTTTTGTGTGTGTGTATGTGTGAATTTGTATGTCACAACTCGCAAGTATTTTATACGGTAGAGGGTAGGGTGTCTTCTTCAATGATTCAATCCAACCCTCTAAACCGTCCGGCAGTGGCATATATATGAAACAAAGATACCACAATTAATGAATCTAAAGAGTCAATAAAAAAAAAAGTTTAGAACAAAACTTAATCAAGTTAGATTCTTGATATTCTTTGATGAATCAAGAAGAGCATATTATGAATAAAGGAGAAGGATCAATGCCTTGCTTCTCCGAGACGACCAATACTTCCTCACAACCTATCTATACTAATACCGTGACGGCCGGGACAAAGTCACCGGAGAACGACGACGTTTCACTCTCTCTTCTATACAATCTCTCTACCATTCAAGAGACGGTCCATCAGATCCAATCCCTGGTCAGCTTCTTCATGATCTCTAATACTTCGGGGTCAACGTCGTCTTTGGCTGTGGCTAACATCGAAAGTTTGGTTCAAGAGATCATCACGGATGCATCCTCAATATTGTTTACTTGCCGACAACTCCAAATCTCATCTAGCAACAACAATGATATAAAAAATGATCAAATTGCAGATGCAATGGTTATGGAGTTTCCCCCACAAGAAATCGACCCGGATCGTGATTTCATGCGAGAGTCGTTAACCAACCTTCTTGCTGTCCAAGAAAGAGAGCCGAACTCGTTTCTCGACCAGACTACGCATAAACTTGACTGGTACGGCACTCAAACCATAGACCCTAAAACAGAACATCGTCGTTCTAAAACAAGATCCGGGAACTATGATATATTGGAGCTAGACGCAGCAAATCTACTAGCAAAATACACGCATTACTGCCAGATTTGCGGTAAAGGGTTTAAGAGAGACGCGAATCTGAGGATGCACATGAGAGCGCACGGAGACGAGTACAAGACACGCGAGGCCTTGATCAGCCCAACGAGACATGACAAGAAAGTCGAATACTCGTTGAAGAAACATTACTACTCGTGCCCTCAACAAGGGTGTAGATGGAACCAGAGACACGAGAAGTTTCAACCGCTGAAATCCGTGATCTGCGCCAAGAATCATTACAAGAGGAGTCACTGTCCTAAAATGTATATGTGCAGGAGATGTAGTGTGAAGCACTTCTCGGTTCTTTCGGATCTTAGGACGCACGAAAAGCATTGTGGGGATATCAAGTGGATTTGCTCTTGTGGGACTAGATTCTCTAGGAAAGACAAACTTATGAGCCACGTTTCTTTGTTCTTGGGGCACTCACCGGCCCATGTACCGTCGCAGCTGCACCCGCCGATGATCACTCCCTAAAGTCATAAGATGACGGCTGAATTCGAGTTCTTAAGAGATTTTATAGGACGTATCTGAAATGAGATGTGCTTATGTGCATTCAACTCTTTTTCTTTTTCTCGAGTTTGTAGATTCATTATATTAACGTTACTAAGATGATATACCAAGACGTATCACAATGACTTGTGCATTAACGTTAATGTTACAAATGATTTTGGTTCTGATTGGTATAATGCATTGTGGTTATATAGTAAAAAGCATTTCATCATCCATGAGTCCGCTAAGTTATCGGCGAGAGTTTTTGTTGATCCATGTCCTTAATATCGTTACCCATATATGTTGAGAAACAACTACAATGATCAGAACCAATGGTTTTTGTTGATCCATGTTCTTAAATCTTAATATCGTTACCATGTTGAGAAACAACTGATTACAATGATCACAACCAATGGTTATAATATTAATGGAGCTTCAAACAACTAATGATTTTTTTTTTTTTTTTAGAAAAGGGTATTCGACAAAGAACTAATGATACTAACCAATCATTTACAAAGTGGTATAATTAATCTATAGAGTGATGGTATGAAACATGGTGTTATCTAATTAATTAAAGTTCGCGGTATGCATTTCTCTTGGCCATCTACATGGCGGTATAAATACATTATGGCGTTATAAGTTTAGGCTACGAAAAGTCTAAAACATGGTTTAATTTTCTTTTTTGTGACGGTACAACGATTTTGGTTTTAGATAATGTTTTTATTTCTAAACAAATCTAAATTATCATAGGTCGATTAGATTCCTTCGATTTTTTAAATATACTTTTTAAAAATAAATTATCTCATTATTTTGTTCCTGTATGTATAAAATAATGTTCTTCAGTCTTCACGAGGAACATATTGTACCACGATCAAATTAATGGATGTTATGCCAGTCCAAAAAAAAATGGAAGCTATACCAAAGATTGTTTCCTGAGTAATCGTAGCCGTACATAGTTGGATAGATCAAAGATTGCCATGTCATCTATCCATGCCAAATATAACAACTTATTAATATTTGGCGCTCATTGGTTTTGGCGGTTGACAAAAAGCGCAAGCGAAATTTTTTTGAATTTCGATATTTGGTATCTGTTTTTAATTCGCTCGCGCTTTAAAGTGTAAAAAAGATCCTATCCATTCATTAAAAAGGCAATTCACATCGAACAGTAGTAATATCACCACGTCACTGATCCCCGTTTCAACAACTCAGCCAATGAGATCCCTTTCTCTTATCCTATATAAACAAAGAGGAATCGACGATGAAAGAATCACATCATCACAGCAAAAACTCTCACTTCTCTTAACACTAAATCCAGATCTTACAAATTAGTATCGCAATGGCCAAGGCAGACAAGAAACCAGCGGAGAAGAAACCGGCAGAGAAAACTCCGGCGGCAGAAACCGCGGCGGCAGAGAAGAAACCAAAGGCTGGGAAGAAGCTTCCGAAGGAATCCGCCGTCGCCGGAGACAAGAAGAAGAAGCGATCGAAGAAGAACGTCGAGACTTACAAGATCTACATCTTCAAGGTGTTGAAGCAGGTTCACCCAGATATCGGGATCTCGAGCAAAGCCATGGGGATCATGAACAGCTTCATCAACGACATCTTCGAGAAGCTTGCCGGCGAGTCTTCGAAGCTAGCGAGGTACAACAAGAAGCCGACGATTACTTCCCGGGAGATTCAGACGGCGGTGAGACTCGTCTTGCCTGGAGAGTTGGCGAAACATGCTGTTTCTGAAGGTACCAAGGCGGTGACCAAGTTCACGAGCTCTTAGATTTTCAAGGATGTGTAATGGTTTTAACTAGTAGTCGGTAGTTTTAAGCTTTTGGGGATCTCAAAGCGTATGTTATTTGGGAATTAGGGTTTCTTATTTTGGAAGAAATATATTAAGTTCAATTTTTATTTCTATTGATTTTGGTAATTTAAATTTCCTGCATCTGTTGATTTTAGTTACAGGCTAAACAACGAATTCCTAAATCCAAATTAATATTCGATGTACATCAATTATAGAAAGATTAAAAACATAGTAAAAATTTAAAGGTTGCAAATGATTTCTTGAGCTGACCATAATTCGGAATGATTTACACACTAGTTTGGCTTGCTAGATGCAATATGCTGAAATAAGAAATAGAGTATTGGACAGTTATTTGAGATTAGAAATTTTTTGAGCTCACGTTACTACTCTCAAATAACTGTCCAATACTCTATTTCACCCCAGAAATCGTGATAAATTTATTATTTCACCCCAAATTATGTTGTGGGGTGATATGCGACCTATTTCACCCTGAGAACTATTACATAATAACCAATTACTCCAGAGTTTGAACCTCGTCGCATATCACCCCACGACATAGTTTGTAAACTTATTTCTCCCTATTTTTCTATTTCACGATGTTTTTAATCAAAACCGTTGAATTCAATGATTTATGATGTAAACCCGATAGAATACCAGGTTTGCTCGATACCAAGATGATTTTAAAATCCGATCTGACTCGATCCAGTTTATATCTGATTCGAAATCATAAAAAAACCCGACCACGTGAAGCAGCTTCGTCGTCCTCGTCGAAATCGACATTAACAACTTTGATTCAGGTAGATAAAACAGTAAAAGGAACATACCTCAGACTATCAGGTGAAGCAGCTTCGTCGTCCTCGTCCAAATCGCAGGTAGATTTGAAGCAGCTTCGTCATCCTCGTCGAAATTGCAAGTGAAACTTCGTCGACGCAGTAAGAAGCTACTTCGTCGTCGCAGAGCACTGAATTTTCGTCGAAGCACCTCTCCCTCACTAAACCTCGATTTCCAACTTCCTCAAATTCGATTAGGGTTCATCTTGAGAAATTGAGGATTTTAACTTGGGTCAAATCGATTTTGAAATAGAACCGAGTCAAATTTTGGGTTAAGTTTCAAATCAGATCAACTTTTGGTTTAAGATTTTTAATCGGGTCAAATCGTGGATTATTAGTTCCAATCGGGTCATAATTCGATTTTAAGGTTTGGTTACGTGGTTAATCTTTTTTTGGTTAACAGTAAACCAACAAAAAACTCGGTCTGGGGGGATTTTAGATTTCAAACTTGATAAAGTGGTTAAAAACGCCGTGAAATAGAAAAATAGGGGGAAATAAATTTACAAACTATGTCGTGGGGTAATATACGACGAAGTTCAAACTCTGGGGTGATTGGTTACTATGTAATAGTTCTCAGGGATGAAATAGGTCGTTTTCCCTAAATTTATTATGCAAACATACCAAATCTCTATCAAATCCATTTCAGTTACATTAAATGGTTAGATTATAGATTGGAGTATTTGGACTACAGGTCATCATATTGTGACATGAAGCATTACGACTTTGATGTATTGGATGACAATCTTCTTAAGAAATTCCAAAAGTGACCATGACAAATATAAGAATGTAATACTACAGCTCACATTGAAAACTCCTGTTTACAGTTTATGTGGAGATTGTCATGACTCGATCGCATCATTTCTTTGGGTAAGTTCGATGGTCAGGTCCAACATCACGTGAACCCGTATTTATGTAAGGTCCTCTAAAAGTTGCTTGAGGAGGTAAAGGTTTTGTTGGATCTATCACTGGTTTTTTGGAGGATCTGAAAACCAAAGGAGAGCAAAAAAGAAGAAGATGAAACAAAGGTCATACCACAAGATGAGAAAAGATTTAACGGTTAAGAGAAAAGAGAGTTCTTACGCCATGTAAAAGGGGAAAGCTAAGCCGGCAGACGCGAAAACAACCAGACCGGTGGCTACGATGATGTTACGTGATGGTGCCATTGCAACTAGCGATTTGGCTTGAAACCCAAAAGAATAGATTGTAGAGAGAAACTACAAAACCAAAAATTTGAATCAGTCTCAGACCATAAGAAATACAGACAGAAAGAATACAAAGATTATTGTAACTCAAAGCCATTATCTAAAAGCAAGATTTAAACAAAACTTATGTTAAAGTCGACGTTGTGAAATCCTTGTGTCTACACTCAACATCAAGATAGTAAAACATCTAGCTACTCACACAACTACACGCTTTCATGCTCGATTTACAGAGTGACACAAGATTCTAGCTTGTTTTACAGTTCCAAAACCATCTAAGATAAACTGATCAATCAGTCTCAGTTGCTAAATTCAAGAAGTGAGCCAGAATCAGATATCTCCCTAAACTGAAAATGGGTAGATTTTTCCTCGGAGTGATCCTATACACGAACGTAGACACGAAAAAACTAAATCAAGTATCGAAAAAATCACGTTTTTACGATAAACAAACCAACTCGAACTCAAGTTATACACAATCGAGATGATCAGAACTATAAGTGAAGAGCGAATCAAGATTCGAGTTCCTGAGTAAAAAAATGCGAATTTTAACTATGATTTCAACCAAACTAAACTCAAATTACTCAGTTGCGATGCGCAGAATCAAATGACGAGCAAATCGAGATTCCTAATTCCCGAAATCCGAATTCAATTTATGATTTCAACCAATCAATTCGAGCAAAAACCTTAGCGATGACGTATCATCGACAAGGGAAAAGACCATAATTGAACGAGAACATATTGCAAGGTTAAAATCACGAGCCAAAACGTATACAAATGAAGAAGATCTCACTCAGGATATGATGCGGCCGAGTCGACTCAGTGCGGTATGTCGGATTGGGTTTTGTGCACCGAGTCGTGGAGGTCTGTGAAACCGGCGATTTGTACGTGACGCTTTTGGGAAATTGATATTGGGCTGGAAGACAACTTAATTGGGCCTTATTCCTTCCATAAACTTACTAACTCACCTAAATTTTTTTATATTATGAAACAATTACGGTTAACACTTTATTCTCAAATTTTGTTTTCTTTGGTAGGGCATGGAAATATACAAATTTTATGAAGCTTTAAAACAGATGAAGCAAAGAACATCATAATCCAAGGCACTTTCCACGTATCTTGCATATCTAGTCTACATATACAAACATATGCAATAAACACGTTTTGAATATAAAGTATAGTTTTGTAGTATACATGCCTGGTAGTATGTCCTTTTCATACAATTTTGTTTTATTTCCTTTTTATGAAAAAATTACTCCCTCCGTTTCACAAAGAGTGTCGTTTTAAGGTTTTATTTTTGTTTCACAAAGAGTGTCGTTTTATATTTTCAATGCAGAATTTTAAACAATATTCCAGTTTTGACCTCATTGATTTAATATATTAGTTAAAGAAAAAAAATTATTTAATGTATTAATGAAGGACAAAGTAGTATTTTTAATAGTTTTCTTAATAAGTGTCGAAAATGTCAGAATGACACTCTTTGTGAAACGGAGGGAGTATTGATTTCTTTTTAAATTATGTAATTTGCACTGTTTTCAACTAATAGAGATTGCTATTCAAACAACATTTATATACTTGATTCTCATTTATAGCAATTTTAATACATTTATTAGTTTAAAACAACAATTATATGGAGTAATTGATTGTATTCTCGCTTTTTTAGCCAAACAAAATTAATTGTATTCAAGTCAACCAGCAAAACTAATAAATGTATATATATATATCATGAAATCATATATAATTATATATAAAACAGCAAACATTAGTTATTCTGTTATATTTTATAAAGAACAAAATTTGTAAGAGAAAAACAAATTTGTAAGAGAATGGCGCAAAAAGTATGTATGATGATGATGATGATGATGATGATGATGATGATGATGATGATAAGATACCATCTAGAGGCATGCAATGGAATGGAAAACATGTGCATGACACACCAACATATCTCACATAGTCACATACGTATGTTATATATTTTTTTAACTAATAAATTAATGAACCAAAAGATGGTGGCGTGGTAATAAAAGATCCAGAGATAAAGCATGAACTCATTGATATGTGTTTGATTTTCGTTGGAAACTCTTTTAGTTTTAGTTCATCAATCGAAATAGTGTTACGTTTCGAGAGTTATATTTATCGTAAGAGGATTAGTTGAAGTTTGGTTCGGATCACCTAAAAAAGAACGTACAGATGATCCAATACCTCCTAATTATAAGATATCAATGTTCATATCATGTGTATATAACTATATATTAACATACATTGAAATAAATTAATGTCCACATCCTCTCATAATTTGTGGTTGTATGCAGGATGAAATTAATAAGGCCAGCAGGAGTTAAAGACCCAATATGCGTAAGGAATTGTATAGTGAAATATGGAACTTGTTTAAGAACTTGCGGCTAACTTTTCATACCGTAATGTTGTCGATGTATTACCAGTGGCGGAGCAAGAAATTGTTTTAACTGGAGAAAAATAGAGATATATATGATATTATAAGTGGGGTATTGGAATAAAGCTTTAAAAAGAGACACTAATTTTTTAAATTTACTGGGGTCATTCGCCCCAACTTGATGAATATGGCTCCGCCACTGTGTATTACAATATTATAGAATAATAAAATATAAATTACTGATGCATACATGGAACTGTAAATAGAATACAATGGATACCTGAAAATTATAAAGTAAAATAAATATCTAAAATTGGAAAATACACTGAATCATACATATACTGGCATACTGCCTTTGGCTAGAACAATTTCACTTACATTTTTCTTTTTTAAAATAACCAAATCTTCAACTTATAGTTTTCAGAGATCATATTGACCAACTATAAATAATATTTTATGGTGAATCTACAATACAACAACAAAACATCATTTTAACCACACACAATTCCGTATTGAAAAAAGAACCTATCTCTCTACAGCTGAAGCAAAGAACATCAGAATCCAAGGCACTTTTCACGTTTCTTGCATCACAAGTATCTACTCTATATATACAAACACGCAAATAAACCAATGTTTGACCCCAAAAACACTAGCTGGAAATCGAGCCAATGCCGCCAATAACTTATCATGCTCCGGCACTGCACCGGCGGCGAAGCCTTGTCTGCTACGTTTTCCTCGTCATACTAACCCTAATTTTCATCGTAGCTACAGGGTTTCTCATTACCTGGATCGTAACAAAACCCAAGAAACTTCATTACACTCTTGAAAACGCGTCAGTCGAGAAATTCAACCTAACTGACGACAATCACGTGTCCGGTACATTCAAATTCACCATCCGATCACAGAACCCTAATCACAGAATCTCTGTCTACTACAACTCCGTCGAGATATTCGTAAAGTTCAAGGATCAGACGCTTGCGTTCGACACAATAGAGCCGTTCCACCAACCACGGATGAACATTACGCAGATTGATGACACGTTGGTTGCGCAAAACGTTCCCGTTTCTAAATCCAACGGTAAGAATCTGAGGGCTCAAACTTCGTTGGGAAAGATTGATCTTGAAGTGTATGTCAAGGCGAGGGTTAGGTTTCAAGTCGGGATATGGAAGTCATCACATCGTACGGTTAAGATTGAGTGTTCTCATGTCACGGTCTTTTTGTCGAATTCAAACCAATCCCAAAATAGTTCATGTGATGCTGATACTTAGATTAGTATTATTACCACACTAATAATCGTATGTAAAGGTGAATTAGTATTCATTTTTTTTGTTCCATTTATCTGATTGCCGTATTAAGTTTAAAACACAAATGTTTTTTTTTCCCAACAACATGCAATATATATACATTTTGCAAAAAAAAGTATACCATTTGTAAAAATAAATAAAGCAATACCTTTTTTTTCCTTTGTGGCTAAGTTATGAAGGTGTGGTGTCATATTCCACGGGAATGTCTTTTATATTGTTTCGAGGCCCATATATTCATAAAGAGCTTTTTTTTTTTGTTAAAGCATAACTATGTCTTTACTTCACTTTTACGGTTTTACCTGGTTATCAACATTTGTCCAAATCAATCTTTCGGCGATAATATTATTGACTTGAGATATTACTTCCCGACCAATCAATGTACCAAATCAATCTTCTTTCGCATTCATCGCCAGAATGATTGACGAGAAATAAACACCAGAAAACAAACCTCATGATTTTTTTTTTTTTTTTAAATGGATGTAACTCTAGAAATGATAAGAGATCCGAAACCAAATGTACACAAGACGTGGTTTATATATACACAACTCTCAGAAGACAAAATGGGGAAAAGAAAGAAATAAGTCCCTTCCATCGATTCGACATTGGATTAAATGTTACATTACACTTTTTTTTTCTACCTACATTACTTTCATTCATCCTAATAATATTCCCACACAACCCCAAACTCTCTATATATAAACGTACATTGATACACATATACATGCATACGAATACGTCGTATGTACCAGTTCTAATGTTATCGTTTAGTTGGTGCAAATCAAACGAGATCTGAAGAGACATACATTCTTCTCCGGTCAGTGCTTGGCTTAGGTTGTTGGGAAGGAGACGGACTTGGAATATCCTCAAGAGTGGAACGAGGGGAGAGACGGGACATTGTTCCGGTTATATCAGGAGACCGGTACTGTTTCTGTTGCTGTTGCCAACTTTCACTCTCTGAGGATGATGTCACATTTCTAGCACGAGGAACCTGATCTAGTTTGAAATTTGGTTTCTCCCTTCTAGTTATGTTTGGTTCCTTTATGTTCATCCCGATAAATAACTGAGAGCAACTTGAGACATCACTAGGTGAGGTTGGTTGGAGAGAGTTCTTTAGGAACCGGTGTTCTAGCAACATAGAAGCGGTTGGTCTCTCAGCTGGATTTCTCTGAAAACATAACCTTAGAAAATCTTTACCCTCGTGTGACATCGATTCAGGTACCGGTGGGGTATCTCTCATGACCTTGAACATAGCTGCAGCACCTTCAAACTCACTCCAAGGAGGCTTCCCAGTGAACATCTCAATGATTGTGCATCCTAAACTCCATATATCAACAGCAAAAGCTAGATCAGGGTTTGTATCTTTTTGCATCACGGCTTGCATGAGCTCTGGTGCCATCCAGTAAGGGCTTCCTTTTAAAGAGAGATCGGCTCTTTGTCCTGTAAGGTGCTTAGCCATGCCGAAGTCAGCAAGCTTGACAACTCCTGAAGCATCAACAAGGAGATTAGCACCTTTGATATCTCTATGTACTGTCTTTTTGCTGTGCAGATAAGCCAGCCCTGAGAGAATGTGTCGAGTGAAACTACGAACAACAGATTCTGTCATGGTTCCACAATGTTCACGGATGTATTTGTTGATTGAGCCAGGGTGAACATATTCAAGGTAGATAAAGAAACGGTCTTCTACTATCTCACTACCAAAATACTGCACAATGTTTTGGTGTTGAAGGTTACTAAGAAGCTTGATCTCTTGCTCTAATTGTTTTATACACTCTTCAGATTTGGGGTCATCAGGGAACAACTCGACTTCCTTCATTGCACACAACGCTCCTGTTTCACTGTTGCTTGCAACGTAAACGCTACCAAACGTGCCACGGCCTATTAGCTTCCCTTTCTTCCACTGTGAATTCATAGGGAAAGAATCACGTTTGAGAGGAGCCTGAACTGAAGCAGGTGATGAAGAAGAAGGGCAAGAAGCTCCAGGAGGGAGTGGCAAAGGATGAACATTGGAGTGTGGTGTAGGAGAGTGCAATGGTGAAGATGGTCTGCTCTGTTGTGGGCTCATATGTCTTCGTGGGCTTCGAGGTTGTGGTGTATGGATTGGAGAGTTGTCTGTGCTAAAAGCAGTGATGTCGTAAAACGCAGGAGGAGGAAGTCCAGAGGTATCAAGTGGCATATCTGGAGCTGACCATGCTTGATTGCTCTTGGGAGGCAAGTAAAACAAACGCAAATCTTGGCCAGTATTGCTCGTTCTTTTTGGACTAGGCACAGGACTCATGTATGGACTCGTTGGAGCACTCATGGTTGGTATGTTCAACCAATAACCATTCTTGCCTCTCGAGTCTTGATATGAAGAATTCTCCGAGGCTCTTCTCGAGCCATTGACCACGCTGGTGAGAGGAGGACTTGGCGAGGTAACCCTATTCTTGGAATCTCCGGCGACGACCTCTGGTAACGGAAGAGGCAACGGTAAGAGAAGTGCCGGAGGCGAGCGAGGAGCCGCCGTGTAAGCGCTTGAAGACCGAGTTAAACCGGTGTTAACCGTGGAAGAATTAGACGTTGATGCATGACGTTCTGCCAAGACATCGTCATTGGTTAAGTGACGGAGCTTCCTCTGACGCGTGAGCCTGCCACGGTTGAAACGGAACAAGCGGCGATGAAATCGATCCCGGTATAGATTCCGATCTTGATCCGGAGATTCAGAGTAAGAAGGCAGGGGTTTGAGAGAAGAAGAAGATGATGGAGACGAGAACGAGATTTGTGGAAGCCAACGCATTGTGAGAAATCATGGTATGATCATACAAGAATCCTTTCTCTTTCTTTTTTACCGTGAATGAACGCGATTAGAATGGACCAGAAAAACAGAGATGGAGACGATGGCGATTAGGATCCATGCAAAGAAGTTAACGGATTTAACAGAAAAAAAAAACCAAAGCCAAAAAAAAAGAGAAAAAACAAGCATAGATATTTCAGGGGCAAAAAAAAAAAAACTAATTATCGAACTAATAACAACTATATGGGAAGAATCCCAAAACGAAATCCAAAATTAACAGTGGCTAATATTGATCAACGGAAGCTAAAAAGAAACTGTATGTTTTAGTTAATACAATACACATACTATATACAACACATGAAGAAACTATTCGCACTTTTCGACGACGAGCCGAATATCTAGTACTAAGTAAAAATTTCACAAAACTCACTTTATTTAATATTGTTAATAAAAGCAGAGGTAATTAAAAATTTGATAAATTCCTCCCTCATCATTCATTAGTTACTCTTATCATCTTAAACATAACAATGAGTCAATGATATATGTACAAGTCTAGAATTTTAAAAATGCGCGCCATAGAAAGAGATCATAATTTTTTCATGGTTTATGGTTTTGTTCAATGTTTTGAGAATCTCTTCTTTTTTTTTTGGTTAAAGGGCTTAATGTTTTGTTCAACTTACTTTATAAATAAACGAACGATTGTTCAATGTATAAACTATAAAATAAGTTGATTACTATTTACTAGTCAGTCAATGATACTTTACGCCCTTAGGCTTTGGTCTATCAGCTTCTGCACTTAGTATATATATATATATATATTCCTCTCTCTTTGTCTTTTTTATTCAGTTTATGTCAGTTCCCAATTTACAAAGATAGCAGCTATTCCTTATTAAATCTTTAAGGAATTTTTCCTGTTACGATTTCAAATGATCAGTTTTAATATTATTTTAACTGAAGTCGTGATACATGTTGAATCAAGGGCGTGTAGAGAAAAAATGCTGTCGACAAATGTTCAGTTTACTTTATTATTTTATAGATGAGAGAAAGAAAAAGACACGTTAAAGCAAAATGCATGATATAATTGCAATGTGGGGTTCTACAGAGTAACAATCGAAAAAGAAGAAGAGAAATGCCATGATTTGATTTTGAGTTGTTTCCAAAGAACGTTTGTCAATTTATATAATTATGTTTTTAACGTCAATTATTATATATTTTTTTTTATATATCTTAAAACAAAAATGATAAAATCATTATTTTAGAATATATAAATAACGTCATATATTTTCAAGAATTATTTTAAAATTAAAATGTAAAAATTGGTCAACATATTAACAAAATCATGTTCTACTGCTACTCTCATCAATTTATCCGAGTATTACTTTAGATACGTACGACTAGTTCAAAAACTCTACAAAATCCAATATTAATTAAGGAAATTCATCATGCTGCTAACAAATTCTCAAATTTTTGAAGAAAGATGAACACGTATGAGAGAAATACGTAGTACTTATTACAAATTTGCAGTAAATCTAAATATTGCATAACATGTAGATTAAATGATTTGCTAAATAAATGAATGACCTTATACTATATATATATATATATATATATATATTTGAACCGTAACAATGGAGTCGTGGAGGTAGCAAATTCATCAACTTGGTGGAAATTAATATTCAACGCTATGTAAAAAGTCTAACTTGCTTTCTGTTTCATTATGGATTCTATAGTCTCTTTCAATACACACATACTAGAGGTGCAACACATTTACATAACACGATTGTGTACAAATAAATAAAGCAAGAGGTGCGTCAATATTACGCATTACGTGGTTTAGGTAATCAGAAGAAAAAAGAAAACAAAGCGAAAGGAGATGATGCCAAGAACATTTCATTGACTGGTCTTCCTTTAAAACAAAAGAAAAACCTAATCCTTGTGTTGCCTATACAGTTTTACTTTTTGTATTTCATAAGTAAATTACTTGTTTGTTAAGTAACTTTCACCATGTCACTAGATTTCAAATTTAGCACTTCAATTCCGGTGGAAAATATAGTTTATTATCTTTAAAGTATCACAGAAAAAGTATTGATAATTCCACTATATAAACTCTGAAGTGAAACATAAATTATATATAAACATTGATCTATCTCTTTTTTCGTCACCAATTTTTTGTTTTCTTATTATATAACCAGCACGTATCCTCCTAATAATACATATGATGTGTATTTTTACCTTTTTTTGTCACAATAATAAAGTCGATTAAAAGAAAAGAAAGGGAAAATCAATCGAATTACAAAAAAAAAAAAACACATGTGATTTTGGAGTAATCTGCACTGGAACATCTTCTGTTTATCCATCACTGTTACTTCTTCTTCTCTCTCTCTCTCTCTCTCTCTCTCTCTCTCTCTCAAAAGTACAAACCAAATCTGCAAAACTACTGTTTTCATGAATTTCGAGACTGCAGATTTGTAACAGTTTATTATCCAATAGGCAGCTTAAATTCTCCACTCTTATGTCGTGGCCAGAAGAAGAAAAAAAAATGTATCTTTTTGATTTTTGACGACATATAGAGATCTTGTTACCACTTAAAGCATACCACAAGCCGGAGCAGCTATGGCGGCTGTTCGGTTTACGGCGGGTATTCTGGTTTTTCTATTACCGGCGGCGGTTTTGTCTTACGGTTTTCCGGCGGCCTTGAAACTGGAAAGAGCGGTTCCGGCGAACCACGAGATGGAAATCAGTCAACTCAAGGCGCGTGACAGAGCCAGACACGGCAGATTGTTACAGTCGCTCGGCGGAGTTATAGATTTCCCCGTCGACGGAACTTTTGATCCTTTCGTTGTTGGGTAATCAAAGTTTCCATCTTTCTCTTCCCTTTGTTCTCTTTTGGGATTCATCAATTCGATCGATCATTGGCGATATCTGAGTAGATGATTTTGATGCCTGCAAAGTGTTTGATACAATATCTGACTAAATCTCAGTCATTGTCTGCTAATCTCTCATGTCTCAATCAAAAAATTCTTTCTTTAGTTTCGTCGTGTTCTGCTCAGTTTTGTTTTTTTCTGTGAAAAGATGTTCTGCTGAATTTGGTGTTTGTTTTTGAACAGATTATACTACACGAAACTGCGATTGGGATCACCTCCAAGAGACTTTTATGTACAGGTTGACACAGGAAGTGATGTTTTGTGGGTCAGCTGTGCTTCTTGCAATGGCTGCCCTCAAACTAGTGGACTCCAAGTAACGTCTTTCTGAAATCATCTTTCATGATCTTGGTATATTTTGGAGTCTCTGATTGGAGATTAATATGCTGCTCCTTTGGGGATTTTGTTTATATTTTGCAGATTCAGTTGAATTTCTTTGATCCAGGGAGCTCAGTAACAGCAACACCGGTCTCATGTTCTGACCAAAGATGTAGTTGGGGTGTTCAGTCCTCTGATTCGGGCTGTTCTGTTCAGAACAACCTTTGCGCTTACACGTTTCAGTATGGGGATGGAAGTGGCACCTCGGGGTTCTACGTCTCTGATGTCTTGCAGTTTGATATGATTGTAGGAAGCTCTCTGGTCCCAAACTCAACCGCTCAGGTTGTGTTCGGGTGAGTTATTTCGGCAAAAGTCCTTTGTTCATAGTCATCAATTTGGACCATTTACTCTTGACTTTGTTGTTGGTTGCTAAGTGGGATTGTTTTTCTGGAACAGATGTAGCACCTCGCAGACGGGTGATTTAGTGAAGTCGGATAGAGCGGTTGATGGAATCTTCGGGTTTGGGCAGCAAGGAATGTCTGTGATTTCTCAGCTTGCTTCACAGGGATTAGCTCCGAGAGTGTTCTCACACTGCTTGAAAGGAGAGAATGGAGGCGGAGGCATATTGGTTCTTGGAGAAATTGTGGAGCCAAACATCGTCTTTACTCCACTCGTTCCCTCACAGTTAGATCCCTCGAAACTATTTCATTTCAAGAGCTGTTCAAATATTCAAAGGAGAGTGACTGATAAGCACGATCTTACTGTGTATGAAAATTTTTCAGGCCTCATTATAATGTGAATCTGCTGAGCATCTCAGTAAATGGCCAAGCGTTGCCTATCAATCCATCGGTCTTCTCCACATCAAACGGCCAGGGAACAATCATTGACACTGGTACAACACTGGCATACCTTTCTGAAGCAGCTTATGTTCCTTTCGTTGAAGCTGTAAGTCATCAAACTCGCGCTGCTATATCTTTTTGATATCACTGAACCATCTGGGATATGTAGATACTATATCTGTAATGTGAAACTCGGCAATTCTGTCTCTATACATTATCTTAAATCTTATCGTTCTTATGGAATATTTTCAGATTACAAATGCTGTTTCGCAGTCTGTCAGGCCTGTTGTTTCAAAAGGGAACCAATGTTATGTAATAGCCACGAGGTTCATCCCCCTCATACCATCTCTAACCATGTCTTCTTATTGGTATCTATATGGTGGAAAAATCTGAACTTTTTCACGGTATTGTAATGATCAGTGTCGCAAACATATTTCCTCCAGTTAGCTTGAATTTTGCCGGTGGAGCAACCATGTTCTTGAATCCTCAGGATTACCTCATACAGCAGAACAACGTCGTAAGTAGTTATATCCCACTATCCCACCTCCATCCAATCTTTTCACAGGAAACTGGTTTCTTGGACTGTTCTTGGTATAACATTTTGTCTCTGCACTCTGTTTTCCAGGGAGGTACTGTTGTGTGGTGCATCGGTTTTCAGAGGATACAGAATCAGGGGATTACAATCCTTGGAGGTAACCCTGAATCGGAAGCTTAAGCCTTTTGTTATTTGAAAATCTACGTTTGGTAACACAAAACATCGTTTTTTTTCTTTTGTTTTCGTCTTTGTTCTGCAGATTTGGTTCTTAAAGACAAAATCTTTGTCTATGATCTGGTCGGTCAGAGAATCGGATGGGCAAACTACGACTGTAAATCGAATCCCTTTTAACTCAAACGAGATCCAAAAGCAGTATAATCTTTTCACACTTTAAAATCTCTCAACTTTTATGTTTCTTTCAGGTTCAATGTCAGTAAATGTCTCTGCGACTAGCAGCAGTGGAAGAAGTGAATATGTGAACGCAGGACAGTTTAGTGACAATGCCGCGCCGCAAAGCGTGTCTTTAGACATTGTCGGAAACACTCTAATGCTCTTACTAATAATGGTAATCAACATGTTCTTATAGCACACAGCTTTTGCAGATTTGCCTTGTGTAGTTTATTATGTACACTGTTTTATTTGGTCGTCGGCGTGTTATTTGTGGTCGCCGGAGAGTAATTTTCTCCCGACCGGCGAAGCCAAGCAGAAGAAAAGTTCACTTCTTTGTTGTTTGTTTTTGTCTTTGTTTTCATTCCATTGTTATATAGTTTTGTATGTAAATAATTCGTCTTTTACGTAGTGGTGTGTGGTTGTGTCGTTCTTCTGATAAAAGGTTTTCTTTTTTACCACTATTTCTTATATATTTACAACAGCCCGCCAAAAAGCAAAGAAATGCTATAAATATAATCTCAAATAGTAACATTTTCACACAATGGTATCAATACTGATCAAGAGTCATCATATTAGTTCTAAGAATTAGATGTAGTTTGCATTTATCCAAACACTAATCTCCTAGTCAGCTACTGTCAAGGCCCTTCCAAGAGTTTCCCTAAACTATTATTTTTGTTGTTGTTCTAAACTATTTAATTTGAAAAATAAGTACTTGTGATAAAAACAAACTCTCTTCTATCAAATCTTATAAAAATAAAACTTTTCTGCGTAAAAAAATAAAGATTTATGCTATACATGATACAATATTTGTAAGTTAATCCATATTAGTTGCATTAGCTAAAAAAAAAATATCAGAATTCTCCTTATTATACTTTCATATACTTCTGTCTCAGACAGAGTCAGCGTAAACCCTAAGTTTTTGGTAGCTGACTATCGCCCTGACACAGACACTGTCTCCTGTAGTCTTGTGTCATCATAATCATTAATTTTGTGTCCCAATAATGGTCGATTCCCAAATTGTTTATCTGCATTAATTGGATGCTCAAATTGGGAAATTTATCATCCGCGTTTCTATAACTATTTGATTATCTTCTAAAATCTCCTCTTAGTTTTCTCTTCCTTTGATTCTCGAATCTCTAGGGGTTTTCCTTCAATTCTCGAATCTCAGGGGTTTTGAAGGTTTTTTTTCCGGAATTGAATTCCCCAGATCTCATTCATCTACTCCCAATAATAAATTGCTCGTCTTCTATTTCCTGAGTATTGGTCGAGATTCACGGGTAGCATATTTTTCTCGATTCGGGTGCGTCTCAGCTACTCTCGTGCGTAATTCGTCGTCTCTTTGGGTATAATTAACTCCGGCGATGGCGGATGAAAAGAACGGCGGACGTCTGAGTGACGCAAGCGACTACTCGTCGGAGGATGAGGGAACAGAGGATTACAGGAGAGGAGGCTACCATGCGGTGCGAGTCGGCGATACCTTTAAGAATGGATCTTATGTGATTCAGAGTAAGCTTGGCTGGGGACATTTCTCCACTGTCTGGCTCGCTTGGGACACTCAAAAATCGGTAAGCCACTCTCACTTCTAGGGTTCGTTTGCTCGTCAGAGAATCAAATTCAGGGAATTTAGAAGAGCATTGTTGGGATTGAGCTAGCTTGTTGGATTTCTGTAGAAGAGAATGTTGAATGTGGAAGCTCTTGTAGCTTAAAGTTTACAAATTTTTATGCTTTTGAGGTTGCGGTTTTGTTTGTGATGATTTAGTCTGATACAGATGTTAATCATGCCTTCGATTCGTTGTTTGTAGCGTTATGTAGCTTTGAAAATCCAGAAGAGCGCTCAGCACTACACAGAGGCGGCCATGGACGAGATAAAGATCCTGAAACAGATTGCAGAAGGTGACACGGAAGATAAGAAGTGTGTTGTGAAGCTTCTTGATCATTTCAAGCACGCGGGTCCTAACGGGCAACATGTTTGTATGGTCTTTGAGTATTTGGGAGATAACCTCTTGTCCGTTATCAAGTACAGCGATTACCGAGGTGTTCCTCTTCACATGGTTAAAGAGCTCTGTTTTCATATCTTAGTTGGTTTGGATTACCTTCACCGCGAGCTCTCTATCATTCATACTGATATCAAGCCGGAGAACATTCTGCTTTGTTCCACCATCAACCCTGAAGCTGATGCTCGGAAATCTGGTGCTCCTCTTGTTCTTCCAACGGCCAAGGACAAAACTGTTACCGAGAGACAGGCTGAAAAAGAAAAGCCTAAGAGTTACACGTACAGTGCGGATTTGACCAAGAATCAGAAGAAGAAGATCCGTAAGAAAGCTAAGAAGGTGGTGGTTGAAGGATGTGGTGGAGAGGAAGCTTCAGAGGAAAATGAGAGAGATTCTAACTCGGAAGCAAGACCAAACGGAAATTCAACTGTGGAGAGTTCGGAGGGGAGTTCTGAAAGAGTGAAAGACGCAGAGAATGTTAGCCAAAAGAGTCGGGGCAATAGGAGAGGAAGTCGATCCACTAGGCAAAAGTTACTTGCGGATGTTGATCGGACGTGCAAGTTAGTCGATTTTGGGAACGCTTGTTGGACTTATAAACAGTTTACGAGTGATATTCAGACAAGACAGTACCGGTGTCCTGAGGTTATTCTTGGCTCAAAATACTCTACCTCGGCGGATATGTGGTCATTTGCTTGCATTTGTTTCGAGCTTGCCACTGGAGATGTTCTATTCGATCCTCACAGTGGTGAAAACTTTGAGCGGGATGAGGTATCACTGCGTAACTCACTTGTGAAAACCTCAGATCATTTCATTTTGTTGGGATTCGATAGAGGTTAAAAATGATGAACATTGGTTTCAGGATCACTTGGCATTGATGATGGAGCTTCTTGGGATGATGCCACGAAAGGTAAAGCTGAGAAACCGTGTCTAAGACCTGGAGTTTTGATGTTTGAGGCACTTGTCTAACGGAGCTTTTTGGATGCAGATTGCATTAGGAGGACGCTACTCGCGGGATTACTTCAATCGACAGGGTGAATTAAGGCACATTAGGCGGTTGCGATTTTGGCCACTGAACAAGGTTTTAACGGAAAAATATGACTTCAGCGAGGAAGACGCCACTGCGATGAAAGATTTCATCATCCCCATCCTTGAATTTGTACCTGAGAAGAGACCCACGGCTGCTCAGTGCCTAACGCACCCATGGATGAATCCTGTCCCTAGATCACTGAAACCCAAAGAAGAAAAAGAAGAGAAAGAAGCAAAAGATGAGGATAAAACAAAGGAAAAGGATGAGAGGGAAGCTATGGAGGTTGGTGTTGGGAATATTGCTATTGATGGCTCAGAATCAAAGACCTCAGGAAGAGAAGGTCGTCAATCTGCTCGTGACCTTCGCACTTGAGAAAACTGAATCCCTGAATTTTTTTTGTTGTGTTCTAAATCACACTTCTCCGGGAATCAGGGATTTAGATTCTGTATTTTTTTCTTTTCCATTCACTCGTTGCAAACAAAAGATTGGAAATTTTATTCGCTTTTGAACCAATTTGAGATGATCCGTTCACTGATTTAACATTAACAAATAGTGCATAGCAATGCTGACGTTCAATGGAGACCACACAATAAATTTCTATCAGACATTTTATGAACTCACCTTTCTCTAAGTACTACTAGTAAGGGCCTAATGCCGCAATGTATGTAAATGTGTGATGATATTCTCTTTCTTCACGGATTTTAACCTGTGACATTCGTTTAAATATTTTAGCTCTTTTTATTAGTCTTTAAGGAAAACGGAAAGGGGAAGAAGAAGACCGGTTTTACCTCTTCTTTCACCGTTTTAGCATTGAATGTTCAAAAGATTTTGCGTCTACTGAGATAGGAATACATGAGGAAGAAGCCGACCGCAGCGCCTATGATGATTCCACCCGTTGTTAGCCAGAATGCAGACTGCAAAAACCCGAGATTATAGAGTGATGGTACAATGGTTGTAAATATGTGTTACTTCATGAGGGTTTATGACTTACAGCTTGTTCTTCAAGATAAGACCTCAAGTTCATGCCGAATATACCTGTGTGTGCACCCGAAACAAAAGGTTTAAGCCCTTTACAATGAGGAAACATAGGAATTGTTGGCTTTTTAAATAATGTTCATATAGCAATGATTCTTCTTTGTAGTTAAATTCAAATAGTAGATATGCAAAGTCGAATGTGGAGTCCCAATTCAATTTCAGAAGTTAATGCAAAATGAAAGGAGCAAGCCTTTACCACAGTTTAAAGGCTTGAGAGAAAACAGATGCAAATCATGATCAGAATGTGAATTTACCTGCGATGAGAGCACCAACCGCAACACAAAATGTTCCAACTTGAAGAAGCAGCTCGAATCTGCTGACCTCAAGCCTCCGAGAACTGAGAAACCAGCAAAAATTGATATGATTCAGGTATAGTAGTAAGAGTGCCTAATCATTTAGGAGAAATAAAGTGCTGTGTTATCTTCCGAACCTTAGATTGACAGCAATTGAGTCTTCCATTTCCTTTGCAGAATCCAGAAGTCTTTCTGCTTGTCCATGGCATGACTCGCATCTGCACATACGAACCTATGGAGATTCAGACAGATTGGTATGCTTCAAGACTAAAAGTTAGTAGTACGGAATGAAAGTCAAGACCTTTGCAGATAGTTCTCCAAGAGCATTTCGATTTCCTCCTCTTCTTCTGCAAGGAACCAGACAAAGAACATCAATCTCGATAAATTCACCTATTTGTGGTGAATGTCACGAAGGAAACGTTTGCAGTCTTACCCTCAGCAATCTGCTTATCTAAGGGCAATGTACACTCCATATCATCATTTCCTCTTCTAAGTGTGCAATTTCTTCCCATGATGCAAATGCGGCGTATTTCATGTGGATCCTCTAAGAGATCTATGAGCATTTGTCTTAGAGCTCCAGCTCTCGAGCCCAACTCAACCTTCCAATAGGTGTATAAAGAAAAATTCAATACAGCAGAACGAACATTGAGTTCCCTGAAGCGACCAACTGAATCAAGAATATACAACTAGATGAAGATTACCAGTCTTTGCTTGCTAATACGAAGTTCCTCCAATATATCAGCAGTTAAGCGGTTGGGCAAAACCTCAAGAAGCGCTTGGACCTGTAGAAAGTGGCACAAATTTAACAACTTAGAGCAAATGGAATTATCTTAACAAAAAGGCGTAAGCAAATGTTTGGACAACTACAGGGTTTCATGTCATAAGGTGAAACAGCATATTTATGCCAGAACTCAAACTTATTTTAAAGAAAACATATATTGAACAAATGGAAGTTTCATTTGATATAGCAAAACTCCGTCCGTTTTTAAGATAAGCAACTGAGTCATAGATAATCCACAGTCCATCAGTTGAAGTGAAGAAGATCTAACTGAAATACACTCACTAGCATCCATACTCACACGGGGTTCTATATTCATAAGCCTTTGCTCTAACCGTTGTATCCTTGAGATTAGCGCCGATTCAACAACCTTTTATAAAGCCAAAGTAAAGAAAAGTCAGCACCAATTCAAGATGATCGGAATATAATGAACTCAGGTTATGCATTTGCTGAAAAGATGATTGTCCTAAGCTTTGATCTGTCTGCAAAATAGAAAATTTATTCTTTTCCACAGATAGAACTAACATAATTAAATCATCATCCCATCAAGTTACTGATGAGCCAAAGTTACTGATGAGCCAAACTAACCTCGAGTTCAAATGGCATAGAGGGTCCTCCATTCATACTTCTTGGGTTGAGCCGAGGCATCAGTGTATCAACAAAAGCCCTTCCTCCTCTACTGAAAACATTTTGGACTTACATCAGGGATACTTAGAATAGAGTGAACGGTCTAAAGAACAGGAGATATACCGCAATCAAGATTACCGGTTATAATCAAATATAAGGACACGGTCTCGCATTGCTATTGCTCGCAGAGATCCCAAATTCAGCAGAATAGCATGTTCACGGACCTAAACAATAGGCAAGAGAAAAGGTTTCATCATTGTCATATACTCATATAGAGATAAAAATACAGGATTATGCGGTAGAAATCCGAATTCACATGATTAAAAAGAAATGGTTGTTTAAAGCTACTTACCAATAGAGATGGCACCGAGTTCGTCATAAATAATGAAGGATCAACGCTTCGGATATCTCTTGGACGAAGACCTGATGAAAATAGAAAACATATCATAGAGAGAGAGCTCGAGTAGATAAGATCACAGTGTCACTGATTTCCGCAAATGTACATAGCGAAAAGGTTTTCACTAACCACTGGATTTGAGCAGCTGTCGTCTGCTAATCTTCCTTGTAGATACTGCTCCGGTCGCCTTCACTTCAACAACCTATTTTTTTCCAGATACGATTAAAAAAATTTGATGAGATACAAAAAGTGAGCATCAATTCATAAGTCTCTTATACAGATTCAACTATAAAAGTGAGCATGAATATATATAATCAATTCAATCAGAATCCTATATATATATATATATATGATATGATATGAACAAGAACTCTTGACATGCAATTCGATTTTCCTAAAGCCGAAATGCTCGTGATTGATCAGAATTTAACTAGAATTGGCCAATTCATGGCAATCAGAGACGGAGATAATCATGAAACCTCATAAATCGGCTCACGAATTCCCAGCGACGTAGAATCACTTGAGGAAGAAGAAGAAGAAGAATCGATCTTCTTTGAATCATCATCTCTTCCTCCGTTTTCTCCATCACCGCTGCTACTGTCACTATTAGCATCGTCGTCGCTAACGTTTAGGGATTCGTAGTCGCCGACGAAGTCCTCGGCTGTTGTTGGAGACTTGGCTAAGAACTTGGATCTCGACAAAACCTTGAGTGCCTCGAAGTAGATCGGAGTTCTATTAAGCGCCGATAAGTGGAGAGAAAAGGCAGGAGATGCTGATCCAGGAAGAAGAAAATGAAGAGATGGAGACGGAGAGGAAGACTGATCGGAGGAATTGAAGAGAGAAGTGAGTGTAGAGGGAGGTGGAGTTAACGCCATTGTTGTTGGTGGTGGTGGAAGGAAGCTTTGGTCATGGAGATTCTTCGTTGGTTTAGCTTAAGGATAAATTTAGATTGCAAAACAATATCCAATTTCTTATATATCAATTTAAAAAAAAATAATTTAGTAAGAAAGAAATATGCGGAGTCCGAAATATGCCCCCACTCTTTGTCCCTCTCAAATATTTCCGAACCATCTACAATCTAATAATTCTTGGCATTTCTACATATTGGTGTGTATTAGATTGTAAAAATTGATTCAACAATTTATAAAAAAAATTAATCTCAAATTATCAAAATATAGAACTATTCTTGTTTAAAATACTACGTTATTCAAAACAAAACATATATGAATTTCTTTATTTTTGCAAACAAAAAACTTCAGAATTTTTTTTTTTTTAATGAATAAACTAGTATGGTAGTTAACCGTTAATTTTGTGGCCGAGGATTAGTTTGAGATTCTTAATTTCTCATCCGCGCGATATTTCCACCTGTGAATAATGTGTGTTGTTGCCACCTGTCCACGAGACTCGCTATGCGAACAATTGGCAGGTTTTTGTATGGTATGTCCAAAAGGGGTGCATTTGTTATATAGAAAAAGCTTAATACTTTCAAAGTAAATTTATTACTATGTGGGTCACAAAATGAAATAAGGTTTAGTACAAGGTTTATTTTGTAAACTGTGTAAAGAGAACGGTGTTCGAATTTTCAGGCGAGAGGAGGAGGAAAATAAGGGCGACGGAGATAAAAAACCAGAGAGGTTCCAATGGAGGACGATGAAGTGAGCCAGCGAAGTAAACATGAAGAAAAATATTCTGATGAAAGAAGAGAACAAAAAGAAACCGATTTTCCCTCGCATCATCCTCCGCCTCCGCCTGATGAGGTAAATCATCAGTTTTTCCGGTGACTATTTGCTCAATAATCTTTGTCGCCTCACATTGAGCTCAATTAACCTAGTTTAAGTGTAGATATTGAGTTTCATGGAAATTTGTGTAATCAGGGGCTTTGTGCTGGCTCACTTCGATTGAAAGTTCTGATTTTTTTGTTTATTGACAGTGATTTCTGATTTTATATGTTTCTGCAGTTGTTCGAGATTTCGACTACAGTTGATCCCAGCTATATAATCTCACTGATAAGGAAGCTCCTTCCAAACGATTCGAGAAGTGAAGAATGTGATCAAAGCACTGGGGAACGACATAACCATCATATGAATGCCAATAATGTTGCAGCTAAATCTGAAAATAGGGATTTCAGCAATTCCAGTGGTGATCCAGTGAGCATGGACATTGGAGGTAACAATAACGAATCCACTTCGGAGGAGAGGGACGACATGGTTAGTTCATGTCGGGAGCCTGAAAAGCTAAGCGGGTCTTCAATGGAAGAGGCATGGGAAGATCATGGTTGCGTTTTGTGGGATCTTGCCGCCAGTAGAACTCATGCTGAGCTAATGGTAATGAATTTAGACGCTGAAGTTAATTCCTTTGAATACTTGGTTTTATTTTTCTATGAACATTAAAGTTACAAATAGTAGTGCTGGTTTTAAGTTGAGTTGAAACCAATAGGACATTTGGAGATGAACTGGTGAAAGAATTCATTGGTTTCCATGTAGAAAAGAGAGCAGCAAGCTTGGTTCCATGTAGTGGGGGGTTTTGTATTGACTCTTTGTACTGGGATTGAGACCTCGAAGTTGCGATTGTTTATTGATCTGGCTTTGGCTTTGCAGGTACAGAACCTAATTTTAGAAGTGCTTCACGCTAACCTTATGGTTTCAAAATCTGCCCGCATTCGAGTAAGAAACTCAGTATATAGATGAGAATTGGCTAAGTTGAACCATGTTACAGTTATTTTTTGTCGTTCTGAATTGATTTTAATATTTATCCTTTTCATATTGGCTTGCAAGGAAATCTGTCTCGGGATTATTGGAAACCTTGCTTGCCATGAAGGTCTGTTGAAACGTATAGAGTCTACAGCCGGGCTAGTAAATATGCTAGTGGGGCAGTTGTTTCTTGATGATACCCAATGCCTAAGTGAAATTTGCAGGCAAAAACTCAATTTGTCAAATCACATTTAGATTCATGCTTGACCATTTGGTTGGATTTTCTGACTAATTGATATTTTGTTTCCAATAGGATACTCACCTCGGGTCTCTATGGGGCTGGGTGCATTTTTTGGGCCGAGTGTTTGCAGTCTGATGATATACTTCGGCGTATTTTGTGGATTGCGGAAAATACCTTGAATCCTCATCTTACTGAAAAGGTAACTTCTGATATTTGTGCTTGTAGCTCAGTCATTCTTGAACTGGACGAATGGATGGTTGAAAGGTTGATCTAACTGGTGATTTTATAGGACTCAGTTTCAGATGGAAATCTTTCCTTAACTCATCTATACTTTATGCCTATTTTCATGTCCCTCAGCCAATACTCTTTGAGCTTTGGTTTGACATGGCTCTTTTTTTTCAATTTGCTAAATCAATTCCATTTTTCCACAGAGTGTAGGGCTACTGTTAGGTATCATAGAAGGTCAACCAGAGGTTGGGCAGCTATTAATCCCTCCACTAATGGCTTTGGGTTTGGCGAGTCTCTTGATCAATCTTCTTTCCTTTGAAATGAGCAAGATGACTAGAGAACGAATCCCAGAAAGGTATGAAAAAAATAGAAACTCATCTTCAGGTGTTAGTGGATGGCATTTTTATTCTTGCAAAAACAAACAAGTGTAATGCTTCACTATTTAGTATGTACCCTTGTGTATGATTGCAGGTACCCCGTCCTTGAAATTATTCTCCGAGCTATTGAAGCCCTTTCCGCTTCAGATAGCCATTCCAAAGAGATTTGCTCTAGCAAAGAACTTTTTCAACTAGTCTGTGAACTTATGAAACTTCAGGACAAAGCCGAGGTAGTTTTAAGTTGATATGAAGCTTTCTATTGAGTAGATCTCATGTTAGAATTTTAATAAACTAGACTTCTCTGTAGGTTGCAACGTCTTGTGTCACTGCTGGAGTTTTAATCGCAAATATGCTGTCAGAAACAGTTGACTTTATCCCAGAAGTCTCGCAAGGTAAACTAATTACTTTTATTCCATGACATATCTGGTCATAATTTTCCATTATAGGTTTGCAAAGTGTGTCGTGACTCTACTCTACAAAGTTCTTATTTCTGGAACAGTGGTCTTATGAAAAATTATAATCAAGTTTGGTTAACAAGTATAAGTTTTTTATATTGATCAAAGCATTCTCAAGATGTCGTATTGTAATAAACTGCGAGGGCTCCTACTTGACAAATTAGGATGAACAGAGTAAATATTTGCATAGTTTTGGTTTGTTCATCTAGTGCTTCATGTCTTTATCTGACACCTTCTATGAATCTGCACGAGCAGATTTTTCTTTCTTGGAAGGTTTGTTCAGTACATTACCATTTGCTTCGGATGACATAGAAGCAAGAAGAGCTCTTTGGAACGTTATTGCGAGGGTACTTGCCAGAGTTAAGGAGTCTGAGATAAACACATTCTGTCTGAGTCAGTACATATTGGTTTTGGTAAGAAACTCGGATATTATAGAAGATGATCTTCTCGATATACAACTTGAAGACTCAAACGAGGATTCCCAAAACTCATTCCCTTCCCTGATAAAGCCAGGCGCGCGAACAATTGCTGTATCCATTTTTATATTCCTCTGTTTTTGTTGCTCCTTTCTAGATTTTTCAAAGTTGGCCTGTATGGATCTTTTGTTGACCTTTAGCAACAACAGATACAGAAGATTGAATCAATGTTGAACAATTGGAATATTCGCAAGGAGGACTTACGAGAGGAAAGCATGAAAGGGGACTGCTCTGTAAACGAAGCTGATGTTAAAAGGCTATCAGATTGCTGTCAAAGATATATCAAGTAAGCTATTCTCCATCTCTGGAATAAGCATTGCTGCATTCAAATACTTTTTCGGATTGATCTTACAGTTCCATAGACTTTGATCTTGTTTAAAGTGTATTTCAACTGTAAGATTGTACTTTGAATTGGAAATATTCAGGTTTTACTTGATTCACAGTTTACTTCTTTCTCAACTGTAGATCGATCGAAGGGTCTTAACTCATGTGGAATCTACTTTCCATGGCCAACCAAGGCATCACACATTGACGAAGTCGCAAGCTTCAAGAAAGCGCCGACCCAGTGGGCTTTTGAACAGACATATTCAGGTCGGAACCTGCCTGGCTTTCTCATATCCATAGATCACTTTAAGGCATAGTTTGATAAATTGTAAAACAGAGGAAGAGATTCTAAACAAAAAATTAATCTCAAAAATTTCAGAACTAGAAGTTTTACCAAGTGTTTTTAGATATAAATCTCGATTCATTCTTGAATTCAAATGGGCAAAACAACAGCAGATAGTGAAAAATACAATCTTAAGCCATAATAGTCAAAAGCAACAATGATCTTGAGAGGAAAGTAGAGAGAGAGAGAAGAGGGATCATTAGGAGATGAGAGAGATGCCAGAGATCAAGAGATTGTCTGAAAGAATCTTGTTAGCAGCTTCTGTTGGGTGAAATCCGTCCCAAAAGACATACTGAGATGCATTGTTACATGTTCCTAGTGATTTAGGGTTACACAGTATTGATGTCTCTAGTAGTCCTGTTCCACAACATGCTCTTCTTGCCTCTGCAAATCCTGAACATTGCGGTAAAACACACACTTGCACAAAAGTTAATCTTTTTGTAATTAAGAATTGTTTTATATAGCTTTGAGATATATAAAGTTTACCAAATTCGGATGGCCTGGTGGCGAGATCATAAAGAGGCTGATAGATATCAAAGACGACCAAATTGAGTCCAATGAGGTTTCTCTTGAGAGCCTGCGACGTCGTATTGAGTTTGTTGTTGAAGGAGATTGCGTCGTTGTTAAGGTTCTCTGAGCATCCACCCTCGTGTGGCCCCGCCACCGTTATGGCCGCCGGTAAACATCCCAACGGCGGAAGCGCCGTCACTCCGATCCTTCTTGCTCCTAAAGAATACAAATTCTTGGGGGTTCCCAAAAAAAAAAACATAAACAAATCAACAATTTTATAGACAAATAATAAGTGTGATTGAGTGCATCGAAAATCATACTAATAAAGATTTATGAAAGCTTTGTAAAACTCCTACAACTCCTACAACAAGCTTTTCCATTAAAAAAGTGTCGTATTTATATTTTTTTAGTGTTCTTTTCTAAACATAAACTGAAAATGAAAGCGCCAAAAAAATGTCTGAATCTAGTTACAGCCACTAAAATATATGACATAACTCAAATTAGTCATTCTGGTTTCTCATTTACTCCTGACTTATTAGAAAAAAAAATGGAGGAAAAAAAACAAAAGAGAAAATAGGAAATATAACCTGAATGAAATTGGAGTAGGAGAGGATAAGGAGATCGGAGAACTCATCAGATGACTGGGCTTTGTAGAGGAGAGGGTTAATATAGTAATTTTGTATAAAGTCACTGCTCCCCGCGCTGACGATATAAATGCCATCGGAAATTATGGAAGTGACGTTAGCATTTTTACTATTGTTCGAATTTGCGAGTTCTTGGATTTGGCTAATATAGTCTTTGTAATGTTCCAGCTGTTGCGGCAACGATATTGCACTCTTCATGCAAACAAAAATAATCAAGGTTACAAAAGTAAAACAAATTAACTCCTTTGTTACTTATTAGATGAAAGAAAAAAAAGTAGTGCTAGAAAAGGTGAAAATGGTGCTAACGTAGAGCTTGGCTGTGCCATCGTAGTAACCAGAAGCTGCAGATGCAAAGTTAGCTCCAATCAAAAGGTTTCTGCCTTTTGCCTTTTTGCTTAGATAAGCTTGTGGGTATGATGTGAACCCAAGATTCTCAGCTGCACAAAAATAATCAATTACTTCAATTAATTAAATTGATGGAGTATATGTATAATGTGCATGTTGATGTACACATTATACAAACACAGTTACATGCACGAAAATCGATGTTTTGCATGAACATTGTTTTCAACTTTTCATCATAAGTATGCAAGAAAACCCTATTATATATCTTTGGATACACATAGACACACTCTGGATGTATACACATGCCTCGATATTATGTTCAACGATAATTTAGTCCAAATTTTGCATGTAAGATGTATATGTATTTCAGTATTTGCACATGCATGCATGCATGTATATATCGAAAGAAATATAAACAAAACAAGATAAAGGTACCGGTGAAGTCAGTAGCCAATTTTCCATTGCAGAATCTTCCGGTGGGTTTATGGGTTGTGAAATCTCTTCCATAAGGAGGGAAATTAGCTTTAACGATTGTGTATATATGATTGTTGTTTCCAACATCAACCACCGAATCACCAAATATGAACATCGATGGAACCAATGGCTGTGCCTTCATCACCACTACTACCTCAAGAACCATTAAAGATCCAACCACCACATAGAGCTTTAACCAAATTCCCACCAACTCTCGAGAGAAACCCATCATTTTAATCTTTCTCTCAGTACGTATATTCACAGAGATGATGATGTAAAAGTTTCTCTGCTTTTTTGAATGTGACTAGTATGTGGTTTTGCATGGAATGGTGTTTATATAGTACAAACAAACATTTTGGGGGATTGTATTAAATGTAATAGAATTAGCCAATTAGGTGGACTCAGATGTTTGTAAATACGATAGTAATGTATATTGTACCGTTTATGTGTATGTTTCGTCTTATATATAGACATAACGCAGTGAATATATGTCTATTGGCCTGAAAAAAAGGTGCTTGGCAGAGAGACACATTGAAAGAAAGTAGTTGCGAGGGTTGGGCATTGATTTGAGTTTCACATTTAATTTATAGTTCAGTTACGTTATGTGTGCCATTTTATTTGTCATTAAGTTGATAAATGATTTCTTTTATATTTTTGAACAATTCGATTTATTTAATTCCAACACTTGTCTTTCCAACTCTCATAGTTATATATATACACGATAAATGCACACATGACACATGACACATGACACAACACACAAGAGAGTCCTGTTACGTTAGGTTCTTCAACTTACCTTTTTTTGCCTCGACGGGCTTAATTTTTTTTTTTAACATCTAATTTCATATATTAACAAAGTTTAGGTCAATAACAAAACATTTGTTCTGGTCAAAAATTAGATCTGTATTGAGACTACAAGATCTCTCCCTCCTTAAGATCGTCGATTCTAATAGCGTCAGACATTTCTGATTCAACCTCGTCCAAACACTCATCATTTCTTAAAAACAGACTCAATTTAACTGAGACTATACACTCAACGTTAAGCAGAGTGAGGAAGAACAAAAAAGCGGCGAAGAAGGTTTTGGATAGTTTTGATAGAACCTTCAGGACCAAACTTTATCCTCAGTTTGGTTACTGCAACCATTCTTACAGATTCAGAATAAAGTTGTGGAAGAAATTTTTCGCAAGGACGAGCGATTTTGACTGAGACTATGCACTCGGCGTTAAGCAGAGTGAGGAAGAACAAAAAAGCGGCGAAGAAAATTTTTTTTCTTCTTATTTAGTGAAGTGAGGCGGTTAGAAAGAAAAACACGTATTATTTAATTTTAAAACATAGATTATGAGCACTATTTATTTATCAGCTAGAATAGTTATGTATTTGAGGTAAATATTTATGTTTTTTTGTCAACCGAGATAAATGTTAAGGGTATAAATGTTGCGAAAAAACTCGTATATGATATCATTTAGTAATTATTAATTTTGTGAGAAGTTAAATTGTTAAAACACTCTATAAATATTTTGATTAACCCTAAACTATTTTAAAGGTATTTTTCCAAATTTTCTCTTTAAAAAAATATTAAAAATGGTGTAAGTTTTCAAATTCTAAACTAATTTAAAGGTATTTTTCCAAATTTTCTCTTTTTAAAAATATTAAAAATGGTGTAGTTTTCAAATTCTAAACTAATTTAAAGGTATTTTTCCAAATTTTTTCTTTTAAAAAATATTAAAAATGGTGTAGTTTTCAAATTCTAAACTAATTTAAAGGTAGTTTTCCAAATTTTCTGTTAACAATATCTCTCCATTCACAAAAGAAGTCGAAGAAAATTATCTCTGCCCAGGAAGCTCTACCTCGGTTACAATGAAAGAAATTTACTCTACGAATGAAGGAGGTATTCACCGTGATCTTCTAGTTTATTCTTTAATCTTCTTTTTTACCGAGTAAAAAAAACAATACTCCAAGGCAATTTAAAAAAAAAAAGAGAAAAAAAAATCATAAGAAAATCTGTTAAGAAAACGAAGTGGATAGAAAAAGCTTGAATGCTGATTGTGTGTCTTCTTCGCTCGCTCTCATATTCTCTCGATGAGTTTCTCCAGAGCAAGCCTCTTCGATTTCCCTCTTAAACCAGTCCTTCTTTCGCATCGCTCCTGTACCTTCCTTCCTAGACGACGTAAGTGTCGAATCTCAACGCTCATCGGAATTGAGTGAATGAGATTGAGATTGATAAACCTGTAAATGCACGGCTAATAGAAATTGTTCTGTTTTGGGTTTAGTGTATTTTTGGTTCTGTTCAGTTTTTCCGATTGATAGCTTGTACGGATTAGACTAGGAGGAGATGTAATTAACATGAAATCGAAGCTGGACCTACGTTCTTCCATATCTCTGATACTCTAAGAGGTTGTAAGATTGTTCCTTAGATGATATCGAATTGCATTAGAACTTTGAATATCGTATATTGGTATGGGTGTTTCATTTCTCTGCTCGAATTTGAAACGGCAAGTGGAATTTGTACTTTGTTAATTGAAGAATATCAGGTTTACAAGGTTAGATTCTGGTGAAACGTACAAAGATATGTTGTCTTTCCTCTGGTTATCGTACAAATCTCTCAGTAGTAAACTATCTCTAGCGCTTATGGTTTTGCTTTGAGTTACAGTGATTGATGAAATCAAAATCTGGGTTTCGTTTTCACGGTGAAGCAGAGAAATTCTATAGTCAGTTTCTTAAGTAGCACTGGATTCTCTAAATTTTTTGAATTTAGTAGACAGGTCTGGTTTCAATCTAATTTGATTCTAGTGTATTTTACAATCAATCTAATTTGATTCCAAGGATTTCTCAAAGGCGGTTCTTGAGTCTGGTTTTCAGTATCCTTTATGATTCAGAACTTTGAGCTTCTTCATTTTACTTTTTTTTTTTTTTTTTGCATTAAATTTTCGGTTGTTTGTTTTACTTTGTAAGTTTACGATGTAATTTGGCTGATTTGATTGATAAACAAACTTGTCTAGTTTCGTGGATTCACATCTTGTTGCTTTGATTTATAAATTATATGCGAGTCTCCCCTCTATACATCTCATGTCTTTCTTTTTCATTAATTATCGATAATGGGGTTTGCAGGATTTGTTCCCAGCACCATTCCAGGTGTTTCTCCTGCAGTCTTGTTGCCCAGATCAACTCAGTCAGCTCAGATTATTGCTAAGAGCTCTTCAGGTTTATGCACTTTTTGTTTCCGGGTTTAGTTTATGTTTTTTTTTTTCTTTTCCATTTCCTTCTCTGGAGTTCGCATTTGGAATGTCACATTTCTTTATCACCATTGAATTTTCAAAACTGAAACATCTTTACTATTTGGATTTCAGTATCAGTACAGCCGGTGTCTGAGGACGCTAGGGAGGATTATCAGTCTAAGGATGTTAGTGGAGATTCAATACGGCGGCGTTTTCTTGAATACTATGCCTCTCGTGGGCATAAGGTCCTTCCAAGTGCTTCTCTTGTACCAGAAGACCCTACTGTCTTGTTAACAATTGCAGGAATGCTTCAATTTAAGCCTATTTTCCTTGGAAAGGTATAAATATATTCTAAACCAAACAGTACTGTTTTATCGCATTTATAGACTAGTTTTACAAACTTGAAGATAATGTACATTGGTATTGTTTTATTGCAGGTACCTAGACAGGTTCCTTGTGCGACCACTGCACAAAGGTGTATACGTACAAATGATTTGGAGAATGTTGGAAGAACGGCAAGGCACCATACCTTCTTTGAGATGCTTGGGAACTTTAGCTTTGGTGATTACTTCAAGAAAGAAGCGATAAGATGGGCGTGGGAGCTATCAACTATAGAGTTTGGGCTACCTGCTAACAGAGTTTGGGTTAGCATTTACGAAGACGATGATGAAGCTTTCGAAATCTGGAAGAATGAAGTCGGTGTGCCTGTTGAGCGGATAAAGAGAATGGGTGAAGCTGACAACTTTTGGACCAGTGGTCCAACTGGGCCTTGTGGTCCGTGCTCAGAGTTGTACTATGACTTCCATCCTGAGAGAGGTTCTGATGATGATGTTGATCTTGGGGATGATACCAGATTTATTGAGTTCTATAATTTGGTTTTCATGCAGTATAACAAGACGGAAGATGGATTGCTTGAGCCCTTGAAACAGAAGAACATAGACACTGGTCTTGGATTGGAACGTATGGCTCAAATCCTTCAGAAGGTTCCAAACAACTACGAGACAGATTTGATATATCCGATCATTGGGAAGGTCTCACAGTTGGCGAATATATCATACGACTCTGCAGATGACCAGGCAAAAACAAGTCTTAAAGTGATTGCAGATCACATGCGGGCAATTGTCTATCTAATATCAGATGGTGTTTTGCCTTCAAATATTGGCCGAGGTTATGTAGTAAGGAGGTTAATAAGAAGGGCTGTTCGCAAGGGGAAGTCTCTCGGAATTAATGGGGATGGAATAGGTAATCTGAAGGGAGCGTTTTTGCCAATAGTTGCTGAAAAAGTGATGGAATTGAGCACTTATATTGATTCAGATGTAAAACTAAAAGCGTCACGCATCATTGAGGAGATTAGGCAAGAGGAACTTCACTTTAAGAAAACTTTGGAAAGAGGTGAAAAGTTACTTGACCAAAAGCTTAATGATGCCCTGTCAACTGCGGATAAAACAGAAAATAGGCCTTGTCTATCTGGAAAAGATGCGTTTATTCTGTATGACACATACGGCTTTCCTGTGGAGATAACCGCAGAAGTTGCTGAAGAACGTGGAGTCAGTATAGATATGAATGGTTTTGAAGCGGAAATGGATAATCAAAGACGTCAATCTCAAGCTGCTCACAATGTTGTGAAATTGACAGTTGAAGATGAAGCTGACATCACGAAATATATTGCCGACACTGAGTTCCTTGGCTATGACAGTCTCTCTGCTCGTGCTGTTGTGAAGAGTCTTTTGGTGGGTGGGAAGCCTGTGACAAGGGTTTCTGAAGGCAACGATGTAGAGATTCTGCTGGACAGAACTCCGTTCTACGCTGAATCAGGAGGTCAAATTGCAGATCATGGTTTTCTTTATGTTAATGGGAACCAAGAGAATGCTGTTGTTGAGGTAAGTGATGTGCAGAAGTCTCTTAAGATATTTGTTCACAAGGGCACAATAAAAAGTGGAGCTCTGGAAGTTGGCAAGGAGGTGGAAGCAGCAGTAGATGCAGACCTGAGACAACGAGCCAAGGTGCGGTTGAATTTCATTTTGCATCCCAATATTCGCAACTGCCTCTTTTTTTTTCAAATTCTTGATCTTTTTTGTCAACTTTTCAGGTTCACCATACGGCCACCCATTTGTTGCAATCAGCACTTAAGCAAGTAGTAGGACAAGAAACATCACAGGCTGGTTCATTAGTAGCTTTTGACCGGCTCAGATTCGATTTCAATTTTAATCGGCCCCTACATGATGGTGAGCTTGAGGAGATCGAAAGCCTGATCAATAGGTGGATTGGGGATGCTACACGTCTTGAAACAAAAGTCCTTCCTCTTGCTGATGCAAAACGAGCTGGAGCCATTGCAATGTTTGGGGAAAAATATGATGATGAGGTAAGAGACATGTCACAATAATGCAAAGATTGTATTTGCTCTGTGAAACGTCAAAACATTGGCAAGCAGCTTCATAAAACCTGAAATGATGAGAACCACATTATTAGGAAACGTTTCATTTTGGTTATAAGTTAATTTGGCTTGACTAATAGTACCTTTACATTAATCGTAGGTTCGTGTAGTAGAAGTTCCTGGTGTCTCAATGGAACTTTGTGGTGGCACTCATGTTGGCAATACTGCAGAAATACGAGCCTTCAAGATTATCTCAGAACAGGGGATTGCATCTGGAATCAGGCGTATCGAAGCGGTTGCAGGTGAAGCATATATTGAATACATAAACTCACGGGATTCTCAAATGAAACGTCTATGCTCGACTCTCAAGGTATTCTGCTTCTAGAGTGTTTTCCTTTCCATGTTTGAAGATGTGTGTAACTGAAAAAAAAAAGCTACCTAGATAGATAAGAAAATGCCTCCATACTTTTGCCTTAACCTCTTGTGGTTTCGTTTAACCTGAAGGTGAAAGCAGAGGATGTTACAAACAGAGTGGATAATCTTCTAGAGGAACTGCGTGCTGCTAGAAAAGAAGCCTCAGACTTGCGTTCAAAAGCAGCGGTCTATAGAGCATCTGTCATATCGAACAAAGCATTTACTGTAGGAACTTCACAGACGATAAGGTAACAAAAATCTTTTGTCTCCTGCTAAAATGATTTGTATGATACTTATGTTCGGAAGAATTGACACATGATGTAACTTCCAACTAAATATCTTCTTGTGAATGTTTTAATTCCTTCAGAGTGCTCGTTGAATCGATGGATGACACCGATGCCGACTCCTTAAAGAGTGCAGCCGAGCATTTGGTAAGCACACTGGAAGATCCAGTCGCTGTGGTACTAGGATCATGTCCAGACAAAGACAAGGTTAGTTTAGTGGCTGCATTCAGTCCTGGAGTAGTGTCTCTAGGAGTTCAAGCAGGGAAGTTCATTGGCTCCATAGCTAAGTTGTGCGGCGGAGGAGGTGGTGGTAAGCCCAATTTCGCTCAAGCAGGTGGCAGGAAGCCTGAAAATCTCCAAAGTGCCTTGGAGAAAGCTCGGGAAGATCTCGTGGCTACACTATCCGAAAAGCTCGGATGAAGAACAACTTCAAATTTCAAAACACTATCTATACAGAAAGATTGTACAGAGAGCAGGAGGAAGAGCACATTGCTTGATTTTAGAAGTGGATCTCATGTATAGACAGATACAAAAAGTAGAGATCATTATTTTATCTAGACGAACTACGTAATTTGGTTTTGGAAAACTAGACAATGAATGCTGAGTAGGTGCTATTGATAAGAATGCATGCATACAGGTTACATAGTCTTCGAGGGAATGATTCTGAAACATGATTTGTAACAGACAAAACGGGGAAATTATAGGTGCAAGAAAATATACGACGAGTCTTTTTAAGGTAAATATGTTTGGTAATTTTGTAAGTATAGCAATTCCTTTGTTTTATAATATATGATGTTTTATAGGATTGTTAAGTAACCCGAAAATATTCTTTTGGGTTCTGGAAATAAAAAAAAAAAGAGTGGTTTTTATCATATAAGAGGGCTTTTGTGTTTCTAGGGTTCATCACTACCAAGCCGCCATGGAAGCGTCACCCACACGTGACCTAGCTCACGACGGAAACCCCACAAGATTCATACCATTTGAGCTCACTTTTGAGATACTCTCGAGACTTCCTGCGAAACCACTCATCAGATTCCAATCCGTGTCGAAGCTATGGTTCTCTATCATCCGCAGCAAAGATTTCGCCGACTCCTTCCTGATTCGGTCAAAGACTCGGCCTCGTCTCCTTTTCAGCTTCCAACACTTCGATTCCCGGCAACGTTTCATCTTCTCGGCTCCTGAACACCACAACAACAACAACGATGAAGAAGAAGAAAAATCATCCTCCACAGTCATTGCTAGACACGACATGACGATCTCGGATCTCGTCTACGACATCAACACTCGCCCCGTAAACGGTCTTGTTTGTTGCACACGTAAACTTGATTCATCATCATCATCGATAGCAGTTTGTAATCCGACAACAAGACAAATCTTGAAACTACCAGATGTTACACCCAACGGAAGAGACATGTACGCACGTCTCGGCTACGATCCTGTCGAGGATCAGTACAAAGTGTTGTGCGTGATGATGTTCGACGGTTTCGACAGCCGTAGAGCAGACAACATAGAGCAAGAGCATTTCGTTTTCACGCTTGGATCTCAACAACAAGAATGGAGAAAAGTTGAGATCGTCCAAGGAGATCCTTACACAAGTTTCAAAGGCGGGATTTGCATCAACGGTGCTATATACTACGTGGTTCTACATAAAAAGATTGCTAGGTTCGATGTTAGATCCGAGAAGATGGAGTTTATCAAAGCACCGGAAGACGAAGAAGATTTAGAGATAAACGCTTTCTGTTGGACTCTTATAAACCACAAAGGAAGATTAGGAGGAATAAACTATAGGTACTTTTACCATATGCGTGCGTGGATTCAAGAGGAAGAGGAATCTTGGAATAACATGACTGGCGTTGTGACTAGTGAGTGGGGAGATTTGTTGAGAGAGATTAGTTTATATTCTACGGGAGAGATTCATACCGGAGAAGTTTTGTTGGTTCCTTACCGGTTAGAGTCATCTAAGCCTTTCTCTGTTTTCTATTACGATATGATCAGAGAGAGTTTCAGAAGTGGTCAAGTCCTAGGAATCGCGGATTATGAGTTTAGACGTCGCTTTCACGGATTTGGTAAGCGTAATCGTGGGATGCGGTGTTTTCCAGGCCACATTGAAAATATCATGTTTTTCTGAACAAAAGCTGAATATTGTGACTTTGCTTAGATTATCTGCATGCTTGAGTTCAACTTGTATTTGCATATGATTTTGTTTATTTCTGCATGCTGAGTTTTTCTTTTTTAACTTCCCTATGGTATTTTCTTATGTTTGAAGATTTTGCTTTGGTTCTCGTCTATCTTCTGTGGTGTGTGGTAAGGCAAAGAAGATTAGGACCTAAGCTAATATTTGATTAAAAGTTAATTTAATATTTTCATTAATAGTTAATATAATGTAGTCTTTTTTTTTTTTCTACTCCGTCCCCACAACTAAACATAAAATCTTATTGTATATATGTTGTAGATTAAGTACTGATCTACCTTGTGTTTAACTTATAGTATATATCCTTGAATGAATTCTCTATCAATCCTATACATTCCTAATCTGTTCATTAGATCATGTGAATGGGAAAAGGAATCAGGCTGCTGATATTACTTATACAATGCCTAATATCATGAAGTATATGTCATATATTCCGTATTGTCTTGCCTTCGAATATTTTTCCTTAAAAAAACCTATGAATTCTAGATTTCGAATAAAACAAAAAAAATTAGATTTTTTATTATTTAATATCTTATGTTATATATATTTTTTTCTTTTGTTTTAGACTTTTAGGGCTGTTGTGTTCTATCTGTAATTTATTAAGCGATCACCACACCATTACCCATCACCACCAGCGATGGAAGATTCACAAGCGTCTCCTCCACGTAACCTAAATCAAGCCGGAAACTACTCCCCAAAATTCATTCCTTTTGAGCTCACTTTTGATATACTCTCGAGACTTCCTGCGAAATCTCTCATCCGATTCCAATCCGTGTCGAAGCTATGGTTCTCTATCATCCACAGCAAAGATCTCGCCGACTCGTTCATGTCTAGGTCAAAGACTCGGCCTCGTATCCTTTTAACCTTCAAGCACTTCGATTCCCGAAAACGTTTCATCTTCTCCGCTCCTGAACACAACAACAACAACGACAACAACTCATCCTCCACAGTCATAGCCAGACACGACATGACGATCTCAGATCTCGACTACTACATCAGATCTCGCCCCGTAAACGGTCTTGTTTGTTGCACACGTAAACTCGATTCATCATCATCATCGATCGCAGTTTGTAATCCGACCACAAGACAAATCATCAAACTGCCAGATGTTACACCTAACGGAAGAGACATGCACGCACGTCTCGGCTACGATCCTGTCGAGGATCAGTACAAAGTGTTGTGCGTGATGATGTTCTACAGCAATACAAAAGACAATGTAGAGCAGGAGCATTTCGTTTTCACGCTGGGATCTCGACAGAAAAAATGGAGAAAGATTAAGCCAGCCACTAGAGATCCTTATCGCTGCATGAAAGGCGATGTTTGCATCGATGGTGCTGTATACTATGCGGTTGGATACACGAGGTTAGCTAGGTTTGACGTTAGATCAGAGAGAGTTGTGTTTGTTAAAGGACCCGAAGGACACAACGCAGTCTCATGTTCCTCAGCGATTATTGATTACCAAGGGAGATTAGCTTGCGTGAGCTTTGACTTCTACTGCTCACGTGACACGACGGCTCTGTGGATTCTACAAGATGCTGAGAAACAAGAATGGCCGAGCGTCACGACTTGTGATGTGCCTTGTGAGTGGAGAGATTTGCTTACCAAGGAGAGAGCGTTGTGCGCCGGAGAGATTCATACCAACGAGGCTATGTTTGTTTCCGTGTGCTTAAAGTCATCTAAGCTCTTTTTTGTTTTACTACTACGATCTGCTTAGAGGTAGTATCAGAAGAGCTGAGATTGATGGAATCGCTGACTATGAGTTTAGACGCATCCACGGGATTGGTAAGCGTGACCGTGAGATGCTGTGTTTTCCAGGTCACCTTGAGAATCTCATCTTCTTCTAACACTACTCTCTGTTTGGTAGTTAGTTCATTACCTTCTCCTTTCTTCTGTTGGTTTCTTAGCTTCTCTTTGTTTTTGGGATGTTTCCTATTATCTTATGCTTTGGTTTCTAATCCATTTTCCCAAAAATATGTTTATCGCTTTTTGTTTATCTTTAAAGGAAATTGGCTTCTCCAGACCCTGGAATTAGAATGCTAGACCAACCCATCGAGTGACCAATTTCCGAGAACATCCTCATATGGCCTGAACATAAGCTTCTCCATCTTTGTAATCTTTCCACATCGAGTGGTTCATGTATCTAGTATAGTTATGTGAAGATCCACCACTCGAATCTCTCAAAACCTGAACAAAATATCCATTTCCAGCTGCTAGCAACCCTTTTTGACTGAAACTCAGCGTTTTGGCATGGAAACCGTGAATTGTCGTCTCAACTTGCTCGAATTTACGCAAATCCCAGATCTTGACTTTGCCTTCTTTACCAGATGTAGTCATGAGATGGCCATTTGGATGAAACGCGACAGATGAGACTGGACCAGTGTGACACTGCTTGTGGACTAGAGGTTCTTGTCTTGTGGGTTTCCACATTGTGACGGTTCCACCAGAATGTCCCAATGCAACAACACCATTGTAAGCATTCACTTCCATTACATCTGTTTGGCCTTTACCTGTTTGGATACTAGCCACCATGCCACCATGTGTTACGTCTTGATAATGTAGCTGCCCGATTTTGTTTACTGACGCAAGCAGTAAATGGTTCATTAGGAACCCAAGTCTGGCCACTGGACCATGTTCCTGAAGTGGACAAAGTTTTCAAGTCAATAACCAAAGACCACACTAGGCATGTGTCTCTTTCTTTCAACCGAGAAAAAGGCACAAAACTTCACCTTTAGACAATGCAGCTCAGTTCCTTCACTCCCATAAATATAAGCATACCTGTAACAAGTTAAGATATTTGACCAAGAACCCTCTAAATTACAAGGAATGTTAGATTTCAGATATTTGACTATTTTTGGATGTTATTGAAAGTGACTATATACATACTTCTTCTGCGCAGCTGCAAAGAATTGGTCATTGTGTAGGAATGCAACATCACGTACTCTTTCTCTTACCTGCAGATATCATCAACTTCTGTTGAGATCTAAATCATAAATATTACATATAACAATTAATCCCGGATTAAGATTATAATGAAGTAAGTAAATAAATAAAAACCAACCAGGATCTCTTTAATTAACTTAATATCCAACATGTCTACAAGAGCAATGTGGCCTTTGCGACCACCAAGTAGCATATGCCGACCACTTGCAGTAAAATCAAGTTTGTAAGGGCCAAGATCTACTCACGTTCACCAGTCTCAGTAATATGAATTATAAGCACACGTAACGACAAGAGTATTTTCATCACAAGACTAACCTATAACTTAAACATTTTCACATACATAAGATACGATTTTTCCCTCTCAGAAGAAGCTGTTGAGCATTTACCTGGGTGAGTTATGTCATCACATGGCTTATTTAGACCATCAGTCTCCAAGTACAAGGGAAACTATATAAAAACAAACCAGATAACAAGACAATAGTTATGAATTCGAAACCAGCTCAACTATCAAGAACAGAAGAATCAACAAAATGTTGCTCAACGTCAAGCGAAACACAACAGTTTCTTTCATCTCCAAGAAGCACCGGAAAAAATAGGGTAAAACAAGATACACACAGATCTTAGGGGAGGAGTAGATTTACTTTCTCGATTTTGGCAGCAGCTTTTGCAGATTTTCCATACAACTTTTCTCGTTTCTTATCTTACAATGACTGTAGAACAAGAAGAAAACAATTAGCTTCTCAAAAGCCACAATCATTACATAAATGTATATCTATACCAAATCAACATCAGTCTCCTGCATACAAATTCGAAACAAAGTTCTCAACTCTGCTTAAAGTGTTTGAAATCTCAACCAGACGAAGGCAATACCTGCTCATCAGGAGGCAAAACCTTCTCCATGAGAATGTTATCCTCTGAATTGAGCTCCATCTTGCGTCTTCCTTATTACCTAAACGAATATAACAACTCATTACACTTACACATTGATAGCAGCAATCCAGACAGAGAATTAGAAACCCATCATATAAGCTTATGAGTTTAATCCTTTATGATCTGTCTACATGATTCAGCTACGTTTAACAATAGAACGGGAACAGCTAGGAAGATCGAGTCAAACTTCAGCAAAGACAGAAATCTTAAATTTGCTTCACCTGAGTGGTGAAGCTTTGATTAAAAGAAGAAGAAACAAAAAAAAAAAAAAAACAAGGCGGGAAGTTTTTTAGGGTTTAGTAAAAGGTGCAGAGAGCTCCGACATGGATCCTTCGCTATTGCAGGATTGACGCGATCAACCTAACCAAACGAACCGAAATCGTGGAGACTATGAACCAAGATCGAGATTCGGTTATGAAAATATATTGTGTTCCTTATATTATTTAGGAAGATTTCCTATTATCTTTATGTAAATAATAACTTGTGGGTCAAGTTAATAAATATTCGCTGACTGGATATGAAAAGATTGACGTATCTCCCTGATAGCTCTTTTTAGTAAAGTCTCTTGATCTTCTTCCTCAACTTTGCCGATGATCTCTCTCACTCCGAATCTCTCCATATTGTCTATAACCTTGGAGATTCTACTAATTATGCGCCTCTCATCTGTGAACCAAACTCTTGAAGAGCAAATGTGATGGTTTTGGTTTTTAATCCATTTTCCTCAAAAACTCTTCAGATGGTTTCATAAATTGATACCACAAAATTGCATACTCATGTAAGGATCAGTTTGTTGAGATCTTACCTGATTCAACTTAAGCTTTTTTGAGTTTGACTTCAATAAATTAGCAGAAGAACTAATTATATTGTCACACTTATATCAGCAAAATTTATTTACTTCTTATATCCTGAAACAGAATTAAGAAGAAAAATATTGCAATATGAAGTTACTGTTTGAAACCAGTATAGAGCATAGAAGATAAGAGACTAGGACCTATTTTGTTCTTCTATTTCTTTTCGTATTCGTCCCCGCAATTGTGAAACACAACATAAGATACATGTTGTATTTTGTAGTAATCTTCTCCACCTTGGATTAACTTATCCTTGAATGCATTCTCCATCCATCCTACTCTTAGCTCCTCCAAACTAGTTATGTATCTTAATCCATCAGGAAGACTCTTTAACTTTCTGCAGTCATTGATCTCCAAACGACAAAGATTTGGCATAGACTCTTCTTCTACGACCCACTCATCAAGGTTATCGAGTATAGAAAACTCCAGAGTATGCAATTTAGGGAACCCGGCTTTCGAGCAGACCATTCTCTTCCCAGTGAAAGCATTCAGTTCTAGACTAACGATCTTTAAGCTGTGTAGCTTTTCAAGAACTGGCATTGGATCCTCGAGTAGGTCACAAGAGGATAATGAAACAGAGGCAATCCGGGAAGGGAATTGAAGTTCATTAGGTAACTTGTCTATCTTTATATCTAACCTTAACTGGTTAAGTCTTTGGAATCCATAAACAAGGGATCCTGCATCGATAATCTTCGCTGGTTGGACTTGGCCGTTTCTTTTGTTGTACAACATCAGCTCCTCCAAGTCTTTCAATGAAGCACCGAGAGACACAGGTAAAACTTCCTCTCCAGGGTTATCAGAGGCACAACAAACCCACAAAGTTCTGAGTTTGGTCATATTGATGAGATCTTGAACGCTACTGTGCTTTAATGAGAAGTTCTTGAGGGTCTCCAAGTTCACTAAACCACTTAATTCCAACTTCGTTTTATTGCTTAGTTCGTCGGGTAACATAAGATATCTCAGCTTCTTCATCTTCTTTAAAACGTTTGGTATGTGAACCATTGTCTCGTAAATCTCTAAATCCAAATAAACCAACAGCTCTAGATTCCCTAGAGAAGACGGTAACACAGACAAGTTTGTCTCTTTCAAGCTCAGGTACCTCAAGTGGATGAGTTTCCCTATGCTCTTAGGTAACTTGCGCCTTCTGAACTGAGCTCCAAAGAGATCCAAGACTCTAAGTGATCGTAAACCTCGAAAACTCCGTGTTGATAAGATCCAAGGACTGAAATCTCTAGTGATGTACAAAAGGGTCCTTGCTTTGGGGTTTTGGATCTGTCTCTGCTGAAATATAACAGGTTCGTTTTCGTCATCATCAACCAAATGTACAGCGAGTCTACGAGCTCTAGTAGCTTCCGAGATACGGCTCTGAGCACTGAAAGTTTGTATGAAATTCTCTTCTTTGGCTTTAAACAGACAGACTTCTCTAACAACATCATGTAAACGACAGGATTCGATTCTTGATGTCACAGTGTTCCTCTTCCCTACCAAAACCATACTCCTCTTGACCAACTCCTCAAGGTAATCCTCTGCAACATCTACAATAGTACTCTCTTCACCATACACCATCACTATTCCTTCTGCGACCCAATAGTTAAACAATGTCTCTGTTTGTATCTCATGATCTTCCGGGAAATGGGCAAGGTAAAGAAAGCAGTGCTTCAAATGAGAAGGTAAATCTTCATAACTCAAAGATAGCACGTTGAATACCAAACTACCATTTCCACCATTTTCACCAACCTCTCCTGCGATATAAGATCCAATGTTGTTGTGTACCTTTCTCCACTCGGACGCTGAACGTTTTGTAGCTAACAGCCCTCCAAGAGTTTTCACAGCTAGTGGTAATCCTCCACAGTGTTTGAGCATTTGTTGGATCTCTTCCTTTACATCATCGACCTGAAACTCTACGCACAGAACAAAGGACTCTCTTAGCTCATCCTTTTTTAGCATTTGGCTTACTAACATAAGATGCAAAGACAGTTATAATAAAGGACATACCTATATCGTTTCTCTCAAACAATGCAATCTTCTGAAAAACTTCCCAGCTTTCGTCATGAGTTAGGCATCTAGGCCTAAAGATAACGCATCTTAGATCTGGATGAAAACCAACACCCTCATTCCGAGAAGTAAGTAATATCTTGCTACCTGCAAAAATTGTGTCCATATTCCAAAATTAGATATACAACTGAGAAAAAATGCTTCTGTTACTTAACATTTTTGTACATAAAAAGATTATGATTCATGGTCAAGAGATGAGTCACCTGATCTATGTGGAAATGCTGGCTTTATAAGCTCCCAAGCTGAAATGCTCCACAAATCATCAAGCACAATCAAACATTTTTGTGTTTCAAGTAGTTTAAAGAGCTCATCTTGGAGTCCAGAGACTGTCATTTCCGCAATTCTCTGTTCCTCATTTTTGGGCCTAAGGCACTGTAATATCACCCGCCACACATGCTTTTGCCTACACTCTTGTGAAACAAACACCCAAGCGAATCCATTGAAACGACGCCGCACCATCTCGTGATGAAACACTTGTCTAGCAAGAGTGGTTTTCCCAATACCGCCCATCCCGCAGATAGAAACCACTTGAAAACCATTCTCTCCCACAAGATGAGCCATAAGTTCTTCAACACTTCGCTCCACACCTACAAGGCTGCTTTCAGAAACGCTAGGAAAAGATTGTCGTGTGTCCCCGATAACTCTTTCTGGTAAAGTTTCTTGATTTTCTTCTTCAACTTTGTCGATGATCTCTCTCACTCCGAATCTCTCCATATTGTCTATAACCTTGGAGATTCTACTGATTATGCTACTGATCTGTGAACTAAATTCTTGATGAGCAAATGTGATGCAAGAAACTCTCTTTAAATGCTTCTTAATCCCTCTTTCTCTTCTAAACCTTTCTTTGTTTATAAGAAAGCTCTCGATTATGTCTTCAGCATCGCACACAATCTCTACAATCTCTTGTACACAATTCTTCACTCTTTCGCTTTTGCTTTTCTTGGTTTCTTGTGCATCTTTCACAAACGATTTTAGCCGTCTCAGATCGTTTTGTAGCTCGGTTGCTTGTTCTTGGACTTCTTTTAGCCGATTGGATTCTCGAATAAGAAGCTCCCAGAGTTTCTGCAATCCAAATGTTACCACTGCGTCGGCCATTAAAGTTCCCCTGCTCAGCTCACAAAAGAGAAACGAGTTTAAGCTTACATAATCAATCACCAATAACTAAACTCCAGTTTTATCAAAGATTCCAATGATTGCTTCAAATTTTTTGAGATGGATTATCCATTTTCTACCAAAATCCTGAGTTCAACTTGAAAAAAAAAAACGAAAATAGCAACAGTTAAAATTTCACACAATTTAGAATTATGTTAATTAATAACCCAACCGGCCATAACTTCTTTGGAGAAATCTCTAATAAATTGGTAAAGGAAGCAAATTTCAGAGAATGAATAGTTATCAGCAAATTTAAGTTCATACACAAAGAGAGAGGACATGAGCTGAAACATATTTCTCCGAGAAAATGAAAATTTCTTGGAAAAAAATAGAGTTTCCCATAACTCACCTCAAAAATATCAACAAAGCTCTCACTTTTCAGCTTCGCACCGAGAGATTTGAGTCTGGGCGATGTGGAAGACGACGAAACGTTTTTTCTTTAGTCAAATGTGTAAACAGTACACTTTCAAAAAGTCAATATTGTATAATCTGCCTGAATAGTCAAAGCAAAGTCAGCATCTCTTAAGTTTACTCTAGATGGGCCTCTTAAGTATAAACCCAAAAATCCGATCTTTAGTTCATAACTAATATTAAGTTCTTAACACATCAGTTAGTCTTAGGACACATAAGTCCTCCGTTTAACCAATGGCGTGTCGTCACTTAAAGCTTTCTGTAGATACGACCGTACTTTATCATTCACCCCCCCCCTTGGTCGTCTCTCATCAAGGCAAGAGTGTGTTGTGTTTAAAGCCCTTAAACCTCTCACCAACTGATTGTTTGATCGAATAGAACTCCGCCTTCTTCCTCTATCCTCCAAAATCCCAAAGCTTCTGTGTTGCTTATCTATATAAAAAGCTAAGTTTCTTTCGTTGTTAGATCATACGCAATCGAGAACATTGCGCAAATGTCTCTATCCCTAAAAATTTCGCACATTTCAAATTTCTCCAAAGATGTGTTCAATACTGTAGATCCCCGAAAGCAATGCAGAGCCGGTCAAAGGTTGGAAATTAGGTCGATTTGTTTCCGAAGAAGCCCTGGTATTGAATCCAGACGGATCCATTGGAGCTCGGAGCTGTCTCCTCGGAAACTGAGGAACCGATGCATTGGATCGGATGTGGTCGCTGGAGAAATCTCCGGCAGATCGGTGCCGGAATGGGCATATAGCGGCTTAAAGGATGTGGCTTTAAGCGATTTGGAGCCGGAACTCGATTGCGGCGGCGGCGATGGCGACGGAGATGACAATGGGAATAACGACGGAAATGGGAATAGTGGTAACGGCGGAGGAGGAGACGGAGGTGACGAGGATGGAGAGGATGAAGCAGATAAAGCTGAGGAGAAGGAGTTTGGTCCGATACTGAAATTCGAAGAAGTCATGAAAGAGACAGAGCGTAGAGGGATTACGCTACCTGAGGATATGTTGGAGGCTGCGAAATCCGTGGGGATTCGGAAACTGTTCCTTCTTCGTTACCTTGATCTACAGGTTTGATTTTTTGGAAGAACAAAGTAACTCGGATGATTGTTTTTTGTGTGATGATTCATGTTTTGAGGGTGAAAATTTGCAGGGTTCTGTTTGGCCACTTGGGTTTCTGATGAGGACTTGCTCGATGCTTCGAAACAGAATGCTTGCGGATCCTTCGTTTCTCTTTAAAGTTGGAACTGAGGTTTGTCAATGATTAAAGGTTTCTTTTTTAGTATTCATCTCGGGACCAGTTGTTTAGGATTGTGTCAAAAAATCTGACTTTGTGGAATCAATGCAGATAGCCATAGACTCCTGCTGTGCAACTTTTGCAGAAGTACAGAAGAGAGGGGAAGATTTCTGGTCAGAGTTTGAGTTGTATGCGGCTGATCTTTTGGTTGGTCTCGTGGTTGATGTTGCTTTGGTTGGACTTTTGGCTCCCTATGCGCGTATCGGGAAGCCATCCGTGGCTTCAACAGGTTTGTTTAAAGACGTTAAGCGTGCTTGTGCAGCCCTTCCTAGCAGGTAAGAGTGTCATTGTCTCTCTTTCATTCTTCACTTTTGGCTCCATGTAATGTACCACATGAATTAAATCTTCCCACTATTTTCTATCGAGTTGGCTGTATATTCGTGCTGAGATGTGCTTATACGCTTTTCTATTTGTGCTTATGAAGTGTTTTTGAAGCTGAAAGGCCAGGCTGTAAATTCTCGGTTAACCAGCGCATTGCAACTTTCTTCTACAAGGTAATTGCTTTAGCTTTCCTTGTGGATCATCTATACCTTTTGGTTTAACTAATCGGTGTGATTCTGCATCCAGGGCCTCTTGTATGGGTCCGTTGGGTTCGGTTGCGGTCTCATCGGTCAGGGAATTGCAAATCTGATCATGACGGCAAAACGGTATTTTTTTCAGTGTCGACTTTATCTTACTACTTCTCAATCATTCAATGAATCTTCTGAGTTTCTCTCTGGTTTTATATGATGTGTCGAGACACTAGACTGGCTAAAAAAAACTGTTCTTCACCAAAAGTTTTGGTTTCTATGTCAATAGGAGTATAAAGAAATCAGAAGAAGACGTCCCTGTTCCACCTCTATTCGAAAGCGCTGCTCTCTGGGGTAAGTCTTACTTTCCATCTCTAACTTTGTATATTAAAAAAAAAAACTCTGCAGAATCATCAAAGCTTTTTCTTTCTCTGATGTTGAATGAAAAACATAGTCTTGAACCGTGAATATGTATGTGTTGTCTACTCTTTCTCTGAGTTTTTGCTAGGCCAGGTCTGACCCGCTATAGAGGTTCCTGTGACCCAAATCAATCATCAGTTTTTTCAACCGTGTTTGGTTTCTTAGAAAGTAAAAGAACCTGAATTGCCATTGATACACAAGAATCGATTATGCTTTCAGTTCTCGGTGACAGTATCAGCTGGATTGTTCCTGTTGTTTGTAGCATTAGATTCCAGTTCTGTGGAGACAGTAACTTAATTACAAAACTCAGAGACAAGCGTGAAGATTTCTCTGTCGATTGTTGATTACACAGACTCACTCTCTTCTGTATCTTGTGTTCTTGATCAGGTGTGTTCCTTGGCTTGTCTTCCAACGCACGTTACCAAATCATCAACGGCCTCGAACGTGTAGTGGAAGGTTCTTCAGCAGCCAAACGCATTCCTGTGGTTGCGATGGCGTTTACTGTTGGAGTCCGGTTTGCTAACAATGTATATGGCGGTATGCAATTCGTGGATTGGGCTAAATTATCCGGCGTCCAGTAGTCAAACCGGCTCCGGTTTTGTTACGAGCCAGTTTGCAAACCAGCCATATAAGTTTCCGTCTGAGATCTTAATCTGATGGGGTTTGTTGGTTAATTGAATATCGTTAGTGGTTAGGTTGTTTACCGAGAGCTAGAGATAGAATCTGGTTCATGATCTGGACCTGACCGGATTCTGCTAACCGGATTACTCGAACGGAAACCGAAACAAAACATTTTCGATTTGGTTTTTGGAAGTTCTCTCGTAATTCTCCAATTTCCTTTTTAGTATGCAATAATGACATTTTTCACATTAATAAATAGGAAAATTATATGTTGTTTCCATTATTAAATTTTAGTGTACAACAGAAATTTTCCATTATTCTCATCTCCATAATCTTATAAATTGACTTAAAAGAATTTCTTCTTCAAGTAAAGGTCAAAGGCTAAGTTTTTCATCAAACACAATGACAAGAGTTTCACAACTAACTCTTATTTTTCGCGACAAACTACAAACTATCAACCAAGACTCCAACAATAACTCAGGTGTTGTCGAGAAAATACCGTCGGAATCATCGTGGAACCATGAACACGATCAATTGAAAAGCGAGTCTGCTTTGTGGCCTTCGTTTCAAATGCCTCTACATTACCCAAACTTCACAAAGGAACAGTACGAGATTATGTCGGAGAAAGAACTTGATCGGCTTCTCAAACTATATGGCCTGCCTACAGATTTCGGTGACTTATCTTGCAAGAAACAATTCGCATTCGGTGCATTCTTGTGGGAGAAAGGGCTAAATTCTTCTCCGGGCGCTAAGCATGATTCAGTGAACCCTAACTCGTCCGTTGGTCATTTGGGTGAGAGCTCTTTAATGGGGTTGATGACAGCTTTGAAATATATGGTTCACTGTATACAGTATGCCGTATTTAGCAAATAACTTTTTTTTTGTTGGTAACTGAAACCTAACTTTGTTTGGTCCTAAAGGTATGGTTTGGGGTTGTTTTAGTATGGTTTAGAAACAATTATGGTTTGTGCTATCATATTATTAATATTAGATCTTAGTATCTGACAACTATCTAGTATTAACATTAAGTTATCACCCAGTTACTATAAGGGATTAGGATTTTTGAGGGTATTGATCAGAGTTTTCTGGTTTTGCATGGGGACTCGTAGTTCTCTAATTTTCTTTTATATATTTAATCGTTTGCAATAATATGAGTCAACATTATGTTAGCCTTAACATTTTCGGTTTATCCATAACTAGCTACTACTATTGCTACAAGATATATTTGCTTTCCATGGATCAGTGAAATCCGGATGATCGCATGTAACCTTTTTGACGTTTTCGTGGATCAATAAATGGGAAGATGTGTGTGACTGTGTGAGTCATGACTCCAATCAAACAAAATATACTATTTGTTTTCCATGATCAATCAAGACATTTATTTACATTTTTCATTTTTTTCTCATACCTTTTTTTCGTTAAATAGAAGAATTGTTGGTAGGTGAAGATATTAAATAAAATTATTTCGATACTTTACAAAAATAAAAAAAAAACAAAGGAATAGAAAAAAATAGTCTTAGGATACTTTGATGGCAGCATCATTTGATAGATGTGGAGTATCTTCTCAGTGACAGCTTGGTCACCACTGTCATCCAACTGCTACATACATCTTCTTCACCTTTTGTTCTCTTTGTTTCTGTTTTGTGAGACCCCTTACTATAATCATTTTTATTCTTATCTTCTTTTTCTTCTAATTTTCATATTCAGCAATATCATTTTGTTGAATTGTTGTCATAACAAAAATACAAATTTCTTGATTCAATAATCCCAACCTGAGAAGTAAGAGACTGTCGTCGAATGAATATTATTTGTTTTTAGTAGACCGACAACTTCTAGTTTATAATCTACTCGACCCGGTCCCATTCATATTGCGGTTGGACCAGCTATCTATACCAAAAATACAAATGGCATGACCCGACCCGACCCGCTTTTAAAATCCGATTTTCCTCCCCCATGGATTGATGGAGCTCCAAAATTGCATGCTTTGACTGCGACCGAAAGCTGTCATTTATTGATTTAAAGTTTCAACAGATAAATAAATGAAAACAATGAAAAGGAAAAACAAGAACAGCAGTAAACTTTACAAAAAAGGTAGAAGCAGACAACTGTTTTACAAAGTAGTCCGTAATTTATAAATTCTCCATTTCAGTCCAAATGACTAGACGGATTGTGGTACTTTCTATCATTATGCTTTATTTTTATTTTTAATAATTAAAAGTTTGTTTGGGTCCTGGTAAATGCGTAATAAAATTATAGGTGGACAAAATTCCTGCCCTGTTTTGTTCTATTCTCTGTTTTGATTTTTTCATTTTATATAGCAATACATTTTCGTATAGCATAAAATGAATCTTATTTTGACAATAAGACTGGTCGAGAACATAAATTTTCAAAATCTCATTCAAAACAATTTATGTATTAAGTTATAAATAACTAAATATATATTTTATAATAATAAAAAGTTGGAAATTTAAAATATTACAAAAACTTAATCTTCCTTTTATATTAATAATTTTATAATTTTTTTATGATTGTTACATTTTTTTTTTAGAATTCTAGTTTTATTCCCATCATATTCCATCTCTTTTTTCGTTCTAAATTTTAAATATAAATCATATATAGGATATGAGATCCTGTAAAACACGTTTCCAATATATTTGCTGAAAAAAATGGTTATGAGAAAATCTTATTAATAGAGAACACAAAAAGTTTTTATCAAAATCATCAAATATTTTATTTTCAACGAAAAAACAAGTTTCAGATTTATCAACAATAATATCTAATATAATTTTAATAATGAATGTAATGTCAAGTATATTTTGAAGTTTTATTAGCAATATAGTAGTCAATAAAAAAACATATGAAGAAAAAATATATCAGATTTTATCTGTTAATCTATAAGATTTCCGAAATGATAGCATGAATACTCTTATTTTTTTCATCGAAATTATTTCAGTTTTTTATATTTGCGTTAACTTATATTAAGAATGTTTCTCTATCTTGTTAACTTGTTATAATATCAATATATATATGATTTATAGAAGAAAAAACCATATACAGTATAAAAGAATTATGTTAGTTTTGAATTTCTCGTCCACTTCCGTTGCCGTAAAAATTCTTTCCCAATTCTATCAATTGGCTACCTCTAAATAGAACAGACAAAACTGAATTAAACAACATTAAATAGGGATCATAGTTGTAAATAAAGAAAATAAAAGTCGTCACCCGTCGCTCCCCGCAGGCGCTTCTCTCTCTTCTGCAGATCCTCTCCTTTTGAATTTTCTTCGATTTGGAGTTGCCATTTTCCGTCCGTTTCTAGATTAGGGTTTCGATCTCTGCTCCCGCGAATTCTTTATGCTTCAGCTCTAGTCTGCGGTTACCGTGGTAGTTAGATCCGGTTTCGCGAGTTGGATCTGCCCGTGTGAGGCGGTGGCGGACGGTGGATCTGAGGAATCGGTTCCACCATGACCGGAATGAGAGGTCTTTCTGTATTCATCAGCGACATACGTAATTGCCAGAACAAGGAGGCTGAGCGACTCCGAGTTGATAAGGAGCTCGGAAACATCCGTACATGCTTCAAAAATGAGAAGGTTAGCTTCCTCTCCCTCTCTTTCTCTCTCTCTGTGGACATCGCATTATCTCCATCTTTGTTTTTCTATCTTTATCCTCATTGGAGTCGTAATTCAGTGTCGAAGTATCCCCTGAGGTTTCTGTATTGATTAGAGAAATCGGAGATTTCTCCTTTGCAGAGCTACCTATTCCTACGAGATTGTTTAACATTAAACTCAGTTGCAATGAAAGTTGTGCAGTCCAATGCTAGAGCTAATAGGTTGATAACGGAGGTATAGAAGATTGTAGTTGAAACAGTGATGTCGTGGGTGAAGCTCTTATCGGGCTAAATCAGAGTTTCCGAGTGGATAGTTTTGGGAAGTTTCTTATTTCACCGGATAGTATTAGTGGGTACAGTCGTTTTTATCACAAATTGTGCAGCTTGATAGGCTGTATAATGTTTACGTTCTACAGCTAGCTCATATGCCTGGATATTATGCCATTATCGTACCCTTTTAATCATCACTCCTGCTTTCTACTTGGACGGTCATAAGGGTATTTCAAGTCGATAGATGGGAGACTGGAAATAATTTTTCGTTATGGTCAATCACTCAATCAAGATATATATAAGAACAGTGAATGTCTGAAGATATTAAGAAGGAAAGAAAAGCCGGGCAAAATTAGGTTATGTAATAATAGTCCTAAGGAAATAAATCAAGGTCACAGGCAGATTCGAATAGCTCGTCACGAAGTAGATTAAGCTGTTTTGGGTGAAATTTTGATTCCATACTGTAAGTAGCAGAGCTGTAGCCGGCCCGTAGTGTCCATCTGTGACCAGCTGGACCATTACAGAAGTTAATATTTTCCGAGCTTCATGTTAGAATTGAATTGATCACATGTTAGAATTGAATTGATCATGCATTCTTTGATTAGTTTTTCCATATTTTTTTTATGTTTGACAGGTTTTGACACCATATAAAAAGAAGAAATATGTCTGGAAAATGCTTTATATACATATGCTAGGTTACGATGTGGATTTTGGCCATATGGAGGCGGTTTCTCTTATATCTGCTCCAAAGTATCCAGAAAAGCAGGTAAGCCAAAGTTTTGTTTGCTCAAGCAATTAAGTATTGCTTTCTAAAGCTAGGATAAGAGAAATAGGTGGGGGTATTTGTTGGAACAAAGTAAAGTGAAGATCATGGAAAGCGAGATCTTGATACTATTTCATGCGCTTGGAACTTTATTCAGTTTGATAGGACCTTGTAATGTAGTGGGACATTAACTAGGTATTTAGCAGTGTTAAAGAAAGCTGGCTAGGTGGTAGTCTAGGCGTTAGGTGTCCCTACACGCTAGGCTTCCTTTAATATATCAATATAAACTATAAACGTTTAAACCACCTAAAATCGCCTAGGCCCGCGGTAGGCAGAGGATCGCTACTGCTTTCTTGAACACTGGTATTTATTAATAACATCTTAGGAACTCTTAACCAAGAGATACAAATGATACCATGCATTATCTCCCAAGGGTTTGCATTAGCAATTTTATATTTTTTGTATCTTCCTTACCTAAGTTGCATGTATCAAACTTTTCAGGTTGGCTACATTGTTACATCCTGCTTGCTCAATGAGAACCATGATTTTTTGAGGTTGGCAATTAATACGGTGCGGAACGATATAATTGGTCGAAATGAGACTTTCCAGTGCTTGGCGTTGACTTTGGTATGTGCTCTATTGTCTATAGTTGTGTTGATATCTTAGAGCATAGTGAATTCTTTCAGATTTTGGGAAGCAGTTAGGTGACTGATTCAATGAAAGTCTTTGGCGGCCTTATGTCTTTTTGCTCTACTAATTGATGATTCAAAGACTTTTACTTCATGAAAACCGGTGTTTCCTTCTTCTTTTTTTTTTCTTGCTCTAACCGTGCCAGGTTTGCTTTGTCCTGTAGGTTGGAAATATTGGTGGTAGAGATTTTGCTGAATCATTGGCACCTGATGTTCAAAAGCTACTTGTAAGTGACCCCCAAGACGACAGGTTATGGGTATTTATCCATTAAAGGAAACATATTAATGCTCTAGGACTTGTTTGCTGTAGATTTCTAGCAGTTGCAGACCGCTCGTAAGGAAAAAAGCAGCACTGTGCCTACTGCGCTTATTCAGAAAAAATCCTGATGCTGTCAACGTTGATGGCTGGTTTGTATTAACACTCTGGTTAACTGGTTTTTTGATTTGACGTGCATCTTTCATAAGTTCTGATTTTTGTATGCTTCCAGGGCGGATCGTATGGCACAACTTTTGGATGAACGGGATTTGGGTGTCTTGACATCTTCTACAAGTCTTCTTGTAGCTCTGGTATCAAATAATCATGAGGCGTATTCAAGTTGTCTACCTAAATGTGTCAAAATATTGGAACGCCTTGCTAGGAACCAGGACGTGCCTCAGGAGTACACATACTATGGCATCCCATCCCCTTGGCTCCAGGTTTGGCTTTACTCATCGTATTCACTCTTATCTAACATCTGTAGCTTGAACTCAACATAGCTTGAACTTTTTATTGATCACATAATCCCGTCGATTCTTAAAATTGCATGTGAAATTAGTTCATGATATGGAAGCTTCTAAGTTTTGGTGTATTTTTTACAGCTCAGTTAAGGTATCTTGGATACTTATATTTCTGTGGTTAACACAGGTTAAGGCGATGAGGGCTCTTCAGTATTTTCCAACCATTGAAGATCCCAGTACCAGAAAAGCTCTCTTCGAGGTTCAGTTTTTCTCAAGTAAATCTCTAATATATGTCTTCGAATTCTCTCTCATGGCATTTCATGGAAATTTCAGGTCCTGCAGCGGATATTAATGGGGACAGATGTGGTGAAAAATGTGAATAAGAACAATGCGTCTCACGCTGTGCTATTTGAAGCTCTATCCCTGGTAAGTTCGTCAGACAGCTGGGAACAAGTTGATGCCATGAAATTTACTGATGCATCTCTCCTTCTCCCCCATCCCCTTCGCGCGTCCCCAAACTACCATGAAAAAACACTGTTACTCAAAACAGAATAATGACGTGTGCATGGACGTTTTAAAAATTTTTTTTTTTCGGTTTGGTTGAGAAAATTCTTGTGTTTGAATTGCGTGCAGTTACTAGCATGCTATTCGTTGTATGTTCCATTGTAGTTTGGAAAAAAATAATATCATATTCCGCTTGAAGGTTTTGACGCTAATTCTTAGAGGCTTACCATGGATAGTTGATTTGAATGTGCTCAACAATTCTCTGGCTTAGTCAGATACTACCTAACTATTTGATTTGTTTCTGTATAGGTAATGCATCTTGATGCTGAGAAGGAAATGATGTCACAGTGTGTTGCTCTTCTTGGAAAGTTTATATCCGTCCGTGAGCCCAACATCAGATATCTAGGCTTGGTGAGATGTCGAATACCCACTTCCTGTTTTGAAGCTTAGCTAGAACAGTAGTTTGTTTAGCGTTTGGTGGTGCATAATGTGATTCGCTTGTCGGTTACTCATTAATTAGTCTCTCACGATGCATTTCTTGACATTTTGCAGGAGAATATGACACGAATGCTGATGGTCACCGATGTCCAAGACATTATAAAGAAGCATCAGTCTCAGATAATCACCTCCTTGAAAGACCCTGACATCAGGTTGGTTTATATTTGACCATCTCAGTATCAGCTTGTATGGCTTATGAACCCGGATCACTGTCTTTTTAATGCTATAATTTCGGAACCAGTATAGCTATTTTTCAATCATGAAACCGGTCATAGTTTTTATGGGTCAATATACTTTAATTTTTCTAAAGTAGTTGTCAGTTTCAAAGCATCTCAGTCAGCATTAAGATACTCGATTCGGATCTGCATAAATCAAACTCTAAGTTTAATGGAAATCTGTTTCTCTGTAATGTATTTTTAGCGGAACATGTTTTGTTGATTTGTTCTCTTGTGGGAAACAGTTATTGGTATGTTTACCTGTGATAGCAATTCTGGGCTGGTGGGTCTGTACTATTTCTATGACGTTCGTCATATAAAGATGACTGGATAGGATGAGTACCAGAGTGTAATAGGTTTAATCCGTTTTCCTTTGCAAATGGAGGGTGCCGTTTCCGGAACTTATAGTTTGATTTATATCTATTTTCTTGGTTTTGGTAATGGTACCAGATTCACTTAGTGTTTGAACTTCCTGCAGTATTCGTAGACGTGCTCTTGATTTGCTTTATGGGATGTGCGATGTGTCAAATGCAAAGGATATAGTCGAAGAGTTGTTGCAGGTTAGTCTTGTTGGCCTTTCTTCATATTGATATTTTCGTGTTTATAATTTTCCTTTTAGTTTCTGATGTTTAATAGAACGGAAGGATTTAGCTGTGTAGTGTTTAAGCTTACTTTGAATCGATTAACATTGCAGTATCTTAGCACAGCAGAGTTTTCCATGCGTGAGGAATTATCACTTAAAGCTGCCATTCTTGCTGAGAAGTTTGCTCCTGATTTATCATGGTAAGGATAACTTCTACTACAAGAAAAGATATCTACACTTTTTCAATGCACACAATTATGATTACGATGACATGCGCTTGCAAATTGGTTTGACATTTAGATCCGTACACAAGCAATTGGTCAATCTTACACTACTCTAAAATTTTCATGTTTCTCAGGTATGTAGATGTGATCCTTCAGTTGATCGATAAGGCGGGGGATTTTGTTAGCGATGACATTTGGTTTCGTGTGGTTCAATTCGTAACAAATAATGAAGACCTTCAGGTATTTAGATTTGTTAGAATAAATCTGTTGTATGTATATTCTATTTAAGGACATTCTGAAGTTTCTTACAAGTTTCTTTAATATGACAGCCTTACGCTGCATCAAAAGCAAGAGAATATTTGGACAAGATCGCAATACATGAAACAATGGTGAAGGTTGTACATCCTCGCTTCTCATAAAATTATCTATATTGAATAAAGCGGATAAGTTATACAATTAATCCTAAACTGGGAAAGTGGAGTTACTACCTTCCTACCTTTCTGACACAATCCTATCTGTATAGAAATTGTTTGCATAGTACAAAGTTACAGAAATAAATTATCATCAACAGTAAATTATATTCCTTTCTAAATTTCAGGTTAGTGCTTATATACTGGGGGAGTACGGCCACCTTCTAGCTAGACAACCTGGATGCAGTCCAAGCGAACTCTTTAGCATCTTACATGAGAAGCTTCCGACAATATCGTAAGGACAAAACAAATCCTGCATAATGCTGTTCTTGTCTTTGGGTATCTCTTAGATACACCCCTTTTTTTTCTCAGGACTCCCTCCATTCCTATTCTTCTTTCCACTTATGCAAAGCTTCTTATGCACACTCAACCCCCGGATCCCGAACTGCAAAAAAAAGTTTGGGCTGTATTCAAGAAGTGAGACTTGCTAATCTTGTTATCATTCTCAAATTTTTTGCTTGTCATTTTATGTTATGTTCTTTTTTGGTTATCAAATCAAGTTTTATAAAAGCGTTTTGTTTTGGCAGGTATGAGAGTTGTATCGATGTAGAGATACAACAGAGGGCAGTTGAATATTTTGAATTGAGTAAAAAAGGGGCTGCCTTTATGGATGTATTGGCTGAGATGCCAAAATTCCCAGAGCGCCAGGTTTGTAAATTATTTTATGGTTCCATAAAAGTTACTTTAATGGGAAATTTGAATGCTGGAGGATTTGATGCTGAATTATTATTTTTGTCTGCTCTATAGTCTTCATTGATAAAGAAGGCAGAAGATGTTGAAGATACCGCAGACCAGAGTGCCATCAAACTTAGAGCACAACAACAGCCTTCAAATGCTTTGGTTTTGGCTGACCCACAGCTTGTTAGTGGGGCACCCCCTCCTTTGAAGGTTCCAAGCGTAAGTGGAAGCATGGTGAGCACTTCTCTTTGTCAGACCCATTTGCCGAGACATATTTCGTGTGCCTTACCTTGATATAGCACATTCTTTTATCTTATTATATCTGGCATTCTGTTCTAGCAGGACCCTCAGTCAGTGGCCCGATCTATCTCTCAGCCCAATGGAACTTTAAGTAATGTAGATCCACATAATCCATCGCCCGATCTCCTAAGCGACCTGCTCGGTCCTCTTGCTATAGAGGCTCCACCTGGAGGTGTCTCAACTGATCAACATAGTCCCATTGGGGCAGAAGGAGTTCCAGATGACGTTGATGGTTCAGCCATTGTACCTGTTGGAGAGCAAACAAATACAGTGGAGGTATTGTGTTTTCTTCTTACTTTGCATTCTTTGGCGTGGTAGGTTTTAACATGGATGCAAATAAACTTTTAAAATTTCTAGCTTATTCTTTCCCTAGGTTTTTTATAAATTATTGGTCGTTTTTATTTCTGTTTCTTATTTTTGTATCTATCACTTGGAAAAGGTATAGAGATTACCTTAAATGGAATCCGGTTCCTGAGATGTTCTATTCCGGTATTCAACTCTCTGAGGAGTTTCTACATTTTGTTCCACAGTATAATTTTACATTTGCGAAACTTGATGGACTTGTCCTGTCATTGTATCAATAAAAGAAACCTAACCATTTTTGTACTCCATGATACTATTTGCATGCTTGAATTGTTTTCTTATTCAGTTTTGTTTTCTTTAACAGGTGATTGGAAATATTGCAGAGAGATTTCATGCTTTATGTTTGAAAGACAGTGGTGTCTTATACGAGGATCCTTACATCCAGGTTTGATTTTTTTCCTATTTAGTTTTTTCTCTCTACTTTTACCTATTCTGGTACGCAGATTGCAGGCAACCCTCCTACTTCTTGAGTTTATCTGGCCGGTGTGGCTAATAATCCCCACAATACCAGAATAATGATTGCAAAGATCAAAATTTTCTAGTCCTTGTGATCCTCATTCTGTTAATTATTGGTATTCCTCAGATCGGCATCAAAGCTGAATGGAGAGGACACCATGGGAGACTTGTCCTCTTCTTGGGAAACAAAAGTACTTCCCCTCTTACATCAGTCCAAGCTATAATACTTCCCCCTGCCCATTTAAAACTGGAACTGTCTCCAGTACCTGATACGATTCCTCCTCGAGCACAGGTACTTTTGTCTCTTTATCTTTTCAATCTTACTACTCAATCTGTCGATTTCTCCTCTTTTCCGCATCATTATTTTTTTATTTAGTATTCCAATCTCTGTCATTGTTATAGGTACAATCTCCACTTGAAGTGATGAACATCCGCCCTAGTAGGGATGTTGCTGTTTTGGATTTCTCCTACAAGTTTGGTACAAACATGGTACTTACTGCAACCGATCCTAGCTTGTTTGAGTGTATGGTTTCTTTAGTACATGTGACTCAACCTGACGTGCTGGATCTTTTATAGGTCAGTGCCAAATTACGCATCCCCGCAGTCTTGAATAAGTTTCTTCAACCTCTTCAATTGACATCTGAAGAGTTCTTCCCGCAATGGAGAGCACTTTCAGGGCCACCCTTGAAACTTCAGGAAGTTGTATGTATTTCCACAGCTTCTCTGGCCAAATATCAAATAAAAGTATATGAGTTAATGCATGGAAGAATTCAAATGCTCCTGAAAACTTTCCTTTCAAAGAAAATAGTGAATTCAGCTTTCTCCATAAAATCATTGTATCGACTGATCATTGTTCTAGCTTAATCAGAACACTTATAGTTATCGACTGATTATTGTTAAAGTTACTCAAAACGGTCATAGATAACTTCCAAAGTTCCTACATATGCTTGTTAATCCGGCATAACTTTAATGTGTGTTTCGCTGGTCATCACAATCTGAATCTCCAATTTCTTGCAGGTAAGAGGTGTAAGACCTCTAGCTCTTCCGGAAATGGCGAATCTGTTCAACAGTTTCCGGGTGATGATATGCCCTGGGCTTGTAAGTATTTTTTTTTTTTTTTTTATCTCAGTTCCTCATTCTACATGTATACTTTTAACTCAACTTCTATGGTTTTCTGTTGTAGGATCCAAACCCTAATAATCTAGTGGCAAGCACAACCTTCTACTCTGAAATTACAGGAGCCATGCTCTGTTTGGTGAGATCTCAACCAAGTTTCTCTTAGTGGTTTTGGCACTTTGCCACTTTATAATTTCCTTAAATTTCTTATACTTATCGCATAGAAGTAATGCTGCACTGTCAAAACTCTGTCGTGTGACATTGGTCCGTGTTGTATGATTTTCAGGCAAGAATTGAAACAGATCCAGCAGATAGAACCCAACTGCGAATGACAGTAGGCTCGGGAGATCCTACCCTTACATTTGAGTATGATATCTCTGCCTCTTAGCATGAACTCAACTTTCAAACGCAGCTTTTTTTTGTTTTTTCCTCTCTCTGCATTTGTTGAGCTCTTTTCTCTTACAGGTTGAAAGAATTCATCAAGGAACACCTAATTACCATTCCAATGGGATCTCGAGCTCTAGTTCCAGCACCAGTAGCAGCACCTGTAGCTCAACCGCCTAGCCAAGCGGCTTTAGCTGATGATCCAGGGGCTATGCTTGCTGGCTTACTTTAAGTCATGGAATACTTGCAAATGTGGAGAACGTTTTCAGGAGGATTTGGAAATTATGTTTGATTTCAAAATGTGATGAATTCTGCAAAAAAACGCCTGTAAATGTACGGCGTCAAGATGAGATATAGCCGCTTCATTTGTCTGGACACATTCGTCCTTAGCAATTTTCAACTTCAGGTTTGCTGATTCGCTACAAAATTAACCGGTAATTATGACGGTTTTGACGGTGTCGTTAAGTGATGAGTTTGACCGTGATTTCCATCTTTATAAGCAAGATCTTCAAAATCGAAGTTCCAAGGCAATGTCTGTAAAATATTTTATTGAGATCCTTGAAAATTTTAGTGTAAAAAATAGGACTAACTAAATTGTAAATTTGGAATTAAAAAATTTGTTTACAAACATTCCGTAGGTTGATGTTAAAGTACAAGAATACGTTAATGAAATTTGAAAAATTAGCTCACTCTTAGTCCTATAATTATGGTCTTGGGATAAACAAACAAAAATTTGGTCGACTTATGTGGAAGAATGCAAAGATATTTTGGTGGGTTTGTATGCTCTACGATTATAAATAAAACACCACTTTTGTTATTAGATAATAGCTTTGACCAAAATGATCGGTCGTACATTAATTGGTCTTTGGTTTGTGTGGTTTGTATCATTATACAAAATTAAAAGGAAAAAAATGAATAACCCGTAACCTAGTATGTTTGGAAGTATTAAGCAGTGTTACGATATCGTCTCCATCCCAAGCAAAAAAGATGTTCCTTTGCAGCACAAGAGGGAGAGACAAGTAAATAAGAACAAAAATACTGAGCTTGATACTTCTGCCATTGCAAGGAAAACTTCTACTTAATTTCATATGAATTTAATTTACTTCTTTTGTTTGACAGCACATATTCTTTGTATCCATCAAACCCCTAAAAGCAGCAGCAGATGGGGCCTAGCCTGAAGCCAGAATTGAAGAAAAAAACAAAAAGAATTTCAAGTGGTAACTTAAGCTACATCCACTCACGGCAACGACCACATCTCCAGCTACCTCCGGTGCAAGTAGATTCCTCCTCCCATGGAGAACAGTGGGAATGTATTGTCATATTACAAGTCTGGCATGTGAGATCAGGCCCTGGCTCCACATGCATACATATCTGACATGGAGTTGTATTGTCATAGAGAAACGCTCTGCACTGTTCCATTGTCTCAGCCTGAGGGTTTGGGTTTGGGTTGTCTGTGTTTCCTGAAGCATCCTTGTCATTACCAAATCCATTGCACTGGCCACTATCATCTGTTGTAAGCAACTCGTTCAGCGAGAAATAGGTTTGGGGTTCGAATTCCATGTCTTCGTAGTCAAACATTAGCTCGCCTTCAATCATGTTGTTGTTGTTGTCGTTGCTGTTAGGTGCATTCCATTCCATGACAGGCAATGTTGGCTCCATTTCTGGTTTCACAAAAGGCTGCGACTCCAGATGCGTTGAAAACTCGGTATAAGAAAGATTATTGTCCCCTTCTGTGTCTTCACGCTTCACTCGTCTCCTAACTGGTAGCTTCTGGGGTACCGGCACAGAACCATCACCGTTCCATCCGACATCCAAATTGTTAGATGCCATTTGTTCGACTTTTGAAACTGACACCAAGAGAGGATCATCATCTGGAACAAACGCATCTTCGAGGGGATACGACGGAGTAGAGGGTATCGAGTCTTTTGGTTCAGACATTCTTTCAGAATCAGAATCCAATCCGGTATTTCCTTGCCCATGTTTCTGGCGCTTGGAGAATACATTTTTCATCTGTTTCTGTTCCCTGAGTTTGGGATCCATGTAAGGGCAATCTGGTGATCGTATACGACGGCATTTGCAACACTTGAACCCAGCAACTTCAGGAATTTTCGACTCCTCGAGCTTGATCGCTTCAATGTGGTACCACTCTGCAAACAGATGCTAGGATTAGATTTATAAGAAATGAATGGCAGAATTGAGGAAAGATATGCTTCAGTATAGAATTCCGAGTTATTCTTACTGTCACAACTTGTACAGTGAATATATGTTAGACGAGGATTATACGGCAGTTTGCAGAGCCAACAAACTGGTTCCAGATTCGGCTGATCAGATTGTCCAGCCAACAAAACATTTTGATGTCTGAAGCTAGCACTTGTGTCTTCCAAGTTCTTTTTCCTCCATATGACTCCCCAAGACAATGTCTTTTGTTTACTCTTGGGTGCCACATTAGAATCAGGAGTGATTTGTTTAACTCCTGATGCGTTGTCGCGTATGTTGGAAGATGATAACTGTTGGTTAAGAGGCTTTATCTGTGTCTTAATGAGTGGAGTGACTGGGTTTGGATGTTGTCCGTTGATCAGGACAGTGGGTGTTGTTGGATGTCTCTGATTGACATTGATTAGTGAACGAGCTCTTGCAAGGTAGCACCGTTTGCAGGTTACTAGAATTTCAGCCGTCCCAGCTGTGTGTTGTGTACTCATAGTGCATTCCCTGTGACAGAAACCTGAGAGGCGAAAAGAAGATTCCACGCTTAAAGGTACGATAACAACAAAAAAAAAACTCGAAATGCAAGAGATTTCATGCATCAAGAAATACAATTACAAATGAGGAAACAAAACAACAAACTCTCTTTAAGGTATATGCTGTACAATCCTATTTTTCTTGGTCTAAAGAAACAGATAATATAATTGTAGCAAGTCAAAAACAAAGAAAAAGGCAAAAGCAATACTAACATGCTAATAACTTGCAATCTACTGAAAAATTAAAACAGCAAGGAGGCGTATTGTACCTTGGCAAGCACTGCATGTTGTTGCATCCCTATAGACATGTAAAGAAACGGGAAGAAAAGTTAATGGTACGCAAATTTTTTTTAGAAGCATCTTGAAAGGTGAAGAAAGCTAAACAAAGTACCTCAATAAAACATCAAGATGGCATGACGCACAAGAACACTTCTCCGTGTTGTCCCTCCTAGAGGCTAGATAAGAAAATATGTTTGCTCGAGAAGCTTTCAGTTGCTTTTTCTGAAGTTTTGATATTCTTTTTGATGGCTTCTTGATAATAGGCACATGGACTCTATGCAAACTTTCTTCATATTCTTTGGTCAAATATAAGGGAACGCGTGCTTCATGAAACCAGTACTTTTCGTTTCCATCTTCAGTTTTCTCAACTTCGACGACATTCTTCATGACACGAGATGGAAGATGCTTCTGATTTCCAAAGGCAACTCCATATCTAACCTTGTTATCTATAATCTTCTTGTCACAAATACGAGCATTCCTAAATACAGTGGCCTCTGTCTCTGGACCTTTAACATCTTGCACGTTTTGCTCTGGGCGTACAAGTTCACTCCATCTTATATTCATATCCAGGTATCTAACCTGGCCCAGATTATGTTGAATTTCAGGGGAACAGTAAACAAATATAAGAAAACACAATCATTTGAAAACCCATTGATGATAGAAGACAAACCTGAAGAGCAAGCTGAGAAATGTTTTTGCTACTTTCAACTGCAGCTTTCCAAATAGACCGCCTGTTTCTTTTAGGAATGTAAGCGCCATCACCATAACTAAATTCAGGAAACTTTTTCAGACCACCTAATAAAAAACAAACTAATTAGCATTATCCTGAGAAGCCAAAAAAAAAAAAGAAACTACCATCATCCTGGGAGTAAAATTAAATAGGATACCTCTGGTAGAAGTATTAGAAAAAAGGCAAAACTACAACAATTTACGTGAGAAATGTTAAAACCACAAATACAAACATAACCAAACAAGGTTACCTTGCCAAGCTGCTTTCCTTATATTTGGCTTCGACAAGACTGCCTTCAAGAGTACCACTTTTGATAACTTCCCACCTCGCCACCAAGTAAAGCTATCATCATCAGGACCTTCGGCTGTAACTTCAGCCTGGTTCCTATGCCTCCTCTTACCAGGTCCACGTTTCTGTGTGGCCCCAACAGTAACTCGAGCGCTTTGAAACATAGAATGTTCTATCAACCAATCATCCATTAATTTAAGCCAATCGTTTGACAGAGCAATACTGCAAATATTTTCCTCAAGCTGCAAACAAGCATAATGAACCATATCATGCCAATGAAAAAAATGATAAATATAATGACAAACAAAGACTGCTAACATATCAATATATTATTGACACTATCAAATCTGAACAGCTCAAATGACAAAAAAAAAAAAGTACAAGTGTTTTTTTAATAGCAAAAGAAAGTGAATAAGAACAAAAACGTTTTAGAAAGAAAAAAGAATTACTTACTTCAAGCAGGAGGGCTATCATCGCTTTGCATGTTGAGGCCTCCTCTAACTTCTTACGCCACTGTTTTCTAAGGCTCTCACTGAGAAATGGCCCCGCTATGAGACCACGTAAGCTTTCTTCGACATATAAGATATATGCTGCAATACTAGAAAGTACTCCGTCCCCGTTCTTCAGAGGGAAAAGGCCACTGATGATTTTCACAGCACTTTTAGTGGCCCCAGTTACAGCTGCATTTAACATGCATCCTCTCCTACTTGCTGATGTGAGTTTGCAAGAATGACACCAACCACACCTTTCCCTGGTAATTTCCTTCTTATCAGGACTTGGCCAGAAGAAACTTGAGGCTACTAACGAAAATGCTTTCACCTGTAGCAGGATGTTACTTGAGGCAGCTTTCTTGGCATTACTAAACTTGTGTTGATCAGGTTCATGGGTTTCCTCTGACAATAGGACAGCCAAAGTAGCACCAGCTAATGAAGCCAATTCTCCATTTGTATAATGGTTAATGTATGCAAGAGGTTTAAATGATAAACCCTTGAGTGTTATGCCAGCAACCAAATTCTTATCCTGTGTTCCAATTGATCTTCCTAAAACAGGACTGCCAGCATTGACTGAAGCAGATGCGGAGAGGCCTAATGCATTTTGAATATTATTTCTACTGGAACTACTTGTACTATCGGGCTCAATCATGTCTGACACTTCCTCGCCCCCTTCCTTTGGCGTGTGAGCTAAATCAGTCTCCACTGCTCTCAGATAAGAGTTCACACCTCCAGGCAGCTCCCAGTATTGTGAGATCGCTTTGCATATATACAGATATTCCACTCTATGTTTCGTTGCTGACAAAAGCACCAGTACAACTTTTGGAATGTCAGTGACATTGTAGTATTTGAAATCTGCATCCGCATGGACAGAATTTTTAAGCCTGCGATATAAGGGAAATATTCATCAGCGTCCAAAACAAAATAACTCAAGCAATACGGGTTTTCCAACTTTAATCAAAATCTAGACAAGCTGTTGGGTGAATAGTTGCTAACTGAATAATCTACATAAACAACTTTCCACGCGAATCTATATGAATGGAGATATAGAATCAAAATATCAGCTCTATTTCCATAGATTTTGAACGAAAAAGTATTTGAATAAGGCAACGAAACATACACCAGTAAGTGGTTGCATGTACCCAAGAACAGTCGCCCATGTGGATCCACTCCAAAATACACTGCACCCCTGAGTGACGTTTTATGAGCAATCGTTGGCCCAATTTTGTTGATAGTGCATTCTGGACAATACCACGGCCCGTCTGGTATATACATTTTGACCACACCAATGCATCTTGAGTGATATGCTAAAGGGCATCCATCACAGCAGATCAACGTTCCATCCATGCCGCAGAGCCTACATTCATCACTGTTTCCGTCCAGATCTGAGCTAACTCCATTAGGACCACCATCAGTACATCTTGAACTCAAAGTTTTAGACTCTTTCATTGAGCTTATCCCATGGTTAACCGCAACAAATTCACTAAGCTCTTTCTCCTTGCAAACTGAGGTTTTAGCAAATCTGGGGTGGACCCTTCTAGGTCCATTTTCAGGAAGATCAGCAGTAACTCCATCATGATCATATCCAACTTCAGATTCTTCTCGAGTATCGATTTCAGCTCTTAGATCAGCTATATCAAAGACGTCATCACACAAAATTTGCAGGATCTTCAACTTCATCAATACTGGTAAGGAATAATATTCTTTCTCCACAACAATTTCATAAAAAACTCTCCATTGAGGCCCACTTGCATGTCCCATGGCAGAAAAGTACTGAACCAAATAAACAGGCCAAGTTAGCGCATCGAGCAAGCTCCAATCAATGCACCTGCAGATGGCAATGCAACAAAATCTTCGAATTGTTATCCACTAAGATATGGGAGATCCTAAAACAAGCTCCACCTAAACAATGCATAAGATGCTTATTATGGAGTCCTTCTACAGCCATAGGCCTTTTTCTCCCAGTTGTGATAAGAGTTATTTTTGCATGCATGCACACACACACAAAAAAAGAGAAAAAACAATTCATGAGCTTGAAAACTACTGTCAGTAAAAACGCTTCCTTGAAGGTCAGATACCCAACAAACTAATTCTTCTGTTTCACAAAATGATTAATGCACTGGAATAATTAAAGATATGGGATAGTTTTAAAAGACCTCTGAAAAGCAATTCAGAAAGTTACAAAACTAAAAAAACAAGTTAACAAAGACAAATGTTGAAAACAATAAACAACAAAAGTCGTATGAGCTTACCTCAAGCAGTTTGAAGCCACTTCAGACTCTTCAGAGGAGAGTCTCTCAAGATGACCCTTCAGTGCCCGCATCAAGGCAACATGAATGGCATCCAGCAAAGAATTTGGTCCTAAGAAATTCAACGCTCCGACAAAATCATCCAGTCCAAATGGGTAGATATATAACTGAACACTGAATGATCTTAAGAACCCGTATACAGATAATAGATTCACCACAGCCTCCTCAGGGATACCAATTGTTCCTGATGAAGAAGGCAAATCCACTGGTGGTGGAACTGGAACAGGAGGAGACATACTTTCGATATCTGGATCTCTGCTATCTTCACACTCAGGTAAACCACAAGACGAATAACCACCTTCAACCTCTGCCACAGAACCTGGGCTACTACATGTGGGCACCTCAACTCCATTCACTTGATTTTGCGGCTCAACCCCTTTCTTCTCCAGGTTATCTCTTTTCTTCTTTTTGTCCTTCTTCAGTACAATGTCGTCTAGTTTATTTCTTCTAGCACGCAACTCATCATCAAAGTAACTGTCCCCAATAATTAACTGGCGAAGATCACAACTTTTCAAATCCTCGAAATCACCGTCCTCATATTCAACTCTGTACAGCCCAGAATTGTACGAAACTATCTTCCCAAGAGAAACTTTACTGTCATCAAAATCTTTCAACACGTAACGACCAAGTAGGGATTTTGGCACCGCCGGTTTCATCTCCAAAACCGGCCTCTTCCCTCGGTTAGACACCCCATTCTGATCCTCTGGCCTTGGGCGTTTCCTTGGCCTACCTCTAGGTCTAGCCACCTTTCCTTCCATCAATCCCCAGATCTAAAATTGCCTCAATCCCTTTTGCAAGCAATCTCTATGATTCCGAAAATCTCACTCCTTTGCCAGAAAATCGAACCATGTAACGCAGAATCACATCAACATCTAAGATCTACGAAACTCCCGCAAATCGAAGCTCAAGCAGAAGGAATCAGGACCATGAATCCAATAAATAAAAAAGCTCCCCACCGATAAATCTGAAATCTTAATTAACCAAAAGAGAGACGGAGAGAGAGAAACGAAAAAGATGAGCTCTCAATCGTGACTGAACTTCTGAGTTAATGGCAGATTTTGTGGTCTATTCTATTGTGAAACGAGTTTAACTCGGTAATCGGGTTACCCGGATCGACACCCGTCGGATATCTTAAAAACGCTGTCGTTTACGTTTTTTCCTTTTTTAACTTTCTCACTTAAAATAAAAATAATATAATGGCGGGAATTTGGATATTGAGAGAGCCCTCGCTAATTTACGCGCGTTCCTCGGGCCCGGTTGATTTCTACCGCCGTCGTCGATTCGCCTTCTTTTTCTAGTCGCTCTACCCATGGGTTTCTTGCTTCGGTGTCTGTAATTACAATCTGTCTGAAAATTTCTCGAATTTTTCAAGGTTTCCCGGGAATTTTTGTTTTCCCGGAAAAATTGAGGATTAGGGTTTTGGAATGGGGACGAAAGTTTCAGACGAACTGCTTTCCACCGTCCGGTCAGTTGTGGGCTCCGATTACACAGACAGGGCCATTAGCAGGGCTTTGTACATGGCGAATCTTGACCCAACGAGAGCCATCAATATAATCTTCGACACTCCCAATTTCAGCAAACCTGAAATAGCCACTCCTAGCCCGAGCGGCTCTAATGGAGAGAAGAGAGTCGAGAACGGCATAAAGGGCTGTCGTTTTAGTGACGGCGGGAGTGTTGGACCGAGTCATCGCGTGGAGGAAGATGAGAGTGTTAATGGTGGAGAAGCGAGTGTTTCAGGGGATGAGTGGTGGTTTGTGGGCTGTTCGGAATTGGCGGGATTGTCGACATGTAAAGGAAGGAAATTGAAGTCCGGTGACGAATTAGTGTTCACGTTTCCGCATAGTAAATTACCAAATCCTGAGGCTGTGTCTGGGAAGCGCCTTGGACGGGGAAGGCCAGCTTCGCGTGCTGCTTCTGATATCGTCAGGTTCTCTACAAAGGATTCAGGAGAGGTGCGCTTCAAATTCATGATTTTTCTTATTCTCAGTTTCAAATTGCTATGTTAAGTTTTGATGTTTATGAGGTGGAAACTGATAACGAATTATGATGGGCTTCTTGTGGCAGATTGGTAGAATACCAAATGAGTGGGCTCGGTGTCTTCTACCGCTTGTGAGAGACAAGAAAATTAGGATACAAGGGAGCTGCAAGTCGGCGCCTGAAGCATTGGGCATCATGGACACAATTTTTCTATCAGTGAGGTGTGTATACACACTATTGTGTTTAGATTGATGATTCCAGGATATATGGAACTAAGTGTTTTTGTTTGTTTGTTTGAAACAGCGTATACATTAATAGTTCCATGTTTCAAAAGCATAGTGCGACTTCATTTAAGGCAGCCAGTAATACGTCAGAGGAATCAATGTTCCATCCTCTCCCAAATCTCTTCCGGTTGCTCGGTATAACCCCCTTTAAGAAGGTAATGCGTTGTCCTTGTCTATAACCCTTTTGAATTGCTGACTGATTCCAGCTTGCAGTTCCCATATACCTTTCATATGATGTGACTGCAAAAAATTCTGAGATAGGCAAAGAAATATTTCTATCTTTTAATTTTATTTTAGTGGGCTAGTTATATGTGAAAATGTTTCTTTGTTTCGTCATCTTATTTAGGCAAAGTTTACTCCTGAGGATTTGTCCACTAGGAAGCGACCTTTGAGTTCCCAGGTAAAAATTGCTTATATATCAGCATCTTAAACTTTGACTTCTTGCTTGTCAACTTTGTCATTTGCTTTCTGCTTCTTTGCAAATAGGATGGCTCCGCTGTTTCTACTTCGTTGCTTCAGTTAAACAAGGTCAAGAATCTGAATCAAGATGCAAACGGAGATGAAAACGAGCAGTGCATCAGCGATGGTGATCTTGATAACATAGTTGGTGTTGGGGACAGTTCTGGACTAAAGGTATTCTCATTTCCAAGACTGCTTGCATACTTATATTCGACATTAGAAATTTATTTGGCAGAATACATGAGACCGTTTGCAACAGGAAATGGAAACTCCGGATAAACTTCTTTGTGAGCTTCGCCCGTATCAGAAGCAGGCACTTCACTGGATGACCCAACTGGAGAAAGGAAATTGCACTGATGAGGCGGCAACAATGCTTCACCCATGTTGGGAAGCATACTGTTTAGCAGACAAGTAAGCCGTGTTTCTATTGTGTGCCAACTTTAGCGCGAGTCAGATGAGATATTTACTATCTGTTTTATGTCAATAGGATGGAACTTGTTGTCTACCTGAATTCTTTCACTGGTGATGCTACAATACACTTTCCTAGCACACTTCAAATGGCAAGAGGAGGAGTATGACCTCACCTACAAACAACTGTTTGACTTATCATCAGGATTTTGTCACTTTTTTATATAGCGGTTTTGTAGTAAGATAATATCATCACACTTTTGCAGATTCTAGCAGACGCAATGGGTCTCGGAAAGACCGTAATGACCATATCCCTAATGCTTGCTCATTCTTGGAAAGCTGCATCAACTGGGTTTCTATGCCCCGATTATGAAGGAGACAAAGTGATCAGCAGTGCTTTAGATGAGTTCGCTAGTCCTTCAGTGAAGGCAACCAAATTTCTAGGTTTTGATAAGAAGCTTCCTGAGCAGAAATGTGCACTTGAAAATGGTGGTAACCTGATTGTATGTCCGATGACACTTTTAGGCCAGTGGAAGGTATAATATACGTTAGAATTCTTTCCATGTTTGATGCGCGTGCACACTATAGTTTGGTTATTTGTTTAGTTTTTTACTTTTTTTTTGTTCCTTCTTTATGATCAGTCAGAGATTGAAATGCATGCAAAGCCTGGGTCTCTATCGGTTTATGTTCACTATGGCCAAAGCAGGCCAAAGGATGCAAAACTTCTATCCCAGAGTGATGTTGTCATCACTACATATGGGGTTTTAACATCCGAATTTTCGGCAGAGGTATCTTTCCATATAAAAGGCTTATGTCTGGTCATGTATTGTCCCATAGTTTGTAAATGTATCGCAAGAGCATCTTATTATCTTCTCTGTTCTTTCCTCTTCTTATTAGAACTCACCAGACAGTGAGGGACTTTATGCAGTTCGATGGTTTAGGATTGTTCTTGACGAGGCACATACCATCAAAAACTCAAAAAGCCAAATATCCTTGGCTGCTGCAGCTCTGGTTGCTGACCGGCGCTGGTGCCTTACGGGTACTCCTATTCAGGTGATTGATTTTTTCGCGAAGGTTCAGAAAGAAAAACTTTGTTCTTGACTGTCCTATGGGCCTGCCAATCTATTCTGTGAAATAATTCTCGTAGTTCCACATTTATTATTCACCTGAGTTTCGAATGGTCTAAATCTCTGTTAGAAGGATATCTACTTCTTGTGCATGATTTTTGTACACAAGTCTGGACTCTATCTCACAAACTTGTTTTTTGAGATGTATTTCATATCACTTGCACTATTGGTATCATTCGTCTGCTGGCATGATAGCTTGGCTCATTTAGATATATGTTGGATAATGATTTGTTCATCATATTTGGGACTTTGTGATTATTTGACATGTTATCTTTTTTAATAGAACAATTTGGAGGATTTGTACAGCCTTCTACGGTTTTTGAGGATTGAACCATGGGGAACTTGGGCATGGTAAGGGTCCTTTTCTATCTTTGGTTGGAAACACATTACATTTGGTATGGAATGACGGAAGCTTGTGAGTTTGGAACATTTATATTCTTAGGTGGAATAAACTTGTCCAAAAGCCATTTGAAGAGGGCGATGAGAGAGGGCTAAAGCTAGTGCAGTCCATCTTAAAACCTATCATGCTTAGGAGAACCAAGTCTAGCACAGATCGAGAAGGAAGGTGGGAATACTAGAAATAAAAAATCAGTCATCCGTATAACTTTCTGATGCTTATTAATTATAACTTTTAACTTAGAGTTTCCTCGGTTAATCAGAAGCATGTTTGTTTGTTTTAGGCCGATTCTTGTTCTACCCCCTGCTGATGTGCGGGTCATTTACTGTGAACTCTCGGAATCTGAGAGGGATTTCTACGATGCGCTATTCAAAAGATCCAAGGTATTGTTTGTCCTGAGAATTCTTTAGTGTTTTAGTCAGACTTTTCTTTTAAGATGCCTTATATTGAAGATGCTGACGGATCTTTTCAGGTCAAATTTGATCAATTTGTTGAGCAAGGTAAAGTTCTTCATAATTATGCTTCGATCCTGGAACTGCTTTTGCGTCTTCGACAATGTTGTGATCATCCATTTCTAGTAATGAGGTGTGCCTTGTATACCCTTGCCCTGTATTTAAGTTGAGATACAAAGTGTAACCTCCATGGCTTCCATATCAATTACAACATTTCACATTCAATCTAATTTGTTTGCACAACCTTTTATAAAATACCAATAGAATATCATAGAAAATATGCGAAATTTGTTATAAGAAACATGCAACCGTATTCCTTGTTTCTAAACATTTTGTAGACGTAATTGTTATATTTTTTATAACAGACTCTTGTTTTCATGCATCCAGTCGAGGTGATACCGCAGAATACTCTGATCTGAATAAGCTAGCTAAACGATTCCTTGGTGGAAAGTCTTCTGGTCTAGAAAGGGAAGGAAAAGATGTACCATCAGTGGCTTTTGTTCAGGAGGTGGTAGAGGAACTGCGCAAAGGAGAGAAAGGAGAGTGTCCAATATGCCTTGAAGCGTTTGAGGATGCCGTATTAACACCTTGTGCTCATAGATTATGTCGTGAGTGTCTCTTGGCAAGTTGGCGAAATTCTGTTTCTGGGTTATGTCCTGTGTGTAGGTACCTTGAAGTTCTTCCTGCTAGTACTAGTTTTCATTTGATGTCCTTGCTGTTGATTCCACAAAGTTCAGTCAAATATGGCCAATAATGATGAATGTTTGTTCTGCAGGAAAACTATAAGCAAACAAGAACTCATCACTGCACCAACTGAAAGTAGATTCCAGGTGGACGTGGAAAAGAATTGGGTAGAATCATCCAAAGTCACTGCTCTTTTGCAAGAGCTAGAAAGGCTTCGTTCTTCAGGCTCTAAGAGCATTCTCTTTAGCC